TGGTTCAAATCTATGAAATTATATTTTATATAGATGCAAGTTGTCTGTATTGTATTTATGTATAAATAATTTTCATCAAAATATTTTTTTTTCAATTTTTATAATTAAAATTAAATTTTAATGACATAGTAGACTTACTCGGTAGACCTCACACAATTTTATAGATATTAACCTATATGTCTTTGCTTATCTATAAATCATTCATTTGTATGCATTCATATTTTTTGTATATGATAATGTCTATATTAGAATTATTCATACTTGTGTTTGTATAAAAATATTTTTTATTTAATTGTTAATTAAAATTTAAGATGTTATTACGAGGTAGACCTCTAACATTGTCTACCAGGTAGATCTACTTAGTAGATCTACATGCTCCGGAGGTTATAATCGTAATCGAGGCATGCGTTTTTTTGTTTGGTCATGAGGGCTTGTGGGGTAATTTTACTACCCAAAGAGGTTAGTTTTGCATTTGATTCAAATTGTGGTCTAGTTGACTAGAAAAAATCAAATTGTGGTCTAGAATTGGTAATTTCTAAGTAAGTCTAAGCCTAAATTTCCAAAGTAAAATGAAAGTCATAAAGATATAGAGGAACTTATATGGATGAATTAGGTGATTGTTGAAAACAAAACTAAATCGAAAGATCTTATAGAGATGATGGTTGTAGACTTGTAGACCTATTTAGTTATGAAAACCTAAGCCATGGCCACTGCTCGTTTTTAGCTTAGCATATCCACGGCTTTCATCATATCTTCTAATCGTTTAACAAAATTAGGGGCATATTCATTTGGTGCAGACATCTGATTTCAAGTACTTTAAAGGTGTCTTAAATATAAAGAAAAAATTCAAGTATTTCTGGGAACATAGAGAAAAATTTCAAATATAAAGAAGTTGGCTTTTTCAATTGATGTTACCTCTGGTTTGGATACAATATTTCTGATGATTTTCTGACTGCCGAACACATCACTGGCACTTCGGTAGCCTCTATTACCGCGTTTTAAATCATGAGTTGCAAATAAAGATGGAGCTTCTAATTTGATGTTTTAATAGTTTTAAGATCAAAATGGTTTGGGTCTATGGGTGAACCAAAAGAAATGATAAACTACTTTTAAGGTTTTGTTGATCTGACATCATTGATTAGAACTCAAACGAAGAAGAAAATTATTTGCATGCGGATCTAGAAACAAATTTCACTAAGGCAAATCTATACTATATAAAAGTTGAGGCTATAAGCCTCTGAGAGCGTCCACATAGGATTATAAAACGCGATTTGATTGGTCCACATAAGTATTTCCTAGATTAAGAAAGTTTCCGAATTTTAAACAACCAATAGTATCAATCCACATCATCACATAAAATTAGCTATTTGTTCAATTAGTTAAATTCCTTTTTATATTTTTATATTTTAAGAAAGTTTCATAATTCAAAGTTAAGCAATAGGAAAGTTTCCAGAATTTATAAGTGTAATATTAGTAGAGATATGTAATAAATAAGAAAATTATACCAACAATATCATTATATATCAACATCTAAAGCTACAATTGTATTAACTCGATTTTGATCAAATGTAGCTTACATGAATAAACATATGTTCACGTCAGAGCTTGATATAAGATCAAACAAATCCAACATCGAGAAACCACCTGGAAGCAAGATGGAGGGATATATATTGAAGACAAGATACTTTGACATCACATATTGAAAGTTCACATAGATCGATCAATTCTTCTAAAGGATATGTAGTGAATTAATGAAAAATCATGAAGCAAAGGAATGATTGAAACGAAGACAATGGGCATCACACTGAAGGTATACATGTCCTTCTGTGAAATAAATAAATTCGCTTGCTTTATTTCGAATATTATCTGGTCTATGGTGTTCAATTGATTTTCTTTGTATTTTGATAATGGAAGCACATCCAATTAATTAATAAATAAGTTACATTACCACAAAATAATCAAAGGACTATGAAGAGAACAAGGAATCGAAATTACCAAAGTGTAGATTAAATCAAAAGTGAATTGTTGCTCCTAAATTAGTAAGCTTTCGATGGGGAAAATAATATTGATTATGAAGAAACAAAAAAAATCAGAATAGTGATTACATGACACAAATTGAAAGGAAAAGGCAAACACAATAGAAGGCTGTATTTTGTTCCTTTTCTATTTTTCTTTTCTTCGTTTTTCAATGTTTTGTAATATTTACATATTCATGTGTTTATAAGTAGTACTTTTAAAAGATGTCACTTGAAAGAGAAGGAATATAAACAAAAGTAAATTTATTAAAAACAGAATAAGATAAATTCCTTCTCATTTTAGTATTTACATATGACATTCAAAGGGCCTGTTTTGAATATATTTTGTTCAATAAGTCATTCTAGCTTGATTTTATTTTCAGTTTTTCAGGTAACGAAATTGTGTTTTATTTAATTATAATTTATTCTAAATTTAAGAGGAATAGAGCCATGCAGAATTTTACAAGAGGAATGGAACCATGCAGAATTTTAAGGGTCGAGAATAACCTACAGAAATAAGAGAAAACAAAATGAAGAAAAAAGTAGACACAAAAAAGAAGAGTACCAAGATAAAACCGAAGAATAGCGAAAACAAAGATATTGAATTGCGAATACAAAATAGAGACAAAAGAAGACAAAGATGAATAAGGAAAAACCATATTAAAAACTTGTGAAGAACAATTTGAAGAGGAATTCGAACAAGAACGAAGGAGAAGAAACCTAACAACAACAAAAAAACTTGCGAAGACCAATCTAAAGAGGAAATAAAATAAGAACAAAGGAGAAGAAACCAAATCAAAACAAAACAAAAAAAAGAAGAAAAAAAAAGAGAGCAAAGACGAAGAAGAGCAAACGCGAAGATGAGTGAAAATGAAGAAGAAATCAAATAAGACCAAAGACAAAGAAGAAAACAAAACATAAGATACTGAAAAAGAATGAATCAAAGAAAATTAAAAAAAAACTTTAAAACAACAACGAAGAAGAAAATGAAGAACAATTATGTGTGTCGACTAGCTTCTCTTCATTTAGGTTTTAGGTTTTATAACCATTGAAAACTTACCAAAATATTAGTTTATCATCTAGCTTAAATTTATTACATACAAATATTGTTATTTATAGCATTTTAAGTTCTAACATAACCAACTGAAGTTATTTTAAATAAACATCATGTTATATACAAATATTATTGACATCTAATTTTAAGAATTTCACTAAACATATTTAAAAATATATTTCTGTTTAGAAAATGACTAACACGTCACAATAGTTCATAAATTAACATTACATTTTACAAATAAGTTTAGTGATAAAGTAAGTTTGTCCTATTATAATGATTTGAATATCTTCAAGTAAGTTTTGGTCATTAGACATACACAAACATTTTTGTTACCGGGATATGATCTAAACAATATTTTTGTATGTCAAGATTTGATCTCAATACGATATTGATATATCTAAAAACTTTTGTTTTCCAGAGAGTTTTGGTATTGAAATATTGATAAATTTTAATTGTTGATTTTTGCAGTTTAAAAAAAAAATTAAATATATTTTAAACTGATTTAAGATACAGACCCGCGCGTGCGCGGGTGAAAGTCCTAGTACCATATAATGAAGAAACATTAAAAGCATATAATAGGGTAAATATCTCTTAACAGAAAACCTTTTGAGAAATGCCGGCTTTGCTGAAAAATCGATCGATCGGATGATGTGGTGTATCAAATATGTTCAATACAAGATTCTTTATCAATAGTTAACCACGAAGGAGAATTGTACCCAGTAGAGAGCTCTGTCAAGGAGGAATATTTTCACCGTACAATTTCATACTATGTCTGATAGTATAGGACATTTAGTTTTCAACAATTACGATTGAGTGCCTATAAGAATAGTACTAACTATAGATCAACGTACCAACTTATAGCTCCTTAAATCGCAATGCAAAATGTCAAACACATAAACAAAAAAATGAAGAGGTAGAGAGTAATTAGCACCGATCATGAAAATTTAACTATAAAGAGTAATTACTTATCAAGCTTATTGATTAGATGATTTTTTTGTGTGTGTTAAGCTATGGAGTAATTAAATAAAAAAATCATGACTTCATGAGTAATTACTCCATATCATTTTTTAACACTGGTTGACTGATTGATCTAACACAAATTATAAGAGAACTGTTATAAAATATTCTACAAGGGATGATGTTACCGTTTTCAAAAGACCAACAATTCCACGAACACACATTTGAAATCCAAACCTTAAAAGTATTAAATCCCTTCAACTATTAGGCTAGGGGTTTCCACAGTTAATTACTCAATTAGTTAATTACTCCATATCTAAGTAATTAATTAAATCTAAAGCATCTGGTTTAAAGGTAAATAAAATTCAAGTGACCAATCATGAAAAGAAAAAGAAAAAATCCAAAATGTGTGAGGTGGAGTAAATTATCAATCAAGCCTTAAGCCAAGTCTTTTTAATTAAGGCATTGATAGTTTTGTGAGGAATTTTATGTCGAGTTAGGTTACTTTTGGCTTGTCTCTTTACCATGAATCAAACAAACTCAGATTTCTTATTTGGCATTTTGAAGTAGTAGTACTCAACAATCTCAATTTTCTGTAACGGTTTTAAAGCTCGTTAATTAAGTCAAAATTTATGCAGTCCATTGATAGTGCGTACTACTCACTCAGTCTTATCGCTCTTTGCAAACCAGCTTATTCGGTTGTATGAATAATGAACCAAAAACAAATAAATCCATAAAATCGTTTGGTGGTTATAAATTTTGTACCAATCAAACCCAAGAATTTCGCTATAAATGAAAAAGCATATTCTTCTTTACCCATTTCGTTGTCTTTTATCTTTTCCTTTGTCTTCTCCCAAATCTGTTCCTATCAATCTCAGATAATCCTCAGCCTCTCTGGATTTCTCCACTTCCTCCTCTCAAATCATTTAAGACTTTTACACTCCACTCTTAAATCGGACTTCCCCCTTCCGATGGATCTATGGACCCTTCAGGTCAAGGACACGGCGATCCGAAACCCGATCTTCTCGTCGGCGAAATCAACGATCCCTGAGAAATTGTTTGCAAGGAAACTCGGCGCCGTGGAGATTAGGTTTCTCAAGCGTAAAGTCTCTGTTTCTGGGTATCGTTCTTTGGTTGTTAGAGCCACGTCGAAGAAGAGTAACGACGATTCTTCTTCTTCTGGTAAGAGGCTTACTTGTTATGATTTGATGACTTGCATGTGGTTCAAGATACTGTTCATGCTTGGTTTGCTAGAAATTGGGGAAATTTAGGCATTATGATCGATAAAAATTGGATCTTTCAGGAGAAAAGAGTTAGCTCTGTTCTTGACACTTAGTGTACTCTTTACTTGTTTTAGTATGAAGGATAATTTGATGATTTTCATGTGGCAAAGACACTTTTCATGCTTGATTTGTTAGAAACTGGGATCAAAATTGGATCTTTCAGGAGAAAAGAGTTAGGTTTGTACTTGACACTTGAGTGGTGAGTAACATTGCTTGGTTATGTTTGTGACGATCATTGATGCTTAAGAAGTGGAAATCTTGATTTCATAACGATGTTGGGATTGGTATATCATGAGTGATATAGGATTGTGAATCTACTCTTGATATTTCTCAATATCTGTTCTGATTCTTACAGTTTTTTGAGCTTTTTTGTTCTTGAAGGAGGAGATGCTTCTCAGGAGAACAAGCCTTCTCATGGCAACAAATCAGGTGACTCCACAACTCCGAAATCGTTTGGTCTAAATAAGGATTGGAGAGAGTTCAGAGCAAACTTGTTTATGAAGGAGAAGGTAATCTTGATACTTGTTGATATCTTGTATGAAGTTTGGAATCTGTAAGTCAATAGGGTTTATGCTTTAAATGATGTTACAGGAAGAAAAGGCAGAAGCCGAGGGTCACAAACCAGCAACAGCATCTCATGAATCAGAACAAATTGGGTTGAAATGGGCACATCCGATTCCATTTCCCGAGACAGGCTGCGTTCTAGTTGCTACAGAGAAGCTAGACGGTTACAGAACGTTTGCAAGAACAGTTGTGCTTCTTCTCAGAGCAGGAACCAAACACCCACAAGAAGGCCCGTTTGGAGTTGTCATCAACCGTCCTCTTAACAAAACCATCAAGCACATGAAATCAACCAAAACCGAGCTCGCTACCACGTTTTCAGAATGTTCACTGTACTTTGGTGGCCCTCTTGAAGCAAGCATGTTCCTTTTGAGAACCGGCGACAAGAACAAGATACCGGGGTTTGAAGAAGTCATGCCGGGACTCAACTTCGGTGCTCGAAACACCTTGGACGAAGCTGCGGTTCTTGTGAAGAAAGGAGTTCATAAGCCACAGGACTTTAGATTCTTTGTTGGTTACGCCGGTTGGCAGCTAGATCAGCTCAGAGAAGAGATTGAATCTGATTATTGGCATGTCGCTGCGTGTAGCTCGGATTTGATATTTGGAGCTTCATCGGAAAACTTGTGGGAGGAGATTTTGCAGTTAATGGGCGGTCAATACTCAGAGCTTAGCCGTAAACCTAAGCTTGATATCTAGACACACCTTCATGTTTGTAAGAGAGCTAAAGCTTTTATAAGTTATATATATCTCTCTATTAAGCCAAATGTATAGCTTACTTCTTCTCTGGCTTTGTATTTGAGAATGATGCACTATTTGAAAAAGATTTGCTTTCTGAAAACTCCTATGTATTCTCAAGTTAATAACTAAAATAAAAAGCTCCTATAGATTTGACTTGCAGTTCTAAATATACACATTAGATTTTTTGCTTCCCCTAACCAAAAGAAAAATGTCTGAACAGAGCATGAAAACAGAGTTTGCCTATGCGCAGAGACCACATAAAATAAGAGATCTTTTGCAAGACAATCTCCGGCTTTAATAAGGTTAATGAAATCGTCTTTGTTCACTTAAGCACATGCTCTGACTGAAATATCTTTGTTCTTCTTTGTTGCAGTTTTCACAAGGCGGGATTTGCGTACAGCTTCTTGGATTTGTCTCTCGTGATCTTTCATCATGTCTTCAATGTTTCCTCCAGGAGGCATCAAAGGACCTGAATAGTGCATTCTGTTCTTCTTCCGCATGTATGTCTGAGAAACCAAAAACATCAAGAAACATCTCAGAGTCCACCAATATCTAAAGAAGATGTTAATGAGTTTGAATCAATTTAGTTACCGGTGCAGGTTGTCTTGAAGGTACATTTTCCCTTTGTGAAGAGCTAGATAAGTAATCTCCAAGGACATTGTTGGACCTGCTAGCTTTCACTTCTCCTACATTGCTCCTACTAGAGCTTTCGTTCTTGTTCCATGTCGCGGCTACGCTTGGATGGATCGCTGAATTTGAATCCGAAAACCGCTTTCCTCTGTCGTATCTTCCACTGTCCTTCTTGAAACCGACCGGTGTGTTGATTGAGAGACTTGAATGCCCTGAAGCAATGAACTCCGGTGTTATCTTGGAGTCTCTTGGACCTCTTCTCACAGATTCATGTCCTCGCCACTTCACTGCTTCAGCTTTCTTCCTGAAAATTTTCAAAACGTAAAGTGTGTTCTAAGTATCTCTCTCGCCTGGATACTAAAACCAGATTCTCTCATTGCAGAGACTCACCTTCTTGCTTCTTCGTCTCGATTCTTGGCATCAAGTTCCTTGCTTGGAGGATACTTAGGCAAGCTTGATATGTGACAAGGGAGTGGCTCCGTTGTAAAGAACTATAGAGATGAATCATTGAATCAGTAATCTTCGCCAGGCTGATTCAAGAAAGTTAGTAAAGAACAAGAATGCGCATTACCTCACTCATTAGAGTCGAAGAAGCTGAGCATCTTCTCTCTGGTTCTACAGATAGAAGCTTGTCAAGAAGAGCTAAAGAAGAAGGTGGTAAGTTCTTGAACGTCTCAAGAAGGACACGCGTGTAAGGATGTTGCGGTCTGTAACTTGTAGCTTGTGGAAACTTTGTAGTTTCCCAAAACTCTTCAGATGGTGAACCACACAGCTTAAAGATCTTATGCATTTGCTCCACCTTAAAGAGATATACAAAATCAAGTTAAAATCTTAGGCTTAAGCAGTATGGATTGAGATTCAAATCTGTATTTTCAAAACCTCACCTCTGTTCTTCCCGGCATGATTGGTTTACCTACAAAGAGCTCTGCTAAAATGCAGCCAACGCTCCAGAGATCAATGGCTGGTCCATACTCTGTAGACCCTAGAAGAAGCTCAGGTGCTCTATACCACAATGTGACTACACGGCTAGTCAAAGGCTGTTCTTGGTCAGGTTGGTAAAAACTCGCCAGACCGAAATCTCCAATCTTGAGAACTCCATCGTTGTTTACCAAAAGATTCGAACCTTTGATGTCCCGGTGAAGGATTCCACGGCTGTGACAATGCTCAAGTCCACAAAGCAGTTGTTTCATAAAACATTTGATCTAAAAACAAAACAAGTATAAGTGAATTTGATTGATCAGAGAACACAAGAAAGTGATAAAGGTTTTTGAAAGTACCTCTGGCTCAGTGAATTTGACACCAGGCCTGAGAGCAAGACCTGAGAGATCATGCTCCATGTACTCAAACACAAGATGCAAGCTACCTGATAGCTTTGAAGTGACAAGACACTGAAGCTTCATAACATTAGGATGATCAAGTTTCCGCAGAATGTTGATCTCTCTAGCCATGAACCTCACACTCTCCGGATCCATATTAGCGAACCTCACTTTCTTCATCGCCACTATTTGACCCGTCTCAAGATCTCTAGCCTTATACACAATGCTATAAGTTCCTTGTCCAATCTACAAAACACAAAACGTTTCCACATCATTACAATCCACTAAAAGAGACTAACTTTGTGCAACATATGGTTAAAGATACTAACTTTGTCAAGCTTCTCAAAGGAATCTGCACGTCTTGGAACCCAACCTTTAATGGCTTCACCTGCAACAGAGGTTAGCCAATAAGGCCAACCAGCTGCAATAAGCTCTGCTTCTGCGCTACGAGGAACATTCGAGATAATCAATCCTCCTCCTTTGCCATTATCTGAAACTCTTCTTCCTCGATGAGAAGACCTTGAAGGTCTCTCTACAATCACTGTTTTACCATCATGACTATCATCTATAGGAACGATTAAACCACTCGCTCTTCTTGCACCACCGGAGCTTCCATCAACGGCTTTGTGAGAGAAGTCGTCTTTGTTCGGAGCAATCAATTGAACAGAGGAAGATTTGTTCCAATACTCGTTTCCTTTCTGACGATGAAATGATGTGTCTTCTCCTTCTTCTGCTGCTCCTTTTGAGCAAATGCAGCCCATAATAATAAAACTTTGACAATCTCCAAATACTCTTAAATGATTCAACACATGGCCTTATACTAAAAAAACCAAAACTTTATATCCTGATTGATCCCTAAGCATCAAACCCAGGAATCTTCAGGTTCTGTCACCTTCAGAGATTCAGATTTGGGTTTTGGAAACTTAAAAAGCTAAGTTTTTTGAAACGAAATGGGTTTCTTCTAAAACCCTAAAAAGATTGTGAATTTTCTTGAACAAGTTGGCAAAGAAACAAACGATGAAGAGATTTACAAGCTTTTGCCAAAAGAAAGTTGGGGATTTTTTGGTTCTCGCTGCAAGATAGAGAGAATCGTCGTCGTTGCAGCAGAGGTTCGACGGAAAACGGAAAATCCGGGGAAAATAAGGAAAAAGAAGATTGTGAATAGAGAGATGGAAAGTAGGATTGAGGAGAGATATGGTTTGTGAGAGAGTGAAATCAGGAGAGCCCTTGATTCTTGGGAGAAGACAAGTCACAAGAATCGTTCTTTCTTTCTCTTTCTTTAGAAATAGTCCCAAAACCGTTAGCATGAAGTTGGGATAATGATGATCCCATGGTATGTATGTATTTGTGTTCTTGAACTTGTTGCAGAATCTTGATATGCTTTGCTTAATATAAATACCCGATTCTTTCTTACAATATCTTTTGAAAATATCTTTTAGTTTTTAATGCACAACGAAAATGGAAAGCTTGTAAATCTATATTATTAATAGTTACCAATAAACCGAATGAAATACTAAAGAGAGATCCAAATTAGAGAGAACACTTTTAGAAAACCGGAATTTGTTTCCTTTTCATGAACAAATTTATAGAAAACCGGAATCGATATATAAACGAGAAACTTTATATATAATGCAAACCAGTGTCTCATGAAAGAAAATATTACAAGTTTATATCTTATAAGATAGAAACTTTTTTTTTTGTTAAAAAACAACCTTTAACAAAAAAAAAGTTTCTATCTTATAAGATTATTTCTTTTATATATATATATATATATATATATATATATATTTTTTTTTAAATCCAATTTTATATTACTTACCATAATTTTGATAATCAAAAGACAGATTCAGTAGCAAAAAGGTAGACACATTTATAAAATATAAATATTCACTAAATGGGAAACAAAATTGATGTAAAATGAAAAAAAAAAAATGACAGTATAAGGATCAAAATGATTTCAACACTATAAAATTCATTGAACTAGTTGCTATGCTCAATATAATAGAAGACAGTGCCTACAGCTTCTTCAAAAACCAACGCCTAAGGAAACCTGCAAAGACGACCAACTCGGATACAAACTCGAACGAACCACCAACACACCGGCGACATGGGAATGCAAATAAGCAGAAAGAGCCAAACTCAGCAAGGAGCTCGAGAGAAGTCGCTTCCCAATCTCAATCCCGAAACGAGATCCCAAAATCAAGCAACTTTCCACTTGAGTGTCTTCCCCGGTGTAAAAGAAGAGGAAAGAGAAAGCAGCCAACGGCTTGCCACAACGAGCTAGAACCTGTTGCAACCTTCACTATCCAAACCAACAGATCCACAAAAGACTATGCTACAACGGCTAAAGGGGAGCCACACCGGAAGCCAAACCTGGAGAGAAACAGAGCAAACACCTCGCCGCCAAGCTCTGAATAAGGCGACGTGGAGACCTCGTCACCGGCAGAGACAACCACTCACTGCCGTAAAGAGAGATCACCTCAAATCTCTACTACACCAAGAAAGCAACCACCCACGAACCTCTGCTGTAAGGGAGACAACCGGAAGAACACAGAGCACCACCGACACACCGCGGAGGAGGAGAGAACCGCAGATCTGGAAGCACCGGAACCGGAGACCCGTCCTCAAGGACTCCAAGACACACGCCGCCTAGATCTAACCGGACCCACCCCCACGGAAGACCACCGCCCATCACCGTCCATAGCCTCTGAGAATTGGAAAGCAAGGGTTGGAGGATCCACCGGAGATTTGACCGGAGGAGAGCGCCGCGACGCCACACGCCTTCCCGAGTCTAGCCTCCGCGCAGGAACGCCGGAGAACGGTACCACTGTGACTGACAGCGACTCGAAACCGAAGAAATCGAAGAGGAGAAGGAGAAGCCTCCCCCGGCGGTGACGAGAAGCGCCGACCCACCGGGGAGGCGGCGGATCTGAAACAAAAGCTGCTGGCGGCTGGGTTTTGCGAGAGAGAGAAAATTAGGTTTTTTCAAAATTCAGAAAATAAAAAGTTGTATATCATAAAGAGAACAAAACATGACGTTAGAGCATGTCCAACGGAGTCTCAAGGTGGGTTTTTAAGTGGGTATCAAGCTAATTTTTCTTTAAAAATAATGTTTTAATGACAAAATATGGCTGAGACGTATATTAACGAAGAGACGAATCAGGTTCTGCTGATACCCTAATGTGTCACCCTGTGGTTGGGTGGTTACAAAAAAAAAAAAGAAGGGAAAACGACGAAATCGCATCTCCCATTTTCCTCGACTTTTCCGTCATGTTCAGACTCCGCAGCTGCACCAGTCGGTAGCTTTTCATTTCCATCTTTATCCAGTAAGAAACATTAATGGATCAATTCGATTTCTTCTCTGCAAATCGGAATCGTTTTGGGTTCTAATGCAATGTGTGGGATTTGCAGTTGGTGGAGAAATTAAATGATGCGATCGAAAGTGGAACTCGAGATCAGAATTCTGATGCACTGGTTTGTTTATCTTTTCTTCTCTCTTCAAACATTTCCAGTCTTTAGGTGGATTTTTAGGATTCTTGGATGTTGAATTGTGGAAATTGTAGGTGACTAAGTGAATAGCCATTTTGAGAAGTGTCAACAGCTCTTGAATTCGATTTCAGGATCATTAGGATCTAAAACTAGAAGTAAGTGAACAATTGCTGCAACAAAGAAGGTAAAGCAAAATTATCACATGATATCATCTTTTGTTTGATCATTATGATTGGTCAGGGAATTGGTTGTGGAATATAGAAGATCTATTGAAGAGCTTGTGAAGATAGAGCCTAAGTTAGTTCCATGTTTGTCCCAATATGTTTTGAATATTCATTCTCTTTTGGATTGTGTTCACCCTGAGATTTGAAATAACAAGTATTTAACTTTATGTTTTGTATATCGGAGCTATTGTGGAGAAAAGAGAGGAGCTATTGCTTTCCCATAATGTAGCATTCTGTTTGCGAAATGGTTGAAATGAATAGACATTGATGCTTACTATGGTGTGTTGTTTAATTGGATGAGGTAATTGTTAGTAAATGTTTGTGTGAAGTTGTGTAGGGAAAGTGATTAATATTAGTACATCCATCAATGGCTGGTACATGGAGCGTGGTCTTTTCGGAATCGTAAGTGTTCTTCTACACCATAATTTTACTTAGTGGTTAGAGTCGTCATTTTGTTGTCTGCCTTTGCAAGTTTCAGATATTGATACGCTTTCTGGAGGTATAGTAAGGCTTCAAGTTGCTGAAGCAGAAGTTAACAACATATCCATTCGATTCCTTGATCGTAAGAAGTAAGCTGGTGCCAATCTCTCCCTTTCGAATGTTATTTAATTAATATTGGTCCAAATTGCATGTGGTTCTGGATGGCAATGCCAATCCTTTTATTTCAACTATATCTTTATGGTTTTCATTTTCATTGGATAATAATGTCTTCTATGTTTAGTGGCGAACCAACAAAAGGGAAGACAAGTCCTGAGATGATACTACAGCAGCTTACAACAAAGAAGGGACAGATAATTTTTGGACTCTCTCAGCTTAGATGTAAAGATAAGTTGCTAACGAAAACATCATAGTAAACAATGGTTCTGTTGTCGTTTACTTCTACTGATATTTGTTCTTTGTGTTCAATTGCAGGAGATGAGTCATATGCGTTCGAAGAGATGAATACTTTAGCTGATTTCATATAAGTTTCTATTAAATGTATTTGATTTAAAATAAAATTTTATTTTTTTAGATACTCTATGGGTATCACCATTGGAAGCACAAAACATATACATGAACCTCTTGTCTCTTAAACAAAAAATAAATTAATAAAAAATGTTGTGATACTCATATGAAGGTATCACTAATGGACATGCTCTTATACTTGCATTTATTTCAATTTATATTACCGCATAAATACATCTCAATACACGATTTTTCTATGGTCAAAACAACTTTATATACCATGATCAGTGACCATTTTAATTATACGGAAGTTTGTTTTGCGCTGTAAGAAATCCACAATCCCTGGTCTTTGTGGCCATTCTACCGTCGAATGTAATATATGCATGTGTGCGTCTTTCCAAATTATATTAACGGCAAAATATCTTATATAGGAAGGTATCAAACTATTTGGTAGTTGCAGAATGACCATGTGCTGTGGCCCGCCTATACCAAACATTTTCTCTTCCCATTCGATGCTTTCCACATGGATCCTATATATGATATGTCATGTCCACGACGTTCGGAAACGCATAAGCTAGCTTTCCATATATATACATATTAGTACTGTTGATACCAATTGCAAGTTGGGCAACGTTAGGTAATGATCCTTGGCGACTACTACTAGCAAATCAATATCAGGCACGTTGGAGCGCCACCGCATAAAATGAAAGGGATCAAAAACTGGAAAGAAGGCTTTCTTACGTGAGCATTGATTGTACGTTTCGTTTTTAGTAAAAATGTATACATGGTTCGTATACCCTACCATTCCCCTGATTAGGTAAGCCAGTGAACGGTGAACCATGCTCCATCCATATCATCATGTAAAGGACCGTTTTAGTAATACCTCGTAAAGTGGTTGTAACTGTTGATATGATGATGCAACACTAAGATATGATATGATGATAAGATATTATTTTGTTGAGACTTTGTTAATTTCAGTCAGTTTCTAAGTTTTTTTTTTTTAATATATTTTGTTCAGCACGTATAGTTTTTTTTGTTTTGTTCCCTATCAGGGTTTTGTTTGAATAAGCACATCAATCAATGGACGTAATTGTTTGTCCTTTCTAACACATATGAACCACGCACGTGGCAGCAAACGTAACAAGGTGTAGCTAATTTATATTAAAACAAAAAACATGATAAACTGCAAACAAAGATAGGGAACTAGTGTCCAAGAGAAGGAGATAGTTAGATAGATAGATGAATACGAAAAGATCAGAGATGAGATGATGGGAGAAGGATAGGTCGGAAATCATGGCGGAGAGCAGCTTCCCAGATGACTTGGAGATGGAAGAAGTTGCGAGTGTTGCCGCAGTCATGCTCCTCCCAACCCTCAAGTGCATGCACTATGCCTCCTACTCTCCACGCACTCATCACTCTCCTCCCCAGCCAATTCTATATATGACAATATTAATCAAACACCAATCTCCATATATTTTACACATATATTTACCAGCTTAAAGTAACACGTATCTATGTACATATTCAAAGCAATGTGTACCTCGCAGGAGTCGATGTTTTGGGCAGACTTGGGAACAAGCATAGCTGGAGTGGAATGGTAGAGACAGTCCTCACGAAGTTCATGGAGCGGTAAGTGAGAGAAGGGAATAAAGAGTGTTCCTTCTTTTGCCTTCATCTGCTCTTCTTTCCTTATTTCATCCCCCACCAACCACACCTTGGGGGAGTAATTCTTGCTCGTGTGCAGTAACAGATTTTTGATATTGACCCCAGGTTTGAGGATTTTGTTGTGTTCCTCCGCGCGTAACACCACCACCTTTATACATATACCCATTTGTGCTATTATTGTTAATTTTTCGTTTTAAAATGGTGTGTCTGATCTCACACATCACATCACATACCTTGACGCCTCTTTGGCATAGAGCAAAGACAATAGCCAAAGCAACCTTTGTGGGTTTGCCTCTAAACATAACTTCTGTGGTTCCTTTTGGAATGCTATTGACCACTACAGCAGCTGCCATGCTGCTTCCGTCCACTAATTTTATCTTCAGCTTTGGATGCTTTTGCACGTACATATCTCCACACCCGTTTAGCTCCTCCCTCTAATTAATCGTGCGTTAATTAGTTATACTTATCCAATATATATTTTATATATATCTTATATATACCTGTTCTAAAAAACAAAAATGAAAACTTACATTGTTCATCAGGCCAAGGCTCATTACTCTCACACCCTTTTCATCTGCTTCAAGGATAGCTGCCTCTATGATATTGTTGATGGCCTCACGGTGGCGCTGAGATTTATACTGCCGACACATGTTTATGTGGACATATTAATATAAACCTAGATGCAAATTCCAAAATGTGTAACCACCAGAACAGAATTATTATATGTCATATTTTCTTCCTACGGACAAAAAAGGAAAATGTGTATTTTGCAGTTTTCTAAAACGCGCTAGGTATTCACTAGGCGACACATGAGCAGAGAGAGAGAGAGAGAGAGGTGTAAAATGCTTACGTGGAAGGAAAACTTGGGAAGGAGGTGAGAGTGAAGGGTGAGGTTACGGAGACGGTTTCGCTCAAAAACAAAGGTGCGAGAGGAGAGAGCGGATGTGAGAAAAAAGGAGAAGAGGAGTGTGAAGGGCCACATGAAGTAAGTGATGTACCATGGAGGTCGAGACCACAATGGGCGAGAGGAGAGGGACGAGAAGCCAAGACGCATTTGGTAGATGGAGTCGAGTGTGGTGAGATGAGTGAGGTGGATGACGTCAGGTGATTCTTCTTCTCTCTCCAACGATCTCTCATACAGGGACTCACCCCCCTTGTCAGTAGTCCCATAGACATAGTCATAGATGGGCATGAAGAGAGAGTAGTTGGTCCGGAACTGAGTGTGGTGGAGCGAGTGGAACCTTCAAAACACATTTAATGCCATGTTATATATATATATATGAAAATGTTGTGTGGGAATTGTAGCTAGTCTTAAACCAAAGACGTACGAGGGAGTGTAGCAGAGTAATTTGAGGGGAGGGAAGAAGTGGAAGAGACGCTTAGGGAAAATCTCGAAGTTGCAGTGTCCCATGTTGTTCATGAAGTCAATGTAAGTAATGTATGCAATGAGGGAAACAATGGAGAGTACCCCACAAAGGGACGCCGTTACTAAAGGTATGGAGAAGAGAAGTGAGTAGGCGATGTGTTCGGCGAAGGGGTGCACCACAGCTGCCAAGTTTGATACATAGTTATATGGGTATATATATATATATATATATATATATATATATATATATATATATATATATATATATATATAATAAGGAAAATGATGGATATGAATCTACGTACACGTGATGGGCTCAGTGACGATGGATGAGTGGTGGTGAGAATGGTAGCGAGAGTAGAGGAAGTGGTGGTGGAGAGCTCTATGGAACCAGTAGTATAGGAACTCTACGGGGCCAGCGTGAAGAAGAGCCATGAAAATGACTCCGTCTAGTCTCCAAACGGGGAGGCAGGCGGAGCCTGGGAGGATGATGTTGGCGATGTAGATGAGGAGAGTGTTGAAGAGGATCTGGTCGTCCCAGGTGCGCTCTCGGTCAACTTGCTCGAACTCGATGGGTTTGTCGACGATCTTCTTCCTCCCCATGGCCGTTCTCTGACGCGACACACTGATCCATATCTGGCTGTGAACTATTCGCCACATCATCAGCACCACAATCAAGAGCCTCCCGAGGTCCTTCTCCTCGTCCTTAACCGTCGCGTACGAGTGTATGCTTGACATCACCCACGGGGCCACCAAGAGGTACTTGAAGCTACCAAGACGACTCCATGGCCACTCCGTCAGAGCTCCGGGTCTCGACGCCATTTAAAAGAGACACTTGAGCTAGCTAGTATATCGTCAAAGAAGTTTGTAGGAGATAGATAATTTGTGGACAATGTGTGACATGATATATAGAGGGAAGGGATCATCATGTGGAACCTAAATTTTCGGATGCACTCTGAAGAAGACGAACGTGGTGTTGGGTCCCGCTCTACGATACTAGAAGTGTCTACAACAACATTAAAATAATAGTTAAGTTTCACCTCGACCACCACAGAAATCTGATCTTAGTTTAGTCTAGTCCATTATGCTAGTACTGACATCACTCTAGCTAAGAGACCATACACAAATTTGTGGCTTCTCAACCTCAGCAAGTTAACCTTTCTACTTGGATTAATACCTCACTACACGAGACCCTAAAGATGATATAGCATGTCCTAATCAGTCCGCTTAAGATATTTTAAGAGTACATGTTTCTTGATTATGTGTTTCGGAGATGAGCTGAAATGCGAAAAAAAATAATCATTGGTATTTTCTTTGGTAAGACTTTCTCTTAATTAGGGCACTTTTTTTTAATTTTAAAAACTCTCTTTTTTTACCCCTTTTTATGATGTTAAAGTTTAACTGTATTTTTTTTTTCTCGTCATCAACATCTTTGGACACTTTAATTTCAAAGTAATTTTTGACATGTCTCTTCAAATTTTCTTATCTCCTAAATTTTCTTATTTGTTATGTAGATTCCCCCTAATCAACTCGTCGAGATTGGATAGGAACTTGTGGCTCCCAAGCGCACTTATACCGATACTACTAACTCCATCATCGAAGATCTAATCATCTTCTTTTTTTTTTCAACAACAAATACTTTTCATTCATTAAACGTGTCCAACGGTTACAGCATGTGGGTCTCGATGGGAAATTAAATTCGCAAATCTACTCTTAGCGTCTTTTGCTATCGAATCGGCTAAGGAGTTTTGAGATTTGGGAATGTAGCTGAAATGGATCGAATCGAACATGGTTGCAAGAGCGTGAATGTCAAAGAGAATTCCATAGATCTCTGTGATTTACTCTTGCGAGAAGATTGCTCTGATGAATCCAAGAGCGTCTGAGATGGATTTTAGTAAATCCAGTCTCTAATACATGGAGAAGCGCTGATCTGATCGAGAGGGCTTCGGCCATGAATGAGGAGGTGACGAAAGGTTCTGCTCCTTGTCCTGGCGCTGGCGTCATTTACGAAGACCCATCCTAGACCTCCGATTCCGCTTCTGTCGCACCAGGCTCCGTCGGTGAAGCAGGAGACGGTATTTGGTGTATTCACGGTTCCGATTGGTGGTTTAAGGCCTCTAATCTAATCATCTTCAAAAAGAAGAAACAGCATCTATTTCTTATATTTCTTGATTAGCACGCATCAAATCATGAAGTGTGAAACGAGAGATAAATAAATGCCTCCATCGTATTCTATCGTACGATGAGTGTACGCCTGACAGAATAATCGAGTCATTTTTCTGTATTCTGTCGTAAACTAGAGTGCATGTAAACATATTATAGATTTGGAGTCTAGAGTAGTAGTTATACAAGTATGGTCTAGACACTTTATATATTATAACCATATCAAATTATCAATCACACATCATAATACTAAGAATTGATCATCGTATCAAGTTATCAATAGCATATATCACCATGAGTCATTGATAAGAACTTAGTATATGTGGTTATTAATTATAGGGAACTTTAGAACAAGAAGTTTAGTGAGTTGATCAAAAGGGTATATAAAACTTTTGAAGATAACATTGATGGTAAGAAAAGGGTTATTTAAGCTAAAATGTCAAAGTAGTAGTAGGTCCCAAAGGAGATTCAGGCGGCATATCAGAATCGTCTCTCCTGCCCCACACGTACTGTACCATGATAGTACGATCGATATCAATGCAAATAGACGAATTTTATTAGACAATTTTTCATAATAATTACACTTTTATTTTTTTTGAAACATAATAATTACACATCTTGTATTCGAACTTTTATAAACGTTTACATTTCCTACTCATCACTTACACGAAACTCGGAGTCTCGAAATTTGATTTTATATCCCAAACTGAATTTGCACGTTTTTTTTTCCTTTTAATCCAGCTCATGTGATTAATATATATTTACATGCCTAACAGAAAAACTAACCACGTGTTAATGGCAAAAAATAATACTACTTCCCATGGGGGAATTGCCAAATCTAGACCACAATTTCATTTTTTCTAGTCAACTAGACCACAATTTGAATCAAATGCAAAAGTAACCTCTTTGGGTAGTAAAATTACCCCACAAGCCCTCATGACCAAACAAAAAAACGCATGCCTCGATTACGATTATAACCTCCAGCATGTAGATCTACCTGTAGATCTACTGGTAGACAATGTTAGAGGTCTACCTCATAATAACATCTTAAATTTTAATTAATAATTCAATAAAAAATATTTTTATACAAAAACAAGTATGAATAATTCTAATATAGACATTATCATCTACAAAAAATATAAATGCATACAAATGAATCATTTATAGATAAGCAAAGACATAGGTTAATATCTATAAAAATGTTTGAGGTCTACCGAGTAAGTCTACTATATCATTAAATTTAAATTTTTATTATAAAAATTGAAAAAAAAATATTTTGAGGAAAATTATTTATACATAATTACAATACAGACAACTTGCATCTATCTAAAATATAATTTCATAGATTTGAACCAACTGAACTATGAAAAAAAAACAAATTAGGTTAAAAGCCTATAAAACCATGAGAGGTCTACCAAGTAGGTCTACTAAATCATCAAATCTTAAATTTAAATTAAGAAAAATTTAAAAAATAATTTGAAATATTTGTTTCACAAATAACGAAATAATAGACATTTAACATATATTAAAAATGAAATTTCATAAAAACTCATGAATCTATAAATATCATATGTAAATAGTTCATAAGGATAAGAGTTTGAGTAGATTGTTTAGGGTTTAATGGTGTAAGTTGTAGGGTTTTGAAAAAATTTAGATGAATAATTGTTTTTGATTGGTTTTACGATTCAATGTTCGTTTATTTGTAATATACATTGTAAATTGACAATATGGCAAGCAAATCGTTGCAAAATTGCATCTAAATTGTTCGATATAGGGTTTAGGGTAAAGTAGACCTAACAGGTAGACTAATAGAGTAGACGGAAGTGAAGGTCTACCAACCGTTTTAACCTAGCGGGAATCCCGAAGTTTCAAACCGACGGCTGAGATTGAATCGACGTTTCGGTAATTTCGTGGTAGACTAAATCGGTAGACAATTCGAGTAGATCGAAGCGGTAGACCTAAATCTAATTGAACCGGAATTTTTATTAAACCGGAATATTTATCTCATGATATAAAAGAAACAAGAAACCCTAATTTTGTTAAAAATAAAAAACCAACCCCTCTCTTAAATGGCGCTCGCCTCTCTCTCGCTCTCTCTCTCTCTCTCTCCGGCGTTCGTCTGTGGAGCCATCGGTGCTTGAGATCTGATCTGCGGCGGTTGCCGATGAGATCTTCGCAGGTTCTTCCTTTGGTTCCTCAGGATGAAGGAGAATCTCCTTATGCATAACATGTTTATCTTCGTTTCTTTTGGTTGTGGATCTGAGCTCCCTTTCTTTTTGTTGGTTTTGCAGATCTAAACTCTCTTTTCTTTGTAGATTTGAGCTTTAACAATAACTCTCTTTTCTCAAACGGCGCCTCCCTCTCCTTGAACCACCACCATTCATCTGTGTCCTCCAGATCCAGATCTAGAACCGCCGCAGTTGGCTTTTTCCCCTTCAGATCTGCTCAAGAAGACTTCTCCTCTTGACTCCCACGACCCTCCCTCCCGCCAGCTCTCTCCTCCAGCAATTACGGGGCGATTTCCAACCGTTTCATAAAGTATCAGAAGCTGATTTTGGTACCATCGGAAAGATCATTTTCTCAGCTTTCCATAACATCCAAAATTACGGTAAACCGAGTTATATTCAGAGAGTTATGGATATTTTTTCTTGTGACGTCAGATCTGTTTTAGGATATCAATTTATTTTTGTGAAGGTTTTGTGAAGCAATTTCCTGACGATTCGTAAGTCACAGGAGTAGATCTACATGTTTTGAAGATCTCCAACCCAACTTTTCAGATCTTCTTTCAGTTGTCCATTCAGAGGTATATTTCATCTGCAAATCAGCTCCAAAGTTTAGAGAAATTCTCTATTTCTGTTTCCAGAAAAATCTCAATTTCTAGTCTTATTTCTTTCATTAAACTTAAGATTTGTGTTTCATTACTCTGACTTGTAGCAGAGAAGGTCTTACTACAGAAGCTGCTGATGAGAGGCCTCTCCTCTATGGGAATAACAATCTCCAAAAGAAAAAGGTTCTGTAGACTTTTTACGTAGACCTCTGGTGTGGACCTTCTACGTAGACCGCTGGTGTGGACCTTCTACGTAGATCTTCATCGTCGACCTTATTTTTAATCTATCTTTTTAAAGTAGGCCTCATGTTACTTGTTGGATTTCAGTTTTTCTTTTCAATTTTGATTGTAACACTTTGCTTCTCTAATAAAAAACTTTCATTATTATTGTCATGATCTCTTTTGATATTTGCACTTATTTGATACACAAATTTTGTTTATTGAAAGAGATCAATACATGACTTATTATTAATATAGGTTTTGTTTCTTCAAAGAGATTAAGTCTAACTGAAAACTTACATAAAAAACTTGAAAATAGCACAAAGTAGATCTACTACGTAGATCTCAGTTGTAGATTGCATTTGTAGACCTTATTATCAGTCTACTTCTCCGAATTAGACCTTATTTTCAGTCTATCTCTGTGTTGTTCATCTACATCAGTTCAAAATCCAATTTTATAAAACTCATGTAATAAAAAAACAGAAACCATGAACACACTGTGAGTTGTCATTAGCTTACGCAATGAAGGCGGATATGTCCCGGTTGCTGCACTTCGAACAACTATAAACTCTATCAAGCTATGAACCTACCCGTTGGTGATGTACATATGAGGAAAGTCTGAGGGTATTTGATGGAGCATCACATTGGGTAATTGATAAGATAATTCCACCATGTCTGCTTCCATATCCAACATATAGTCAGCTTGTTCCATTCTAAGAGGCTCCTTATGTGTACAACCATCCCGTAAGTAGAACATTCTCCCTCCTTTTCCTTTGTCCATCTCAAAATGCCATGACTTGTCTTCCATCACCATCCATTTTCCATAAACGGAAGCTAGACAAACCATTACCTGCAACAAAAATAAACCAGATCACAAAATGGATTAGTAGACAGAAGGTGTAGACCGACAAGGTAGACCCACAATTTGGTCGACCAGAAAAATAAGCTAGTTACCTAATTCAAAAGAAAACCGAATATAACCTTAATTACGCCGAAAGAACATTTCAAACTCACACAGAAGCAAATAAACAAATAAAAACAACTAATTGTTCGAGAAAATTTCAAAATATTTGATATATTGAAAGGAAAACGACATTTTAAAAAACACATAATAATAGACCTAAAACGTAGACGTTCGGAGTAGACGTTCATGGTAGACCTCCACTTAGGTCTGCTCCACGTGGACGGCCACGTGGAGGGTTAGTTTTGCAATTGATCGAGAAAAATGTTTTTTTGGAGGTCTACCTTGTCGGTCTACTACACGTGGAGGGTTAGTTTTGCAATTGACCAAACGTTGACTTTTACACGAGGTCTACCGTATACGTCTACCAGAAAACGTAGACCTCTCAATCGGTCTACCAAAAAAAGTAGACCTCTTAATTAGTCTACGCCTTAGGTCTACCTACCGAAAACAGTTTGTTTTGCCGTTGACTCAAGTTTGACTTTCCTCGGGTAGACTTCCGTGGTAGACCTCAGTTTTTTGCGTTGACCAGTAGACCTCAACTGCAGTCTACCAGATGGTAGACCTAACGGTAGACCTCAATGTCACAAAATCTCTCCTTTTTGAGGAAAGTCAAACTTGAGTCAACGGCAAAACCAACTTTTTTTTTTAGGTAGACCTAAGAGGTAGACCTCCGAAAAACATTTTTCTCTATCAATTGCAAAACTAACCCTCCACGTGGAGTAGACCGACAAGGTAGACCTAAAAAAAAACATTTTTCTCAATCAATTGCAAAACTAACCCTCCACGTGGAGTAGACCTAAGTGTAGGTCTACCACTCATTTTTTTTGTTTGCAAAGGAAATGGTACAGTCAACTCTGCGTTGACCAGTAGACCTAAACTCAGGTCTACTATGTAATGGTAGACCTACAATTCAGTCTACCTTCGCAGACCAAAACTGAAATTCTTAAAATTTTGAAAGAAAAGTTACTTGGCCGTCGGAGAAAGTCTCTTCGAGGTTGATAACTTCAATTTATGTCTTCAATTACGAGTTCCAGTCATCACTGTAAGCTAAACAATTGGAAATGCCAAGACCCAAGATTTGAGTTTTCTTTTAAGTTTTTGGGATGAAAATGGAGAGAAAATGGAAAAATAAGAGTTTGTGAGATGAAAGAAGGAGCAATGCTAGCTCTAAAGTGAGTTTTCAGAGCATTAACAGCTCCAAATTGGGTAAAAATGGTGGTTGTCAACATTGATGATATGGCTTTTTGGCAATTAAATGTAGAAGATGAGGGGTGTTTGGTCTTTCAGCAGATTTGGTAGACCTAAATATCGGTCTACCAATCGAAAAAGTAATGGCATTCCCGTAATTAATTGAAAAAACAGGACAAACTTAAAATGAAAAAAACAGGAGGTTAGTTTTGCATTTGACCACAATTTTGGGTCTACATGTTGTGGGTTCGGAAAACCACACTCAAAATTTATGTGTATTTTGTAGGGAGAAATTGCCTGTGGAATCAGAGGTTAGATTCTGATGTAAGTCGAATGATTCGTAGACAAATATTTGACGAAATCGGACTTAGGCTAATCGAATAAAGTGGTTACAAAACCGGCCTGAAAGACCATGTAAAACACTAGGATTCGACTAAGCAAAAGAGATGGAAATGAGGTGGTGGCTGCGCTCGTTAACGAGCTGCCTACGTACCCTGTTTTAGGGATCAAGCCAGAACGTAGTTCGATTGTAAGTTGTTCTCTATTTCGAGTCGTTTTCTGAAGAGAAATGACCACGAAAAGAGCTAAAGGGGTGTGAAGATGACGATAAATCTCAGGTTATCGGAGTGATCCGAAGGTAAGAGATTATGTCGAACTTCTGCCGGAAGTGATTTCCGGCTAGAAAGATCAGGGCTTTCTGGGATTATCTCAAAGACCAAGGATAAGATCGAAGAGATATGGATGTATCTCAAGCGAAAGAGAAGTATCAAGAATGAAGAACTTTGTTCTCAGAAGAAGAAAGATAGAGATTTATTGTCCAGGAAAGGAACATTCGCCTTGTGATCAAGAATCGTCCTCTTTTTATAGCTCCGAAGTAGATCGCAACCTCCTCCGCGTATCTCGTCCACGTGCAACTACCGATCCCGCTATTTCCGGATCTGAACAGTCGAAGCGAGATTCTCGTTTGACTCGTTCAAACTCAGCTTGCGGACTTGACTCCGTCGAGCTAGAGCTCGACTTCGTCTTCACAAGTAGCTCGGACAGTAAACAGCTGGATTTTGGACAAGGATACTTGGTGGGCTCGAGGTCACTTTACTGGGCCTGAGTGGACTTATCTTGATCTTAGGACTTAGGTGATGGGCCTTATGGGCCGGATTTCTGGAGGGAAATCCAGGTCCAACAATAGCCCCCCAGCTCATTAAGTGAGTATAATCGAACTTAATGAGCGGTAGGTTGTTTTAAAATTGTCCCGCAGTCCCGTCGAACTAAATCATGACTTTGAATAGTCATTAGAGATCGACGGTCGCAAACGGGAAGGCGAAGATCTTTGAGATCTTGCCGTTGAATGATAGTTTCACCTTGAAAGACAAGGTAATAACTTATTCTTTAGATCGACAATCAAGATCGAAAATAGATCGAAGAGCTATTATGATCTTAAGAGTCGAGCTTTTCGAGAGTAGTGAAAACCTTAGGAGAAGATTTGCGATTATCAACTCTTTTAGATTGTTTCTCGAGAAGGCTTTTGGTTTAACTAACTCAAACATTGCGCGAGCTCTTTTTGAGTTAATCGATTATTTTTCGAGTTCGACCAATTGTTGATTAAATTCTTTAATCGAACTTGGTCGCTTTAAGTCGGACTGTTTTTCCGACTCGAACTCGAAAAAGGATACGACCAAATGAATTTTAGTCGGTTTGTTTGATTGAATTCTCGCATAAGATTTTCGGCTGACCGAGAAATCTAGCAGAAAAGACTTTGCCAACTCTTCTGAAAGTTGCTTCAAGTTAAACTGATTTCTTTTTGAAATTTCGAGTCACTTGGCATGATTTCGACTAAGTATTTGTTTTATTTAGGTCGAGCTAAATAAAACTTAGTCTTTGGTTCGAATGTTATTTCAACCAAATGGTCGAGCTTATCGTTGAGCTAAGCTGAACAAAGACTTAGTCAATATCTTTGAAGATATTCTTAAGGTCAGGTTAGAATCTATTGAGAATCTAGCTCGATCTTGGAGATGTTCTCGAATTTTAGCTCGAGAATTGGCAGAGTGCTTGACTGCCATTCAAATCAGACTAAGTGAGACTTAGTTGATTTCTTAGGATCATATAAGATCAAGCAAGAATCTATTTAGAATCGAGCTTGACAAGATGGTATATGTCCCGAGCGAACTTCGAATCGAGCTCGATGCTGCGATAGAGAAAGTTTTTCGCTGTAATGACTTGGGCAAGTCATATGTTTTGCTTCGGATTTAACACCTGTGTAGGTTTTCATCCATTTTTAGCAACAAAATTTTGTTTGTTACTGTTTTTCGCCGCGTTCCATCTGTTACAGATTAGAGCCCGACTTCGAGTATCCACCTCTTGGAAGAGAGAAGATTTCTCGCGAGCTAACGTTTTGTGAACGATCTGCAAAGTCGGCTGCCACTCGTTGTGAGCAAGCAATCCAATCTAGAGCTAATGGAGTTGTGGAGATTGTCCATGTTGCGGTTGAATATACTCTTCGTGATGAAGTAGTAGGTCAGGTTCTTCATGCTGCTATCGGGGATGATACCCGAGTGACTCATTTGAGACGAACTATCTCGTTGAGGTCGAATAGCGAACAATGAGGATGGAGCTCGAAATGAGCAAGAGATGATAATCGGACTCCGAATTTGTCGAGCTCCTTGAAAAAGCGAGTTAACTCGACGGCGAGTCCGTCATCCCTTGTAATGATAGATTGTTCGAAGGATGTGCCAGTTTTGGATAATCCTTGAACATTCATGTTGCGCCAATGCGGGCCTGCTGCAAATCAATCTCCAGTTTTGGATATGACGCTCGAGAGGGAGCTGTATGCGGCAGCGATGGCGGCGGATGAGAAGGTATGGTTTTACCTTTTCTAAGTTTTTGCCGATGATTTGATATCTTCGGACTTAATTTTGCGATATCTTTGAAGGAATCATGAAGCTCTCTGCTCGTTGTGAACAAAGGTTACATGAAGCTCTTGGCAAGATGAGCTTGATAAGATGAAACAGGTGGTAGATGAGCTCGATACTAAGCTCAAATATGAGAGATAGAGTAGCTCGTCAAAGCGGCTTGCTAAGGATGAGCTCTATTCTCGTTTAAGTTTCGAACAAGTTAGCCAGCAAGGTTTTATGCTTTGCCTTTGGATTTGGTGCCTGGAAGGCTTTTATCCTTTTATGTTCAAACTTGTTTGCTCGGAATGAGCTTGGTGTTTGATAATTTTTCTTAGACGTTTGATGTCTTAGAGTTTATCTTTGTTTTCCAGATCAATTGACTGTTAGCTCGATTGTTCGAACATTAGTCGTTTTGGTTTGATTGGAGATTTGACCTAGCGTGTCAGCTAACTGGTCGGACCGGATGAAGCTCAGTTGATCTCTTTGAGAATCGTATAAAGTTGAGCTAGTTTCTTTTTGAATTCCAGCTCGAGCTTTTAACGTGTTGAGCTTCAACTTGGAAGGTTGCGTCGGGTTGAGCTAACCTTTGTCGGTTGAAAACGACTGATTTTAGATGATCGTCTGAATTCAGTAGGTGGTTCTACACAATCAGCACTCGAGCTTCATCTTTAAAGATTTCTTTAAGTCGAGGTGATTTCCTATCAGACTTTTAGTCGGATTCACCGGTGTTTGCCAATTGCGTGATTTTGTAGATTAATCAACATGATCAGCAGTTGGGCTTGATTGAAGAAAGACTGCTCGGGGCCGAGCTGATTTCCTTTAAGATTATCAATCGGATTTGATTGGATCCAGTTGTGTGATTTTGTAGATTGATCTACATGATCAGCTCTGGAGCTTTATGGTTAAAGACTGCTCGTAGGTGAGCTAATCTCCTATTGAATTTCAGTCGGGTTTGACTGGGTTTTGCCAATTGCGCGGATTAGTAGATTGATCTACATGGTAAGCATTTGGACTTGATCTTCAGGACTGCTCGGAATCGAGCTGATCACCTTTCAGATGTTTAGTCGGGCTCGACTAGGTTTTGCCAATTGCGTGGATTAGTAGATTGATCTACATGGTAAGCATTTGGACTTGATCTTCGAGGACTGCTCGGAATCGAGCTGATCACCTTTCAGATGTTTAGTCGGGCTCGACTAGTTTTTGCCAGTTGTGTGATTCGTTTGATTGTTCTACGAGATCAGCACTTGGGCTTAATCTTCGAGGACAGCTCGGAGTCGAGCTGATCACCTTTCAGATCTTCAGTCGGATTCGACTGGCGTTTTGCTAAGTATTCGATGTCCTTAGGAGTAATTCGAATGTTTAGCCGGTGTGGATTGTTTAAAGAAAGACTGCTCGGGGTCAAGCTGATTTCCTTTAAGATTATCAATCGGATTCGACTGATGCCAGTTGTGTGATTTCGTAGATGATCTACTCGATCAGCACTTGGGCTTAATCTTCGAGGACAGCTCGGAGTCGAGCTGATGACCTTTCGGATCTTCAGTCGGATTCGACTGGCGTTTTGCTAAGTATTCGATGTCCTTGGGAGTAATTCAAAATTTTAGCTGGTTTGGATTGTTTAAAGAAAGACTGCTCGGGGTCAAGCTGATTTCCTTTAAGATTATCAATCGGATTCGACTGATGCCAGTTGTGTGATTTCGTAGATTGATCTACTCGATCAGCACTTGGGCTTAATCTTCGAGGACAGCTCGGAGTCGAGCTGATCACCTTTCAGATCTTCAGTCGGATTCGACTGGCGTTTTGCTAAGTATTCGATGTCCTTAGGAGTAATTCGAAAGTTTAGCCGGTTTGGGTAGTTGGGCCCAAGGTTTGTAGTTTTCCCGGTTGTTGATACGAGGTGTTCCTAATTCGGCTTTGTGGGAGAGATGGTTTACCATGCGGAGTGACTACAATCTTGTCGCAACGGATAGTGTTCCGAGCGTGTCCGGATGGGACCGTCGACGCGGCTTGATTTCGTATCATAATGCAAACTGCCTGAGGTCTCTCGGCTCACGTTCGGGTCAAGTGCAATTCGGACGTGCCGTCAAAGTAGCTCGATATCGTGTTGAACTACAAGCTGCCTTGAGGAGTTCGACTCACACTCGGCTGTAACACTGATACCAGATGCTTCGATGCGGTTGACTCTGATGGGTTTCTGCGATTTAAGGAAGCGATTTTCTGTTCTGTGGCTGGAGCAGGTTATTTCTATAAATCTAATTACGCTTAAGAGTCTAAGGAGGCGCTTAAGGATTCGCAAGGTGAGTTCGAGCAATTTCGTAAAAAGAAGAATAGAAAAGTATTGATATTGAGATGATACAAATCGAACCTGTTGAAGGGCTGGCCAATGAAGTCGTCTAAAATATTAGGGATGAATTTGATTGGGGCTGGACTCATGGGTGAGCTGCCTACGTACCTCCAGGGAAGGAGGATCAAGCATGGACGTAGTTCGCGGGGTGGAGATACCTCGGATGAGATTATTCTAACGAAGTACCGTTTCAGGTATATTGCGTTTAAATGACTCAGTCCGTGTATTCCTTTTTGGATTGGCGAGCTTGTAGACGCTGTTGCGAGCTACACCAGTGATGAGGTAGGGATCTACCCAGCTAGTTCCGGACTACCTAACACCGGGCTCTTTGTGTTTGTCATGACGTGTATTAATTTGGAATAGCTGTTATTAAGCTATAGTCCAAGTTAAACATCACGAGCTTTGGGTCGGATCCGTCTGGAGGAAGAGTTCGTCCTGAAGATTTGACCTTTTTGTATGCTTTGATCGAGTTGTTTGAGTCAAATCGTTTCTTTTTAGAAAGAGGTGACTCTTGGTGGTTGATTCCGACTGCGCGTTCCCGTTTTTGGGATGCTTTGTCGTTATCGTTAGATGAGGTCTTACTGCGTTTAGCTGACCTGCCTTTCTTTTCTGCTTTTTGACATAAGATCGACATTCTTCGGTGGAATGGTCGTGCTTTTTGTGTATTTTGCAGAATTTCTCGACTTCGGAGCTCGAGTTCGATTTCAGAACTGAGCTCGCAAGAGATAGAATGTTGTGGTAGTTTTCCTTTGCGATATTTTTCTAGGAGGAGAGTAATCTCCTCTTCGAAAGTAGCAAAGGTTAACGCGCAGCGAAGTGCATCGTCGAGTGATACAGGAGGTCGAACGATTAGTTCTTCTCTGAATTTCGATTTGTACCACAGGTTGTTTCGGAAGGCTAGTAGAGCTACTGCCTCGTTAGGGTTTTCGATCTTAGCGATGATTGCTTTGAATCTGTTGACGTAAGATCGAAGTGATTCGTTTGGAGCTTGAGAAAGCGTCCAGAGATCGGCTTCGAAACTTCTGGTTCGATGAAGATCGAATATTGGTTTATGAATACCGAAAGGAGCTGGTCGAAAGTATCGATTGAATTTTCATCCAGCGTTGCGAACCAATTTTTAGCTGGTCCGGCTAGGTTTTCAGCAAAGAGTTGGCAGGAAGCTGCTTCTATCTCTTCAGGAGAAAATTGAGCTCGAAGTATTTCGAGATAAAGAGCTCGGATATAAGCTCGTGGATCGCTATTACCGGAGTATTCTGGGATACATAGCTTGTAGTATCGCGCAGACGGTGTTAGCAATCCTGGATGAGAAGGGAGTTCGTTGTGTCTCCCTGATTACTTTGTCGATATCCGGAATCGAACTCATTGCTTGGTTAAACGTTGAGTTCGCTTGCCGGAATGCGAGGTTTGTTTGGTCCTGGAATCTTTCGAAAGATTCGCAGTCCAAAAGGTTTCGCGGATCGACAGGAATCCGATTAGCTGGAATCGGATGGGATAGAGCTCGATTTGACGAGCTGTTTGCTTTCGTCAATCGAGCTAGATCTGTCGGATCGTTTGCTCTATGATTGAGCTCGATCGACTAGATCATTTGTTGCGGGAAACTGTTGATAGTTTCCGTTCAACAGTTCGAGCTGTTGCAGGGGCTGCGAGCTCAAAATTTCATGGACTGATTTTTGAGCTGAGACATCGCCTGCAAGCTTGAGTTGGAAGCCATAGTTTCGGGCCATCTAAATATAGTTGGCTCGACACCTGATAGCTTTGGAGGTGGAGATGGAAGTCGCTCTGTTGGCTGAGATCCTATCTCCGATTTGCTTGAATCAGGAATGTTCAAGCTGCTCATTGGCGAGCTCATCGATGAGACGAGAGTCGGAGACACGAGTGCGCAGTGGCAATCATCGTTTCGACGAGCTGTTTATTGAACTCATCGGTGGGACGAGTCTGAAGACATTAGCGCGCGGTGGCGCCTCATCCCGTTTCGACGAGCTGTTTAACTCATCGGTGGGATGAGAGTCTGGAAGACGCGAACGCGGTGGTGCCTCATCCCGTTTCGACGAGCTGTTAGGTTCGTAGATTGGTGAAGAGTCGAGCTGAGTTCCCGGAGGAGGACTTATAATCGTCCGTAGCTCAGCAAGACTTCGTTCATGTTTTTCCAACCTGATTTTTTGGTCGTATTGACTGTTAATCAGGTCGGTGAGCATTCGCTTGATTCGGGCTTGGTCGTCCGGATTCGGTCGAGCCAAGGCAAACGACGTTGACACAGTTTGAGTCGGAGTTTTCCGACTGATCGGTGTCGAGGTAATCGGGAAATCTTTAGATTTGACCCGAACTCGCAAATGAGGTCTCTCAATTGCGTGCGAGATCTGATTCGGTAGAATCGAGTTCTCGGCTGTCACAGGAGTGACGAGGTTGATCACCGATGGTTTCACGCGGGCTGGAACATTCGAGTTCGCTGCCGCGGAGGTGATAACCGGATCGATCAGGACGCTCGATCTACTAGCAGTTTGGCTGCTGCCAGTTGGCGAGGTGATCGGGTTTTTCGATGTGTCTGCAGTTTTGGCACTGCTGACATCCGAAGTGATTTGATCCGATGGGATCTGAGATTGGGAGCGAGCTCCCTGAGAATTTGATAGGACTGAGTCCATTTCGTTCTCAACTGGTCTAGGTTCGACCCTTGTGTAAGAGAAAGCTATTGTCTCCCCTCCTTCTAGCGCCAAAATGTGGGTTCGGAAAACCACACTCAAAATTTATGTGTATTTTGTAGGGAGAAATTGCATGTGGAATCAGAGGTTAGATTCTGATGTAAGTCGAATGATTCGTAGACAAATATTTGACGAAATCGGACTTAGGCTAATCGAATAAAGTGGTTACAAAACCGGCCTGAAAGACCATGTAAAACACTAGGATTCGACTAAGCAAAAGAGATGGAAATGAGGTGGTGGCTGCGCTCGTTAACGAGCTGCCTACGTACCCTGTTTTAGGGATCAAGCCAGAACGTAGTTCGATTGTAAGTTGTTCTCTATTTCGAGTCGTTTTCTGAAGAGAAATGACCACGAAAAGAGCTAAAGGGGTGTGAAGATGACGATAAATCTCAGGTTATCGGAGTGATCCGAAGGTAAGAGATTATGTCGAACTTCTGCCGGAAGTGATTTCCGGCTAGAAAGATCAGGGCTTTCTGGGATTATCTCAAAGACCAAGGATAAGATCAGATAGAGATATGGATGTTATCTCAGCGAAAGAGAAGCTATCAAGAGTGAAGAACTTATGTTCTCAGAAGTGAGAAAGATAGAGATTTATTGTTCAGGAAAGGAACATTCGCCTTGTGATCAAGAATCGTCCTCTTTTTATAGCTCCGAAGTAGATCGCAACCTCCTCCGCGTATCTCGTCCACGTGCAACTACCGATCCCGCTATTTCCGGATCTGAACAGTCGAAGCGAGATTCTCGTTTGACTCGTTCAAACTCAGCTTGTGGACTTGACTCCGTCGAGCTAGAGCTCGACTTCGTCTTCACAAGTAGCTCGGACAGTAAACAGCTGGATTTTGGACAAGGATACTTGGTGGGCTCGAGGTCACTTTACTGGGCCTGAGTGGACTTATCTTGATCTTAGGACTTAGGTGATGGGCCTTATGGGCCGGATTTCTGGAGGGAAATCCAGGTCCAACACATGTGAAACAACCCCACTTCCCATTGTCTGAAACAGTTATTTTGTGCTTTTTTTTCTCTGACCACTAGAAATTTTAATTTGGTCCATAATTTGCCTAGATCCGAAAGTGTTTTGATAAGGTACTTGTAATAGACTTACAAGTATAATTTTCCCCCTATTAATAGTACATTTGATAGTTAGATTCAAACTCATGTTTGTCGTAACTGGTATTAATATTTATACGTACCAATTATATACGTCGACTTTTGTAGATCGAAGGTCTTAAACAGAGAAACTAAGAAATGCATGGTACTTGATTTTCTATATGTATGTGCTATCTAACCATTTTTAGTAATCTATAAAAGAAAACGTTATTCATTTGCTTGTACTGGTTTTTTCTATATATACGTATATGTATATCAGTTCAATTAGCATTTGAATGTGATTCAATCACACTGGCATATATAATAACATATTTCTCGTTAGAATCTTACAAACTGAACCCAAGAAAAAACAGTTTTGTCGCAAATTTATTATATTTTACTGAATAATTAATCTGTAAAATTGAAACCTTAATACCGTTGTTCAAAAAAAAAAAAGAAACCTTAATACCATGATTTCTTGGTGATATTATAAAAAAAAAAAGAGTCGAATGTTTAAGCAATTAAGCATATAAATATCAAGTACAATCCCAAATGGATTGAAGCTGCTGCATTTCAAAAAACTCCTCCCTGTCGTACTGACCAAAAAATCGTCCGTACAACTCTTCATAATCATTCACTTCCAAATCTTGCATCCACCCCATCCTCGGCGAGTCCAGTGGAAACTCATTAATCGCCTGAATCTGATCCGGAGACAATCCCACCCGAGAAAGACCTTGACCCGACCCGATATCTGGTTCATTAGACCCCCCGGGTTTAACCATCAACGCTGCCTCCTGAGCAGCCGCTTGAACGTGCTCAGAACTTGAACTCTCCGGCCGAGGAAAACTGTCGGCGAGCTCCGGGAAGTTGAGATGTGACCCACGTCCTCGGAAGTGGAGAGCCGCAACGTCGTAGGCAGCTGCGGCCATCTCAGCTGTCTCGTAGCTCCCAAGCCAAATACGGGTTTTCTTACCGGGCTCTCGGATCTCCGAAACCCATTTGCCCCATTTCCTCCGACGAACGCCTCTGTAGGACACTTGGTCAACGGAGAAGCGTTGTTCTCGTTGACCAACATGATTGTTTTCCATGCAATTAATACAAGGTTTGTTTGGTACTATAATGTGTGTTTAATGTGTTTCGATGAAATTGTGTTAATAAGTTAGAAGACAGAGATTATAGAGTATGTGTGTTGATAGGAGTTGTAATTTGTATATATAGAGAAATAAAGAGAGACAATAAATGATGGGATGGAATTTGTGGGAGGCTTGTTTGGTTTCAGGTGAAGTGAGCTTCCCACGTAGTTACGTGTGCAGTGGAATAATGCTGTCATGCATGCATGGGTCTCCAAAATCTACACTGAGTTGATTTTTGATGGGATAGTGTATAATTAGAAAGGCTGTCTTTTAACACGTATATGTAGTGCTGCATTATAAGAAGACACTGCTTTACTTTTTTTCTATGTAGAGTTGTTTTCTGAATATTTAAACATAACTTTATATAATTGGGCTCCTTCACTTTCTTTTAAAAATAAGAATTAATTTAGAGTGTTTAATATATATAGTTTGCACACACAAAAAAAGGTTTAATATATAGTCTTTAAATAGTCAGACGGTCTTGATTGGTAGATATTAAAATTATTGTTTCGTAAGGAACAATAATTTAATATTGCTTTATGAAACGTTATATTACATATTTTTTCTTCTCGGTTTTACATTTCTAGCACTTAACATGTGTTGATTAGATTTTGAGGCTCTTGAGTCTCTAGATATATGATGATCCCATAAAATTGGCATAAAACGAATCTTGAACTACAGTCCACATCTGAAATATCTCAAGAGTCAAGATGCAGAAGAGAAATATGTGGAAGTCTGGAAGAAAAATTTCAGACTTATAATTACATTTTACCAAAAAGAGAAAAAACAAAAGAAAAATCAGTACTTTGAGATCAATAATAGATTTGGGTTCAACGTTCGTATTCTAGATCCGAGTTTCATGATCCAAGCTGAAAGCACTCCCAAACCAATAAGAACATAAAACTTTATTTGACATATATATATACTCCACATTGTCTTTGTTTTCTTTTTAATTTTTAATTAATGGAATTGTTAAGCAAAAAAATATTTAATGGAATTGTACTCTTGCGAATGTAGAAGCACTAAACATGAAAGGAAACGTGAACTTGAAACCACTGATCATGAAAGGAAACGTGACGTACTCTTGCTCCTTTAAACAAAATATTGACACTTTAACTTGCAATTAACTAAAATGAAGAAAGGTTAGACCAAGGTTAACATCAACCTTTTGATATAGATGTTTCACAAAACAAAATAAGAGTATTAATTTGACATTTAATTTAAAGAAATTTAAAAATGTAACTACCCATAGACTATCATTCTATCAATTTGACCAAAACAAGAAAAGGATGTATTGTTGATGACGAAGGTGCGGAGAAACAGAAACCCATCAATGTCAACCAAAGGATGATTTAATAAAGTATAAATTCTAAAGCCAGACCAGCAGAAGTTGTTCTGTCATCCAGATAATGTATTGATTTATAGTAAACCCTCGTGTGTCAAATTCCCACCAAAAAAGAAGAAATGGTTGCGTGACGTGGCTGCATAATGGTCACCACCGCCACTAACTACCCACACCGCTATATCGTAATTCGTACGGACCAGGACTATCCGGTGGTCAAAAAGGTCTCCGATCTCAATCTCACCGCCCATGTTTCTCGACGGACCCTACAATAATATATATGAATAATAACAAAATATTGCTTTTCCTCTATACTTTTGGACCCTCATATATGTTTCTTTTGGTTCAAGAACTCATATCGCATGTTTACTTTAGTATTATTTGAAGATTAATTAACTAAAAATTAAGTAGTTGAATTTTGATATAACGATGATATCCGTAACATGAGATACAACAACAAATAAGGTGATAATTTGTGCTAATAAAAGAATATTTAATACTAGGATGAATCATGCATCTCTATAATTAATGTACTATCACTATTTCTGGCTTTATGGTGGCACGTGTGTGAAAGTGATCCCTTTGAGTCTTTGACCAGAGGTGGGAGACACGGTAGTTTGTATTCTGTCTCCCTCTATCTCAAATGTCGACGATAAATAATTATAATCAATATATAATATTTGTATCATAGTCATGTCGACTTATTAGTGTAACGCGTAATGAAGAAGATGATGGTTATGAAAAATTGTTATTGCTGTTAAAGAATCGTTACAGAGAGTTTCTTGACTTCATAACAACTGTAAGGGTTTAGTTTAAACTCGGTTAATTTCGGGTACCATAATTACGTGGTTCACTTAAACCAGTTATTTGCAATTCACTATTCTAATAAATTCCTCTCAAATCTCAAAATGAGTCAAAGATCGAAAGTAAACTCATATTGTCAATAACGTTACTTACTTACTTATTATAACCAATCAATCTCACAAGTTGCCAATGTCATAGACTCATAGCCTTATATTATTATGATCCAACAAAGGATTTAAAAATCGTGTTATACATTTTTGAGTTCCATGAGATTAACGAAGAGTCAAAGAACATGAATAAGCAGCAATGATGTCCATCTGCATCTGAAAAAGCTTTGTGCTGAAGATCTGACTTTCGTTGGATAAAGAGTCCCAAGCCAAAACTATGCCTTTACATTTATGTTGTTAAATCTTCCATATGTGATCTCTTTGTTAAGCCGCTGTTTTGAACCGTGGAATCTTCTTCATCATCCATTCAGATTTCGGCTGAGAACCGATCCGGTTTTAGGTAATTTAATTCCGACCATATTTTTCAATCTTCCTATAAATGATACGGTTTGGAATCTAATGAACCGGTTAAGCGATTAGTCTACTAAACCATCGGTTGAATTACTTAACCGTTTCTTTTTTGTTTGTTTCCCCGGAAAACTTTCCCGGTGCTTTGTTACGGACACAGCTTTACCTTTTACGAGCCCTAAAATCCCTAATTCGATCGTCAATCGTCGTCCTTCCTTCTCCACTTCCGTCGTCTCCGCCTCTCGTCGACTCGTCTTCATCTGCGAGCTCCTCTAACAGCTGAATAGGTGAGTTCGTGTCAGTCTGCTCAACATTTCGATTGATTGTTGTGTATGAGAGCTTCATATTCTGAAATTCGCTATCATCTGTAACAAAAACTCATGAATTAGCTTTCCATTGTGTGTTCCTTGACTTCGCAACTTAGTAATTTGGATTCATTTCGTTTGGTATAAACAAATTTTGTAGAAATGGATACATCTTCGAATTCACCGGGACTGAAGCGGAACTCGAATGATGTTGGATGGGAATACGGATCTCTCTGTGACCCGAAAAACCCAGATAGGCTTAAATGCAAGCTGTGTGGGAAAGAAATGGGAGGAGGTGTGTACAGGATCAAAGAACACATAGCTCACCGTAAAGGAAATGTCACACCTTGTCCAAGATCTACAAAAGAAGATCAGTCCAAGTGTATGAAAGCGGTCATGGAATCAATCAACAAGAAAAAGAAAAAGAAAGGAGAAGCTGGTGATGTAGTGGATGCTGATTTGGAAGCAAATCTTGAAAGTTCGAAACTTTCTACGTTTCAAGGTCCAGTGGATAAGTTTGTGACGGGTGTTACAGAGCAAGAAGAGACTAATAGTATGCATGTGGTGCAACAAACTTGTGCTAGATGGTTGTATCGGTCTGGTGTTCCTTTTGATGCTGTTGAGAGTGATTCTTTTAGGTCGTTTTGTGAAGCGTTAGGGAGATTAGGACCTGGTTGGGTTCCTCCGAGTCAGTGTGAGTTGAGGGAAACGTTGTTGAAGGAAGAAGAGGAAGCAGTTAAGGAGAAGCTAAAGAGTCTAGAGGGAGAATGGGAAGAGAATGGTTGTTCTATCTTGATGGAGACATGGAGTGACACAAAGAAGAAGAAGAAGAAGATGATGAGTTTGTGTGTCAATTCGAGAGGAGGGACGTGTTATCTTTCTTCGAAAGAGACTCTTAAAGAATCTGAGACTGGTGAGTTTATCTTTGAGTACGTAGATAAATGCATGGTAGATGTTGTTGGCGCTGAGAAAGTTGTTCAAGTGATTACAGACAGTGCAGAGAACAATTTAGCAGCGGCAAAGATGTTGAAAGAGAAGAGACCGGGGATATTTTGGTCATGTTGCGCTGCTCACACATTGAATTTGATGCTTGAAGACATTGTTAAGCTGCCAAAGATCTCAGAGTACATTGATAAAGCTAAGGCTTTGACCATGTTCATATATGCTCATGAGGAAACCTTGGATATGATGAGAGATTACACTAAAGAAAGAGATGTTGTGAGACCTGGAGTCACAAGATTTGCTACAACTTTCTTGACTTTGCAGAGCTTGTTGGAGAAGGAACAACATCTAAAGTCAATGTTTGTTAGCAGTGATTGGAGTAGATGCAAAGATTCCAAGTATTTAAAGGGTAGAAGTTCTTACTATACCTGCTTGAGTCCTGCGTTTTGGAACGGGATCTCGCGAGCTGTGAAGCTTTTAGAGCCTTTGGTGAAAGTTCTTAGGATGGTTGAAGGAGAGAAAAAAGCTTCAATGGGGTTTATCTATGGAGAAATAGTAGAAGCCAAAAGATCTATCAAAGCTGCTGCTAATGACTTGGAAAGGTACTACAAACCTATCTTTGAGATCATTGATGAGAAAGTTAAAGGTAGATTGGATTCTCCATTGCATTTGACTGCCTACTTGTTAAACCCTTTTTACTTCTACAACGAACCAACCGTTAAGCTGGATGAGAAACTCATGAATGGCTTTCTCAGTTGTGTTGAGACTTTTTACCATGGTGAGTTTGAGAAACAGGATCAAGTCGTTAACCATGAGTTTAGAGATTATCGAGATAAGCTTAAGTTGTTTGGAATACCTTTGGCTTTGAGAGGATGTGAAAAGAATAAGGACGAGTTTAATCCAGGTTATTTCTCTCTTTTTGATCTAGTTTTTGATAGCTTCAAGTTTGTGAAATTGTCACTGATGTTGCAATTGGTATTTATGTAGGGAATTGGTGGTCATTATACGGATCTCATGTGCCTAATTTGGCAATGCTAGCGAGAAAGATTCTCTCTTTAGCTTCTAATTGTCAACGAAACTGGAGTGTTTTTGAAGAGGTTTGTGTGTATTAAGTTTGATATTGTTTCTAAGTTTTGGTAAATAATGTTAACGTTGAAGCTATATCTTCTCTTGTGTTGTAGATTCACAAGAGTGAGAGGAATACACTAGACGCTGATCAAATGAACAGTCTTGTGTTTGTTCAATTTAATTCGAAGCTGTTCAACGAGCAAAAGAGGATCAAAGAGGAAAATTTGGATGTGCTCGTGGGTGGTGATGAGGAAAATGTAGAGGAGTGGTTTGTTGAGTTGGATCAAGATGGAGAAGAAGAAGTTATTGATGAAGATGAAGATGGTGATTCTGCTTTCCACTTTGTGTTTGAATCAGACGATGAGCTACTGTAATGATGATTGATGTGGCCATGTGGGTGAGTAGTGAGGAAGAAACCATATTTAGTAAATTATGCTAATGTTTTAGTTTGTAGTATTACATTACTTAATGACTTTGGATTTAAGTGCTGCTACTTAAAATATCAATCTAGGCCCTTTTCGTTTGCACAGTTGGCTGCAGCTGGATGATTCAGCCAGATGAAGCAGCTGGATATTGTTCGCTTTTTTTTTACTCTCATCTAGATGATTCAGCCAGATGGTTCAGTCAAATAATTCTCTTATTTGTTTCTTCAGTCAGATGGACTATTCAGATGCTTGTAATGGATAATGACAAAAATACCCTTATTTTGATTTGAGAGAAAAAAACCAAAATACCCATAGCTTTTTTATCGAATATAAATTCTTTCACTTAAATTATTTTTTAATGATATCAATCTCTGATTAAAATAATATCGAAGTCATAAAGCGTGAATTCATAATTTTGACACAAATATATTTTACGGTTTTTACGGAAAACGAGATTTCGCAATTTTGATCAGAAAACGTAATTTCACTGTTTCACTTTTGTTTTGTTTTTTGGTGATTTGGTGATTTAAGCAGTAACCCATGATTTTGTAATTTAGACAGAAAAACGGGAATTTCCAGTTTAATGGAAAAATGCCATTTTGCGGTTTCGACGAAATATATGATTTTACAATTTAAGTGGAAAATGTGATTTTGCTATTTAGACGGGAAACATGATTTTGCGATTTCGGCGGGAAAATATTATTTCATCGAAAAACGTGATTTTGCGATTTTGGCGAAAAAACGTTATTTCGATGGAAAAACTTATTTTGTGGCTTTGGCGGAAAAACGTTATTTTGCGATTTCGACGGTAAAACGTTATTTTGACGGAAAACGGGATTTCATGATTTTGGCGGGAAAACGTTATTTTGCGGTTTTGGCGGGAAAAGCGTTATTTTTGCTTTTTCGAAAAAATGTAAAACACAATCTTGTAATTTTGTGGAAAAAAGAGTTAATTCTCGGTTTTAGCGGAAAAAAAAACATTATTTTTACTTTTTTGGGAAAACGTAATTTTGCGGTTTAGGCGTGAAATATAATTTTCCGAATATTTTTGATTTCATAGTTATTATATAAAAAAATGATTTTTGTTAAGATAAAGCCAAAAGTGATGACTCATCATCTCCTGTAAAATATCTCATTGACACCGATCTTTATGTGTCAATCCCACATCTCACGTCCTTCCCTATATAAAGGGTGTTCATGTATTTGTAATAGACACAACATTGATCACAATCAATAACATCTTCCTCTCTCTATCTCATCTCTCGTCCCTCTCTCACCTCTCTCATGGGTCCCACTTGTGGGTCTCATCCTTTTCTTTTAATATTATTTAAATAATTTACAATACGTTATCAGCACGATTGCCTCTATACCCTAGATCTGTCTAGATCTATCTTTATCCCGCAGAGGTAAGCCTAAATTCTGTCCAAATTTATTTAAAATTATATTTTGTCTATTCTGCCGGGAAGCTAGGCTATGCCTACTCCGAGCTGATCGTCATGGATGGCTCTGCCTCCTCGATCAAATAAATTCTTAAAGCCGGGAAGCTAGGCTCTGCCTACTCCGAGCTGATCGTCATGGATGGCTCTGCCTCCTCGATCAAATAAATTTCTTAAAGCCGGGAAGCTAGGCTCTGCCTACTCCGAGCAAATGATCACATGGTAGACTATGTCTCCTCAGATCATATATATGGAGTGGTAGGGAAATCCTCCTCCGGAGTTGATGGTGAAAACCTCCTCTATGTAGCGGAGTTGATGACTATGTCTCCTCCCAGATCTAAATTTCTGTCTTTCAATTTATGCCTTTCAATTTTGTTATTATGTTTAAAGTTTTCAAAAGAATTCAGTGGCCCTGATGGTGCCACGATTTGAGATTAAGGATGGAGATACTTGTCTAGCAGACAGTGCTACGACACATACAATACTCAAAGATAAGAAGTATTTCTCCTATCTCAAAATGAAAGACTCCGCTGAAAGCGTGAGTACTATATGCGGTAGTGCAAAGATAATACTTGGCTCTGGGAGTGCAAGTTTTTCATTGCCAAGGGGAACGAAATTTGAAGTGCGAGATGCACTATATTCCCCGGAGTCTCACCGGAACTTATTAAGTTTCCGAGATATCCGCAAAAATGGATATCATATTGAGACTATAAACAAAAATGGCATTGAATATCTTTGCATTACAACGGAGAGGAAACAAACATTGGAAGAATTACCAATGATGTCCTCTGGTTTATATTGCACAAAAATCAACATGACTGAATCTTATGTTGCAGTAAACCAGATGTTTACTAGCACTTTTAGGGTGTGGCATGAAAGACTTGGCCACCCAGGTTCAGTCATGATGAGAAGAATTGTGCAAAATACGAGTGGCCACCCATTGAAAAATGAAAAGATTTTTCAATCGGGGGAGTTTTCATGTAAAGCATGTTCTCAAGGAAAACTCATAATTAGGCCCTCGCCAGCCAAAGTTGGGAATGAATCCCCTGTATTCTTAGAGAGAATACATGGTGATATATGTGGGCCTATTAACCCACCGTGCGGGCCATTTCGATACTTTATGGTATTGATTGACGCATCTAGTAGATGGTCAAATGTGTGTCTTTTGACCACAAGAAATATGGCTTTCGCAAGATTCATTGCCCAAATAATCAGGTTGAGAGCGCATTTCCCTGATTATGCCATAAAGAAAGTCAGGCTTGATAATGCTGGTGAATTCACTTCAGCAGCCTTTAATGACTTTTGTATGTCTGTGGGAATCGATGTTGAACATCCGGTTCCGCACGTTCATACGCAAAATGGCATGGCTGAGTCATTAATAAAGCGGTTGCAGTTAATTGCAAGACCGTTAATCTTGAGAACAAAACTCCCAATCACTGTATGGGGACATGCAATATTGCATGCGGGAGCCTTGGTTCAAGTGAGACCAAGTGCTTATAATAAATTTTCGCCCATACAGTTGGCATTTGGAAATATGCCAAATATATCCCATCTCCGGGTATTCGGGTGTGCGGTCTATATCCCAATAGCGCCACCACAGAGATCAAAAATGGGACCACAGAGGAGATTGGGAATATATGTCGGGTATTCGTCCCCTAGTATAATAAGGTATCTTGAACCGGCAACTGGTGATATGTTTACGGCACGATTTGCCGATAGCCACTTTGATGAAAATGAATTCCCTGCGTTAGGGGGAGGGTCGAGAGAATCACCAAATGATATCACCTGGTGTACACACTCTTTGGCTTATCTTGATCCTCCTTCTAATCAACGCGAGGTGGAAGTTCAGAAAATTATACATATGCAAAGATTGGCTAACCAGTTGCCCGATGCGTTCACAGATACGAAAAGGGTGACGAAGTCCTATATCCCCGCTGCTAATGCTCCATCAAAAATAGAAGTTCCTCATGAACATTTTGATGTGAATAGAGCAAGTGAACCGGTTCAATTAAAGCGCGGGAGGCCTATAGGATCAAAGGATAAAATCCCCGAAAGAAAAAGAATTGTGGAGTAAAGGTTCCTGATGAACCGAAATGTCTTGAAGACATTTCCGAACAGGTTCTTGTAGAACCTGATAAAGAGGTTCGTCAAGATGACGAACCAGAGACAGAAAAATTTGAGATCTTCATCTCCTTCGCCCAAAGTGGAAAAATATGGGCTAGAAGTGAAATAGATGATGATGAAATGTTCTCTTTTTCTGTAGCTAAAGAGATCGATCATGAAAATGATGATCCAGATCCAACTTCCGTGTCAGAGTGCCAAAAGAGGCCGGACTGGGAGAAATGGCAAATGGCCATGAAGAATGAAATATTCTCTCTCAATAAACGGACTGTATTCGGACCGATAATCATTATACCAAAAGATGTAATGCCGGTTGGATACAAATGGGTTTTTGTAAGAAAAAGAAATGAGAAAAACGAAGTCACAAGATATAAAGCTCGTCTTGTGGCTCAAGGTTTTTCTCAAAGACCGGGGATAGATTATGAAGAAACATATTCCCCGGTAATGGATGCAATCACCTTCAGGTACTTAATGAGCCTAACGGCTTCTAATAATTTAGAGATGTACCTGATGGATGTTGTGACTGCATACCTATATGGCTCACTTGATAGTGAGATATATATGAAAATTCCTGAGGGATTTAAGATCCCAGAAGGGTCAAAGATGCCTGAAGCATCTAAAGAGCTTTGTTCGGTCAAACTCCAGCGATCACTTTATGGATTAAAACAATCCGGCCGCATGTGGTACAATCGCTTAAGTGAATACTTGTTGAGTAAAGGTTACGTCAACAATGCGATTTGTCTATGCGTGTTCATAAAGAAATCCTTAACGGGTTTTGTGATCATTGTTGTGTATGTTGATGACCTGAACATGATTGGAACTCAAAAGGAAGATTGATGATGCAAGAACTCATATGAAAGATGAGTTCGAAATGAAAGATCTTGGAAAGACAAAGTTTTGTCTTGGGCTCCAGATAGAGCATTTCCAAGATGGAATATTTTTGCATCAATCAAATTACACCAAAAGGGTGTTAAAGCGCTTTTATATGGATAAAGCGACTCCTTTGAGTAGTCCAATGGTCAATAGATCGCTTGATGTTAACAAGGATCCATTTCGACCTATTGAAGATTCTGAAGAAATGTTAGGTCCTGAAGTACCTTACATGAGCGCCATCGGGGCACTTATGTATCTTGCAAATTGCACAAGACCAGATATAGCTTTTGCTACTAATCTGCTTGCAAGATACAGCTCATCGCCTACCAGAAGACATTGGAACGGAATAAAACATATATTCCGTTATCTTCAAGGTACGATTGAGTTTGGATTATATTATTCAAGAAACCCCGAGGTTGGTTTAGTTGGTTTTGCAGATGCTGGCTACTTGTCTGATCCGCATAAAGCTCGATCGCAAACCGGTTATGTTTTCACATACGGTGGAACCGCGATCTCTTGGCGTTCCCAAAAACAAACATTGGTTGCAACGTCTTCAAATTATGCAGAAATCATTGCTCTCCATGAAGCTTGTAGAGAGTGTGTATGGTTGAGATCTTTGATCCAACACATACAAGAAGCCAGCGGAGTATCTACAAAGAAAGAGCCAACAACCATATACGAAGACAATTCTGCATGTGTCACTCAACTCAAAGAAGGATGCATCAAGAGCGACAGGACAAAACACATCCTTCCAAGATTTTTCTCTTACACTCAAGAACTTGAGAAAAATCAAGAAGTGGATATTCAGTATGTTCGCTCAAGTGACAACGCAGCTGATCTTTTCACAAAGGCGCTTCCTACTACAGTGTTCAAGAAGCATGTTCAAAGTATTGGAATGCGTCGTTTTCAAGATTTATGAAGAGAAGACCATATCTATTTTTTAGGGGGAGTTTGCTTCGCGGTACTCTTTTTCCTTTTTATGGTTTTTATCCCACTGGGTTTTTCCATAATAAGGTTTTTAATGAGGCCGCATGCAACTTCACAATAATAGATGATGAATCAAGGGGGAGTGTTAAGATAAAGCCAAAAGTGATGATTCATCATCTCCTGCAAAATATCTCATTGACACCGACTTTTACGTGTCAATCCCACATCTTCCTTCCCTATATAAAGGGTGTTCATGTATTTGTAATAGACACACAACATTGATCACAATCAATAACATCTTCATCTCTCTATCTCATCTCTCGTCCCTCTCTCACCTCTCTCATGGGTCCCACCCTTTTCTTTTAATATTATTTAAATAATTTACAACAATTTTAGTGTTTTGCATAATCTATAGCTTATTCTTCTGTAAATATATTTTTAAGGATATGTTTGTCATTTCTTTTTCTGAAATGAAGATGGCTCAGCCAGATGCTTCAAAATGAAGCAGTTAGATGAATTAGCTGAATATCAACAATTTAGCCTAAATATTTTAAATCCCAGCTGATCCATCTGCATGGATCATTTGAATGATGCTCATTTAAAATGATCCATGCAGATGGATCAGCTGGATGAGCAAACGAACATGGCTCTATTTGGAAAAGTAGCACTGTTGGAGAACTTCATTTGGATGTTAACTAGTTTTTTTTAATTGTTAATCAGAGAAAAGGAAAATGATTCTCCTTACTTTATGAAAATCGAAGTTATAAACAAAGAAAATGTAAAATATATAGCGGATGTATGTATATCAAAACAAGAATATATAAGAAGAGATTTTGCATAATGATAGATGTTCATGCATATCAGTGAACGTCTATGCACATCGGTCTACGTTCAAGCCAAGTCAAAGATCAGAAATATCAAATAAACCAAATCACGTCACGTTGTGCAACATGTTTAGTGGCCAAATAGGATTAATGAGAAAATATGGTTGATGAGGAAGAAGAAAACTATTTTTTTCTTAGCAATGGACGTGGTAATTTCGTGAGCCGATGGGTCTAACTAATGTTCTTTTAGTTAGAAAACAACAACTGATTTTTCAACATGTTATAAAAAAAATTCATACGTACGTCGTATACCAAAAGTTGTAATATACATAAAGACTTTGCAAATTGAATACAAGTCATCATTTTCTATGAATGTAATGTCACATTCGCTATCTGATTTACCTAAACTTCTTCTAGTCGGCCATGTTATTGACGGGTTAATATTTTAGTAAAAGTTTATAGCCTCGTGTGTGTGTATTACAACAAGCTAAAAATATTAACGACGAGAAAATCAAGTGGTATACTTTCGAGTTAATGTTTGACCACGTATCTTTCACCAACTATATAAAGTTTTTACGTTATTAAATCGGAGCTTAAGAAAACTATAATAAACAATTAGAAATCAAATCAAATTCATAATAACGCGTTTAACGAAAAACTAGAGGTGTGACGTTGTAGAAAGCACGTCCACATTGATTTCTCGCAAGATTACGCCTCAAAGGAAACAGCTCATTTTCTTCTTCTTCTATTTTTTCTCTCAATTTTGTATTCACCAAGACACCAACCATAATCTCATGACTATTTCTTCCTTTGAACCTCAATTTTATAAACTCTTAAATAACTTCATCAAAAGTCGGATGCATTTTTAGAATCAAATACTTGATATGCCTCACTTACATAGTTTAGTGGGCTGGTGACAAAAAAAAAGATAGTTAGTGCGCATTTTCAGAAAATAATAATATCAAAAATGTTCCTTCCAATACTTTCCCGGAAAATGGAATACATTCCAATTGTTACAATACTATGTTTTAATGATTTAATACCTAGTTATATTGGTCAAAATTCAGGACTCGATAAAAATACTATTTTGAAAAGAACAATCTTGTTTTTCCTTTATAAAAGGGGAAATCCACTACTAATAAATCAAGATTATCGAGCTTTCAAAGAAACGTGTAAAATGACTGAAAAGCTATATTTTTATATATATTGTGGCTAGGGTCATTGTGTTTTTGATGGAAATATAATCAAGAGTAGGTTATTTAACCCAAAAAATTAAGAGTAATATCAAGAAATATAATGAAATATGTAATGCAATTACCTAAATCAAGTGAATCTTCATTTATGAAATTAATATTATTTGTACATTTACATAAACTAAAATAATTTTATGAAAAATGTGTATTTCGCGGATATGAAAAAGATATTGTAAATTTTGTGCATTTAGCAGATTGCGTGAGTCTCTAAAGTACATCGTTGTTGGTTCAAACATGCTTGTCGTTAGACAATCTGTCCATTTCAATTAGCTTATCTTCAATACAGATTTGTTGTTTGTTTATTAATGATCTTATAGAATTGGTCATATAAACACTTTTCACAATAAATATGTGTTTTTATGTACAAAAACAGTTGGATAGCAAAATCCTCTTTAAAAGCACATAACGAGTAGCATTCTAATACATTGGGTTATAATACTTTATAAATAGATAAACAAATAAAAGTAAAGTACAACAAACACGAATATTGTAACTCCTCTTGGAATAATCTGATTTTCATATCTTCCCGCCGAGTATTAGATTAACTTGGTGGAATCTTTCAGTTAACCTCTCGTGTTCGCTTGCCTAATTAAGCCGTGCTTAATGCCGTTCGGGAAACCAAACTTAATTTAGGACTAACCTCGTAGAATCTACACTATAGAAACATATTCTTCTTAGCAAATAAGATTACTCTTACATGTAATTTACAAGGCATACCATTAAAAAGATAAGAGTAACAGAAAGTCATAATTTTTTTATCTAAGGCTCTAAGCAACCATCTAGCTTAATTATAAGACGATTCTATCCACATGTTGCCATCTATTTGGCAACTGAAAAATCACTCCAACATTTTTATATTTCTTAGAAATGCTGGTTGTCAAAATATGGATTTTACTCTTTTTCATTACTCTTGACTCTTGAGTTCGGATAAAACCTAACAAACCAAACAAATCATTTTTTTTTTTGTTGTTAAAAATCGTTGTCCCCTATACTTTTTAATCAACTTTCTTTACCAGGCCGGCAATACTATTACTAGGCACCCACAACTTTACTTTATCGATATCAATCATGATGATCATTTCCACTTACACTCAAAATTTTCTTTCATCACATTCACATAGATATTGTATCGAAGACATAGAAAAGTATGATTTATGTGAGTTTTCAATCTCGTAGTGGAGGTTTAAGAAAAATAAAAAAATATTCTAGTTGATGTAGACCATTACCAAAATTTATAATGAGACTGAAAATCCAATGAGAGAGTTTGGTACAGAATCATTATTTATAAAAGAATTTTGCTGATTCAGTGTGGAATTCGTCTGCAAATGTCAAATGCAAAAGAATTTGACCGGTCGACGAAGAAAAATATTATTTAGTTAACTAAACGTTCATATGGCTTTTAAAGAAAATCTTAAAACGATAATGAGACAACACACTCTGTCTCTGGTGATTAATTTTCTTTCTTTGCGATTTAGTAATCACCAAACTCAAGCTATTGTGTGGCCCGCATGTTGTCTTCTTTTTCTTCGCTCTTTGCTTCTATTTAGTTTCTCTCTTTCCCCACACAAACAAAATCTACAGACACTTGTCTTTTCGTTATCTCTTTCCTTTCATCATTCACACCTCTATCTCTCTCTCTCTCTCTCTGAAGAATTGAACACAACAGCCATTTGGGTAATTCTCACCTTTTTTCTTTGAAATTGCAATTATAATCATAATCATATCATCTTATCCAGCTAAAGTTTCAAGCTTTTTTCTAATTTGTTTCTTAAGTTTATGTTCTGTATGCATGTTCATAATTTTCAGTAAATCTTTAGCCCTTGTGGGTCTTCAACTCTTGATCTTCCTAACTGTTTCTGCAATTGAAAAACATTTTCAACTTTTTTTTATATGAAATATCAGTACGTATCTTGTTGTTCTTGATCTAACAAAACAAAAATCTTGTTGTTCTTGCAAAACCCATGACAGATTTCAGTTTCCTCATGCAAACGCTTCACGCTTTTTTTGCTGTTTCTTGTGTATTTTTAGTATATCCTTCTTGACAAAACACACCTTTTGCAACCTGACAAAAAGCCAAAATAACAGCTTTTTGGTCTTATATCTGATAATCCCTAATTAAGCTTTAATTTTGAAGTTTAGTTTCATTGACCTTTTTCACTCTCTTTGTTTCTCTGACCTAAGTATCTTAATCTCTTCAGGTAATCAAAGATGCAGAATGGTCACGCAGAACCTGAAGACCAAAACCAAATGGTATGTTTTAATTTTTTGAATTACAACTGATTGTGTTCTGTCTCATTGTTTAAAATTGCTATGAGGTTAAAATGTTTTTGGTGAATTGTGGAAATATTTAGACATGATTACGCACAACAGTGATGTAATATGGTCTTTTACCATTATGAAATTTAGCTTCTTCTTTGATCATGGGTTAATTTCTTTATAGGTGAGAGATGATAAACTTCCTCCGATTTCATGGGAAAGGAAGTTGAACAGTCAACCCAAGACCCCTTCTGAGTTCAAACTGACTAAACGAGATCATCTTCATATGGTAATTTGTTCTTCTTATCACTCTTAAGAAAGATTATTGAATCAAAGTGACAGTCTTGAATGAAGAATCGGATTTCTTGATGTACAAGTTATGCCTTAGGTCATATGCTCTGTTTAAAAAAAAAAAACAAGAAATCTAAAGCTCTCCCTATCTCTATTTTGTCTTTTTTCAAAGCTTCCATTAGGCTACAGATTGTGGCGACACACCAAAGAAGAAGCCGCAAAAGGAAGAGTAAGAGATAATCTCTCACAGCATTTTTTTAACAAATATTTGAAGATTTTTGTCGTCATCAAATACTGAAACTTCTTAAACACTGCAGGCTTCGATCTTTGACATCTTCAGAAAACACCATATAACCGGAGATCATGGCGTCCCTTTAGGAGGAATTGGGTATGGAAATCATATAAGTTTCACAATTTTCTTAGAGCACAAGTTAACAATGCTCTAAATGTTTCAAGATCCTCTGTTTCAATGTTCTAATGTACAAAACCGCGGGAAAAAAAAAAACTCGTGTTTCAGTGCAGGAAGCATTGGAAGAAGTTACAAGGGTGAGTTTCAGCAGTTCAAGTTATTCCCAAAACTTTCCGAGGAAGCTCCAGTTCTCACAAACCAATTCTCTGTATGTATACAATCATGAACACTGCTTGGTTTCTTCCGTTGTAAACCGATTCTTGTGTGTTTGATGGCTTTGTGAAGTATACTTCTCATGCTTCTTGATCTGTTCTGAATTATAGGTTTTTGTTTCCCGCCCGGGCGGTGTGAAACACTCAACTGTTCTATGCCCAAAAAAGCATGAAGTGATTAAGTAAAGCCAAATCCATCTTTTTTCTCTTTTGCTTGATTAGATCCCTAGTTTAGAAAACAGAGTAAATGTCCAAATGATGTAACTTATGTTATTTTGTATATGATTGTGCAGAGACAATAATGGCTATTTGTGTAGAGGCCAAGCTCCAAATATAGGAATCGAGTCTTGGGACTGGAACATGACAGGAGAAAATTCCACTTACCATGCTCTTTATCCGAGGTCATGGACCGTCTACGAAGGTATATTATTCTTCCTAAAATGTTTCTAACCATGTTTACTTCTACAGATTAATCTATTGCAAATTCTTGATTTACAAAGGTTATGAAAAATGTATTTTCTTGATGACAGGTGAACCTGACCCTGAACTTAGAATAGTTTCTCGTCAAGTCTCTCCCTTTATACCTCATAACTACGAAGAAAGCAGTCTTCCGGTTTCCGTTTTCAACTACACGGTATGATTCTTTCGACATTTTAGCTTAGTAAAAAAAAAAACTTGTCCCTGAGCTGATTTGGTTCTGTCATGTTACAGGTGACTAATACTGGAGCAGAACAAGCAACTGTTACTTTGCTCTTTACTTGGGAGGTAACTGAGATTGCTTTCTTCTGCATATCATTACTCTGTGAGATAATTTCATATTGAGAACCGACCCACTTGTTTCTGTGATTCATCAGAATTCTGTGGGAGGAGCATCTGGACTATCTGGACAGCACTTTAACTCAACAATGATGTAAGAATCTTCATATAATTCTGCTGCTACAGATTATTTCTATATGCTTCCAATACTGACATGAATCTTGTTTCTTTTTATGGAATCTTTCAGGGCAAAAGATGGCGTTCATGCAGTTGCCTTACACCACAAGTAAAACAAAAACCACTTTCTCTGGCTCTTTGATTGGTTTGAATACTTGGTTTATTGTCGGTTATTGTAAGATTTTGTGTTGATAATTGTTATTTAACTTATCTTGCAGGACAGCAAATGGACACCCACCAGTTACCTACGCAATTGCGGCCAAAGAAACAGAGGACGTTCGTGTCTCTTCGTGTCCTTGTTTCTTAGTTTCGGGTAATGCTCCCAACCAAATCACAGCAGGAGATATGTGGGATGAGATTAAAAAGGTTATTTTGTTTGCTTTTTACTAACCTTTTCAAGTCATTTAGAAGGAAAGCCAAAAGTCTAATCCTTTTTGGTCTTCTATAGAACGCATCATTCGACAAGTTAACAAGCAATGCATGCACTCCATCAAAACCTGGAACTTCCATTGGAGCAGCCGTAGCAGCAAAGGTTAAAGTCCCACCGGGCTGTGAACGTACAGTAACGTTCTCGCTCTCTTGGGATTGTCCAGAGGTGAGATTCGACAAGAAGACTTACCACAGGTACGCGTGTTTGAGACCACAATCATACATTTTCAGCATACAACGATTCTTTTTCTAACCTAAAACGCTCTACTTTACAGACGGTACACAAGATTCTACGGCGGTTTAGGAAACGCAGCAGTAGCAATGGCTCGTGACGCTCTTCTCAGTATGCAAATACTTCCATTTTCTTGTTTTTATTGACTCTTCTTGATCATCATCATCCATCATCTCATGATGCTTTTCTTTCTTGCTTGTTGTTTAGACTTTTCTGAGTGGGAAACTCAGATTGAAGATTGGCAAGCTCCTATTCTTGCTGACACAACACTCCCTGAATGGTAACAACTTAAGCTCAATCATCCCTTTTGTCTTCTTCTTTGTCAATTTATTTTGCGCCGAAAGAAACTAAACAAATAAAATTTCCAGGTATCGGATAACTCTCTTCAACGAATTATACTATTTCAACTCAGGAGGAACCATTTGGACAGGTAAAAGAAATTTTTTTATCCTTCCACAAGCGTTATATTTTTATATACCTCTCGATCTTCTAAACCCTAATTTCTCGTTTTGCTTGTAGATGGGTTACCTCCGAAACAGAGCTTAGACAGTATGGGAAGAAGAAAGATCTCTCTCAGTACATCAACTATAGAAACTACTGAGCCAGACCAAAACAACACAGCCTTAGATATCTTGGGAAGAATCGATGCGGTCTGCTCACAGATTCATGCTCCTCTGTCTTCAAATGCTGCCAACGGAACCACTCTGACTCAGAACACACAAGAGAACATTGGACAGTTCCTTTACCTAGAAGGGATTCAGTACCTAATGTACAACACCTACGACGTTCATTTCTACTCCTCTTTCGCATTGCTCATGCTTTTCCCCAAACTCGAGCTGAGCATCCAGAGAGACTTCGCCGCCGCGGTTCTCATGCACGACTCCAGCAAGAAACAGGTCATGAGCACCGGAGAGTTCGTTACGAGGAAGCTTCTAGGATCGGTTCCTCACGACATCGGCTTGAACGATCCCTGGAATGAAGTAAATGCTTATAACTTGTTCAACACGGATAGGTGGAAAGACTTGAACGCCAAGTTTGTTCTACAAGTCTACAGAGACTTTGTCGCGACCGGTGACCTAAACTTTGCTAAAGAGGTTTGGCCGTCTGTTTACACGGCGATCGCTTACTTGGACCAGTTTGATAAAGACGGGGACGGGATGATTGAGAACGAAGGGTTTCCTGATCAGACGTATGATGCTTGGTCTTGCTCGGGTGTTAGTGCTTACTGTGGAGGTCTCTGGGTCGCAGCTCTCCAGGCCGGCTCAGCATTGGCCCGGGAAGTTGGGGACAAGGGGGCTTCGATTTACTTCAACGCCAAGTTTGAGAAAGCGAGGAGTGTTTACGAGAAGCTTTGGAATGGTTCTTATTTCAATTACGATAACAGTCGAAGTGGCTCGAGCTCTTCAATCTTGGCTGATCAAATGGCTGGACAATGGTAAGTGTTACAAGAACATGATTAACAACATCTCTAGTCCGTAACTGGTATTGAGTCTTGTACGTTTTGTTGTATTTAGGTATGCGAGAGCATGTGGACTGAAGCCGATAGCGAAGGAAGAGTGGATCAAGAAAGCGTTGGAGACGGTCTTCGAGTTCAATGTGATGAAAGTGAGAGGAGGGACGCGTGGTGCTGTGAATGGGATGTTACCTGATGGAAGAGTAGACTCAAGCACGATGGTGTCCAGAGAGGTTTGGGCTGGGACTACATACTCAGTCGCGGCTTGTATGATTCAAGAAGGGCTCGCTGATAAAGGGTTTAGAACAGCTAGTGGAATCTACGAGGCCGCTTGGTCTGACCGCGGTATAGGGTAAGCTCATCTAAGAATTTTGCGTTTTGTTAATTCATACAAGTGTTCGGTGGTCGATGAATGTTTCTTTTGTGGGTGTAGGTGCGCATTTCAGACACCAGAGGCATGGACCACGACGGACGAGTATAGATCACTTTGTTACATGAGACCTTTAGCTATATGGGGAATACAGTGGGCACACACAATGCCTCAACAACCTAAGAGAGAGCAAGAACAGTCGTTAAAGGCACAAGAGGAAGAGGAAACATCAATCTTGTTTCAGCAACATGCTGGTTTTCTCAAAGTGGCTGATTATCTAAGAAACACCAACGGAAACAGCCATAGAAGCCGCATCCAGGCTACGTACGAGACCTTCCTCAAGTTAATGCGCCTATAAGCAACACAACCTAATTATGTGAGTCGCAGGACGTGCACTGCGTAGCCTTTTTTTGTCTCTTTTTGGTCTCCTCTTCCCTGTGTTTAATTTCAATTGCTTTGATATTACTTTGTAACTATGGACATAATCAAATGTTAATAAACTGTCCATAGCTGTCTTGAATATGCAAAAACATACGCCTAAAATATAAATTGTTTGATTTTATCAATTCCAATAAACATAAGTGATAAATCTTTGAAGCAAGAATCGGCTAAAAAAAAGGATAACTTAAGATTTCGGAAACACCTTAAACAAATAGTAGTACAGATACAGAGGAAGAACAAATTAGGAAGGACGAGTCATTGCAAGTTTTATCCAACGATAACAAGGAGACATATCAAAAGACCTGAGGAAACTACAGAGGCTCTCTAAATCAGGATGGGCAGTTTAGGAATGCAGCAAGTCCACTAACCTTGCAATGCTTTATGATCTTATAGCGAGGCGGATCATAAAGCTTGGTCTGCATCGGAAGGAGGACGATTTCACTGTGCTGTTCCTGGAGCAGCTGCATAGCCTGTTGACTGAGTTGCGGTTTGCTCATAGCCGACCTGAGCAGGTGCAGTCTGGGAATATGCAGTTTGGCCAACGGGTGCAGTCTGGGAATATGCGTTTCCACCTCCGTAGTTAGGGTATTGAGAGCCGTATCCATAGTTTCCGTTGCTCTGAGCCGGGGGGTTACCATAAGCCGGCTGAGTAGAGGGATATGAACTATAACCACCGGTTGGAGGTACTTGCCCGTACCCAGCTGAAGTTTGCTGCGCACCAGAAGCTGGCTGAGCACTGTGCTGCTGCTGCTGCTCATAAGCTGGGGCAACTGCTGGTGCTTGTGCTTGTGTGCCATTGTAACCATCAGTCGGTGCTGCAGAGCTGTATGAAGGGTAAGTTTGCTGAGCAGGCGCGCTTGATGCATAGCCATATTGCTGTTGTGGAGCCATGCTTGTACCATACGTTGGTGCTGCTTGAGCTGGACCTTGGTAAGGCACATCCCCAGAAGGCGCTGATGGTCTTGGAGGGCCATATCCTTGCTCGGCTGGTCCTTGCATCCCGTAAGGTCTAGCTGGCTGCTGCATTTGGTGCTGACCACCTGCCGGAGGATAGCCCTGTTGGGAGGTTCCGTATCCATAAGGTTGCTGGACTGGAGGGTTGTCATAGCTTGGATGATCATACATCGGCGGCCCATAATTCTGCTGAGAACCTGACTGGGAGTAAGGAGGTCCATGAGAGGGCACAGGACCTGGGCTTGGAGCTCCTTGCCTACCGTAATAATCGTATGGACCAGAATGTGGAGGTCTTTGTTCCCAACCAGAACCATATCCACTTCTAGGAGGCATACGTTGTGAAGGATAACCGCCGGAATTGGGAGGTCTGTATTGTGAGCCCTGAGACTGGTACGGTCCACCATGATGGTAATTGAATGGCATCGAGTGGGGCCCATGAGGACCACGCGAGCCCCATTGAGGTGGACCATTTGGTCCTCGAGGTTGGTAAGGAGGCTGGTTATAACCACTAGAATATGGTGATGGCCTTGTATCCTACAAAAAGAAACAACCATGAAACTTCCCATTAGAGACAACAAAAGACTACAATAATCACCATCAGATCATACAATCACACGCAATTGATAGGAAGAAGAACGTAAAAAGTACTGCTATTAGATCAGAAACTAAAACGAAATGTGCAACAAAGCAGGTGAGGTTCATGGCATATCATCATGAAATCTAACAACTTCACAAAAGAATCCAAAAAGAGGATACAAATAAGAACACAGCAAGCCAGCAAAGAATTTCGTCAAAACAAGTCATATGCAGATGGCATTCAGAAACATGAATTGTGTCAGAAATTATTGTATACAATAAAAGTGAGAAACAACATTCCACACTGAACATAAAGCCTTGGCGTCAATTTACAGCACACACAATGGTTTCCAGGCTCCCCTTTAGTAATTCCATGATTATTTGAGCATATCTAACGCAATTTCGATGAACATGGTTGTCAAACGAGTACTAAGAAAACCGTTTACTGTTCCACACTGCAAGCTTAATGGTGGGCCACATAAATTCTAGATAAATTTTTGCTTCCAAGTCGTTAATCAAGTAAGAGCAAGCGTCATAGGCCATGAAAATCGAGCAGCTAGATTTACACAACGGTACTGTAATATATCCATGCTCACACTATGGTCTTGAAGTTTTCAAAAAGCAGCCTTACCGGGCTACTAGAACCTGCAAGCGTGTATGACAAATGCCAAATACCTTCATCCGTAGACCTGGGTGATGTCTATTGTACACCAACAAGGCAATGCTGACCCCAATTGAAAGGTAATAGCCACATCTGCATTTTAAAGCCAACACCAATTCGAGATCGACACCTTTAACTTAAAAAAATCATGGCAAGCGACATTGAGGACGGAACATATGATCTTCTTAACAGGAGTGAGCATCTTTCTTACAATATGTACACATTTTCTCAAGCTATCCTTCTTACTGCAGCAGCATGTCCTCTAGGACATTAACATGTTTTACTATTCACTAAATCAGGGGAGCCACCATAGATTTTCACTGAACGTTCAAATTAAGACAGCAGAGCTTTTCCATATACTTATAGCATTATTCCCAGTACAACATAAATCCAATGGACTTGTAAGTGATAACAGGTAACAAGCTAGTCTAACAAAAGATTGCATGGACCACCAGAACATTAACGAACAAATAATGCCAATATAAACTAAAACAGATAGCAGGCACACTGAGAAAACGCAGATTTGTCACCTCATTCACTATGTTGTTGCATAAGTAAATATTAAGCCAAAACAAACATCAGGATATGATAATCGAAACATGCACCAAGATGAATTGAAACAAAGCAGTTAAACACTCAAATGAATCAATTTCCATGGTTGCAAAAACTAAAAGCAATGACATCGTTCAGAGAGATAATATCAGAAGACAAACCTGGTACATAACATCGTTTATCATTGCGGAAGCTACTTCAATCTGCCTTTTATCACCAGAAATACGGACAGTTCTTTCCTTAGACCCATCACCTTCTTCATGTGGTATTAACTATAGGGAAAAAAATTATTTTAATCAGGTGTTGCACAAAATAACCAATATTGTCACAATTTTTCTCAAAACTCTTAACACATTCAAGATTGAATAGAAGTAATCACCTGAATGCGAGCTCTTGACTTTGTCTGCATGCTCTTGATAGTATCCCCACCTCGACCAATAATCACACCAACCTTATCATTTGGAACTTTAATCTCCAACTGTTCTTGGACCTTTAAATAAAGGGTAGGTACACCTCCTGCTTCAGTCTAGGATTGCAGCAGAAGAAAAAAAAGTAGGTCAAATCTGAGGTCAGACAACAACATTCAATAAAGAATCAACACGGATGTCAAAGACAAGTTAAAAACCTCTGCTATAATCTGATTGATAAGCATCTCTGCTTTCTCGATAGAAGCAGCTTTTCCAATTATCTCCACCGGTCTTAAAGATGAATTTGGATCTGCCTCAGAATCCCTCCGGATTTGGATTTTGGCACCAGATTTGAACTGAAGATGCCTGACCATCTCCCCGCCTTTACCAATAAGCGTGCCAACCTGCCAAATGTACCAAGAGCACTCTGTAAGATTTACCTCACACAAGGCCCAAAAGGGAAACTAAATTCAATCACCTTTGAACTCGGGACTTCGATTCGTCGAGTCTCGTCAACCTCTTTGTTAGAACTGCCACCATTAGCTTCTTTACTTTCGTCGCCAGTCTCTTCATGAGAACCACTGCCGTTCACTTCCTTACTGTCCTCACCATTCTCCTTCCCAGCAATTGATTCCTTATTTTCATTGTCATCTTCCTTCTGAGAGCCACCATCATTGACTTCGTTTTCAACTTCATTCGTTTCCTTACTACTGTCATCAGCTTCCTTCTGAGAACCACTAATGTTCACCTCCTTACTTTCTTCAACGGAAACTTCCTGTGAGGTTGCAGCCTCAGCAGAAGCTGGTTGGTTATCTTCAACCTTTACATCATCCATCTTAACTTCAGATTCATCGGTGTGAATGAGCTCCTGAGCTTTCTCAATTAGAGGTTTGACATCTTGGTTCTCATCTTTCTCCTCAGTGGGTTTCCCAGTTCCCTCTTCCATTGATTCTTTAACACTTTCTTCAGTTTTCACAATACCTACATCAACATGCCACAACAGAGATCGATGAGAATGCATGTTTTTTTCATATACCCATAAACAAAACAGACGAATCGAAAAACAAATGTGAAGGCTTTTCGATGAATGCATCATCCGCCCAAATCCCTAGTTTTGAAACAAACGAAGAAATCGAAAAAAATACCTAATCCATCGGCAGCCGAATCGCTGAGCTTAATTCGCTTCGTCTGAGAACAATCAGAAGCTTTTTCGCCGTCATCTACTGAAACTTCATTAGAACCATCAATTGAGCCGGCGTGCTTCTCGAGGACCTCCGATTCAACATCTTCAAGCTTGCGCTTGAGGTCGGACGGCTGCACAGGGAAAGTCATAACCTCTTCCTCCGCCATGTGAGTGAACGGGAAAAAAGTAAGAAACGGATTCTTCGGTGGTGATGAATCGGCGACCTTGAAACGTTTAGGGCTTCGGAACCAGTGAGTGTAGAGAAATAAAGGACGGGAAGTGGTGGTGACGACTCGTGAGTTTAAAGGCTTTTCTTTTGTAGTTTTAATCTCTATCTTAATGGGCCTAACGGGCCTCATTTCATTGCAACTATAAACTTTTAGTATCCCCCTACATACTGAAGAAAGTGTTGAAATACAAATCGTATATGGAACACCGTCAAATCGAATTCACACCTCAATTCCTACATACAAGAACGTCGTATCATTTTAAGTTCTCCTTAATAAACAATTTTTTTTTTATTTTTGGTATCTCTGGTATCCGGCTCCGAGGAGTCGACCGAACAGTCACCGACCAGTCATGGGCCCAAACCGATAGTCTGAGCTTTGTCCAGCTGTATCCAGTTATTCCGAGGATCTAACCCGAACGAAAAACCCGATTATCCCCTCGAAAAGGGTCCAGGGTCCCAACGGAAGGGATGTTAAATCCGTTGTGGTCAAGTGGTTTCGAATCAGGGTCCGTATTGGGACTTACCTCCCTCAAGTACCACTGGGATATGACCACTTGGTTTCCTTAATAAACAATTGTAAAAGAAATAAACTAAAATATAATAAATCAAGCCATAGGACGTCTTCTTGTACTTCAGCAACTTCCTCATTGGCCTTTGCATTGCACATATTTTCATAGTTTGGTTTCGGTTCCTCCTATGAGGTCAAAGAGAAGAAGCATAGCCTCAAGTTTAATTTGATTACATTTGGCGGGCTGGCCTTGAGATTTATGGGGCTAGTAACATTCACCGTTTTGGGGATAAATCATATATAAAAAATTTTAAAGAAATTTGGGGGCCAAATCATTTACACATATTTAACCATTTAAAATTTGGGGGCCAAAACAAATGTTTCATGAGGCTGTCCTCCTGCATTTGGCTTCTTGGTTGGTTGTTGATGAAGGTAAAGTTGATTTGGTTGTTGTGTTTTTATTCTCAAACCGTTTTCTATGTTGCAATTAGAGATTTTGCTCGTTTTTCATTTTTTAGATTTATTTGGAAAATAAAGTCGTTTACATTTTCTAAAGACCAAACTAGATCGAATGTTTTGTTAATTTTATTATCTAATTGGCAGACGTGAAAGTTTTGATGATATCAGCAGTCATATCGGCGATATCATGGACGGCTTTGTTACGCTGAGTCACCGGCAACGGAGAAAATCCAGCGAATTGGTCCTTGCACACATCCGGTGCCGACACGACGTCTTTCATGTCAGCCATCGCCTGAGAATACTTCTTAGCCTTTAGATCAGCCAAAGCCGCCGGTATAAACCTACGAACAGCCGCGCCGTACTCCTCAATGCAAGTTCCGTATATCTCAAATTCTTCTTGACGAGTGATGTTCTTCATAACGGAGACAAAATAATTTAACGACTCGTTCACTTTCTTTGTCGTCGCATCGATGGAGATCGACGCAAGCCCTTTTATAATAATAATATTAAAAAATTAGCTACATAATGTTGCAATATGTATGAAGGAATATTAGACAATGACAAATTTTACGTTGAACATCTCAAACAGCAAAATCATTTCATTATTTTCCTCTTATTTTTTTCAGAAAAAAAATCAACGAATGAAATGTATCATGTCACCTTGTAGATTTGAGGTTTTGCTTCTAGGATCAAGAGTGAGAGTAGAGACACATAGGCTTTGATAACGGTTTCTTTTGCAGAGTTGTTGTATAGGATTAGGTCTCGGAGGGGACACCTTTGATTGAGAGAAGGCGGTTTGGATTCCTATAAGAACAACAAAAATAGCGAATAGTTTCATGAAGTTGTTCATTTTGTTTTCTGATTCTTGAAGTATTTTGAGATCTTACACACACAAAAAAACGTAATGTTAATGAATGGTTTATGAATCTAAGATTGGCATTTTATAGGGTCAAAAGTCCTTGAGGTTGTTGGCAACATTAAAGGCTTCTTTAGTCTTCAGATTGCATATAATGTAGATATGTAAATAAATTTACCAAGAGTTATCAGATTATACTTTAACAAAAAAAGAGTTAATTATATAGGTTACACATTTTTCGATTTATACACAGAATTCTTGCATAGTTGCATGTGTTTTTAGATGGCATGCATGAAATAACATTGTATATATAGCTTCTATTTTTTAAAACTTTTTGGGAACTTTTAAAATACTATGGAAACTATTGATTTTCGTGATTGAATTTTAAAACAAATAAGTACACAATCCATTGACCATTAATCTCTTCAGTATGAGGCCATAAACTCTTCATAGACGAAAAGACCATGAACATTTTCGTAAACTAGCTTTGATAGTCTTTCTTCTTGTAATTGAATGTGTTTGACTAGATCATATGTTTATGATTTTCTAGTCAAACACATTCAATGAGTAGATCCTTTATCAAATCAACAAAAGCAAAAAAATAACTGACGAATAGATCAGATGCCTCTTATAAGAAAAAACAACATGTTCTATAATACTCAAATTTTATACATGTTACACAATTAGCATATCCAGTACATCTATATTCTACATCGTGGTCTTTTATGTTTTTAAAATATTAGTTTTGTTTATAAACAAAAATGATACTGCCTGAACACTACGTACTGTATCAAATTCTAATAATACACATCTTAATTATATAAAGCTGAATGACATTCAACGTGGCTGCGATACGTAAGATTTTTATAACTCATAGGATCGCGACATGTATCAATTTAATTTTATTCTTATTAAGCTTTTGACATATGTTTTGGAAAAAAAAACTAATAAAAAAGATATTAAAAAGGGGTAAATTATTTTCCATATTCTAAAAAAAAACACTAAAAAGGTTATGAGGGATTCAGACGTGTTCCTCCAACAACCATAATGCGTGTCAAGAACTTGCATGACTACAGATCCAAAAAATGGACAAGCGGTTCACTTCAAGAGTTCATCCCAAATCAATCGCCTTGTAACAGTGGAGTGTTTGCTATCGAAGATGTACAAAGAATGAGTTTGATTGACATTCATTTTGGTAATAATGATAGGCACCATGAGAACATCTTGAAATCCCAACACGGAGGCCGTTTAGAATTGGATGAAATCAATTCTGTTTTTCATTACAAAATCCGAACCAAGGTACTGAAAACGGGTGTTGCTAACAAATATGTTCCGACTGATATTGCAAGACTCATGGTGAAAGCCTATGATGATAAGAAAGAGAACTCAGATTAGTCTCTAGAACTAATATAGTAAATTCCTAACCAGAAGAAAAATATTATTAAATTAACCTTATCTGATTTCACACAGATTTTACACACATCATATTCTCAAACAGAAACGAACATTCTTTGAAAGAGAAAGCTAATGACATCAATATTTGCCATAAATCTCATGACTATCATTTTTTTGATAAAATTATATTTAAGATATTTGGAAACCTTGGGATATCAGGGAAGAATGTAAGAAAAAAACACTACAAGTTTATTAAACATGAAGCAAAGCATGAGAGTTTTTATTTTTATTTTACCTTTTTTCGCTGTTCAGATAGCAAACTATCTTTAAACTACTGCTTGAAATTATAACTCAAGGTCCAATCAAAACTTGAAATTATTCTCCCACACGGACGGCAAACTTTTATCAAATGATGATCCATCTAAAACTCTCTTATTCTGAAGAAATCAGAGGTTAAAAAGAAATGTAAGCTACTTACTCATACAGATTGTTGTCTATAGAATGTTTTGAGTGTTTAAATGACTGCATTTACTGGCTTTTTTTCTGCTGGATTGTCCCACTTTGTTTTACAGCTACGACAAACTCGCATGCATCTAGTACCTTTGATTAGTTATGGGAAAAGAAAAAAATGGAAAAATAAAAGAAAAAAAAAACATTTAAAGATGATAATATTAAATTAGTACTCCCTCCGTTTCAAATTAGTTGTCGTTTTGGCAAAATGTATCTGCAAATATTTAGACGTATTTAGACGTATTTTGCATTGAAGATACATCTAAATGATTACAGATACATTTTCCCAAAACGAGAACTAAATTGAAACGGAGAGGGTATAAATACTCTTGTAAGGCTATAAGAGCATGAACAAGCTTTATTTTCGAGGAACGGTTATTTAAGTGAAACTCCCACATTCCCTTATGCTTTATATCGATGATGTTTTCGAATGAACAAGCTGTTGTCCTCGAAGATTTTTGTTCGACTCACCACTGAATTCGACGATGCTGATGATGAGGATGAAGTTGACAATGGACATTTAAACCTTTATTTTCTGTTTATTGTTTCAAAAGCTATGTTTAAAATGTTTTTACGCGAAATAATGATTTAATTTTCATTCAATGTAAAATATTTAATGTTTTCTATATAAATAAATTTAATTCACAAAAAAAGAGTTCTGAACACTTAACAAACTTTATCAAATAATTGATGTGGAACCATATGTCTCTTAACGTAAATTTATTGTTATAATATAATAATGCTAATAGACAATTTGAATAAGCATCATTAATCATGCTCTAATAAGTTTTGATGTGTTTTCCCCATTGTTCATATACAACTCTTTTAGTAATACCAATAGTGTCACAGTAAACCAAACTATTTACTGAATAAACGATCTTTGGTTTTATTAAACTTTACAAGGAGAAAGTGGAGAGCCGCAGAGACAATCGTTCCCGGCGAAAGCTCTAGCTGAGAAATTTGTCACCGGAAGTTTTCCGCAAAGATGGTTTTGACTCAAGTTTAGCGTCTTTAGTCCGGCCACAGTCGCCGGCACCTTCCCAAATACTAAGTTCCTTGACAAATCCAACGTTTCAAGCGTCTTGGTTAACTTCAGGTTCCCAATATCGAACCGGAGTTTGTTCCCGGACATCCAAAACTCCCGCAGCTGCTGTTCTTTCTCCAAGAACCTTACCGGACTCCCTGAGATCTCATTTTCCGAAAGATCAATGGAAACGTAGAGGTCAGTTTGCCTCGGCTTCCAATCATCTAAGCTCATCTTGATTCCACATTTGGCCAGCTTCAATGAGTTAAGAATGGACGCTGACTTCACCCATTCCGGGATTGTTTCCATGTGAAATATGTTGTACGACAAATCTAGAGTTAAAACGTCATACGTCACGTTCAAAACAGGGAATGGATCGGTTAAGAGATTATGAGAGAGATTAATATTAGCAATTTTAGTCAGCTTGGCTAAACTCTTCGGCACGGCTCCTGAAAACCTATTCTTGGAGAGATCCAACGTGTCGAGCTTATTGAATCTTGATAAATAGCTTGGAATTGAACCAGAGAGATTGTTCTGGCTTAGCTCTAGGAAGGCGAGAGTCTGCGCGAGCGATGCCATCGACGAAGGAAGTTTCCCAGAGAATCTATTGCGAGAGAGAGTGAGGATACGAAGCTTTGTCATGGATTTAAAAATGTTCGGGATGGTTCCGGAGAGACGGTTGTCGTCGAGATTTAAATTCGACAAGAGCTTGAGATTAGCAAACCCTAACGGTATAGCTCCGGTTAAGAGATTACCGCCAAGATTGAGGTAATTTAACCGAGTTAAATTGGATAGCGAGCTCGGGATCGGACCGGTGAACCGGTTTCCTTTAACGGTTAACGTATCTAAGTTGCTTAGGGCTCCGATGTTGGCCGGAAGAGGACCGGTTGTTCTCGAGGTAAAAGTACTGTAGATGTGATAACTGGAAGAGAAACTGAGGAAAAGGTCCGGTGATGTTTTTGAGGTTGATGAAGACAACACCTTCTAAATACTGGAGTTTGGCAAGAGACGGCGAGATAGTGCCGGAGAGAAAGATTCCGGCGTCGTCGGACTCTATGCGGAGAGTGAGTACGACGACACGGTTGCTGTTACGGCAGCTGACACCGTCCCTAGGGCAGCAATCGGTACCTTTCTTCCATGAGGTGAGCATACCCGAAGGGTCTTTGGTTATACCAGATTTAAAACCCCGGAGGAAGATAACAGCGGCGAAGATGAAGAGATTCAAGAAAGAAGAGTTCATGGTGGTGTTTTATACTGGACTAAAGAGAAGCAATGAGCAGCTGATAACAGAAACAGTGATAAAGAGACTAGAGAGGTATTAATATGCAAGAAGTCAAAGTTGACCGATTTTGACTAATCAGTTTGCGTGTTGCGATCAATATTGTGTATAGTAATTAATTATAATAACTAACTGAAAGAATAAAACGTGACAGAAATAGACTCCATGTTTATTTAAAGTAAAAGGAACAGAATAGGACACTATCTTATGTCAAAGGTTCTTTTGACATGCTTTAGATCTCGGGATGTGATAATTGACCGTTATTATAGTCTAAACCACGATCTGACATGAGTACACATGTTACTGAAAATTTGGACTTAACAAAGAAAAGAAGTACCCTATTTGTAACTTTTTTGATAAGATAAACCATGGAAATGGAGTTGATAGAATGAAACAACATTCGGCATGTGTGGAAGGAAATGTAGATGGATGCAGAAAGGTTCGCTGCAACCTACAAGATTAATCTGTCAAATGGAAAAAGGTAAAAAAAAAAAGTAAAGATAAAGCGAAAGAGAAGAGAGGTGAATATTAAAATGCAAGTTGAAGAACTTACCCAAAAAAACAAAAATGCAAGTTGAAGATGGTCAAAGTTCTCACTAAGAGCATTTCCATTTGAAAGTTCTCAATTAAAAAGAACATTATTTATTGTGAAACATTGAAGTATATATGAAATTTTCTTTTTTTTTTGTTTGAAGATGATGATCCTTTCTTTAAATGAATAGAGGAAGTCGGTCTTGAAAGTTTGAAAGATGTGTTAATCAAAGTTAGACTTCATGAAATAGATTTAGCAAGTAATAAAACAGGTGTAGAAGAGTCATGATGGCATGTGAATTGGAATGAGAGCTTCAAAGTTGTAAAACCTCACTTGAGCAAAATAATTATTCGTTTCATGCTATTCCTATTATATCATCCGTTTATGTCACAAATTATTTCTCTAGTCTATTATCTTTATTTTTGTTTCAAGTTAATTTATTCCATGCGTAAATATATCGTTTCGTTTTAAGCTTCTTGGAAATTTCAGAAGTAATATAGTTTATTCGAATCTTAAAACAACTTTGTTTTTTATTAATACAAATCTTATTTCGACATACGTGTCTTAGACCATCTCCAACCCCTCATGCCATATGTTATTGCAAATGGCAAAAATATAGCAATAGCATTGGGTTTCTCTCCAACCCCTCATGCCATATATCATGCTATAATTTTTTTCCAACTTATTATTAATTGTTAAAACTACTTGATTTCTTCAAATTTTACAAAGTGAATCATTTGTTTTTCTTTTTTGCAAAAACAACCAGAATTATATTTTTTTTATTATTATAATATTAAAACAAAATACATCATATTACATAAAAATTATAGAAAACAAAGATTTTAACCTATTGTTTTATGTTTTTTGAATTTCAGTATTTTTAAAAATAAAATTTTAAGTTTATTATGGTTATGTTTTTATATTTCTATGAAATAAATATTATTTATATTTTGAAAAAGTTATGAGTATTGTTTATTTATTTAAATAAATCATAATCAATATAATTAAACTGTTAAATTAAAAGTAATTACAAATTGAAGGACTATTTTATAAATAAAAAAGTTCAATGGCAAAATAGCATATTGCATAATCTCATGCCAAATATAGAAGCAAAAATAGCATGATGCTATTTTGCAATAGCATATGCAATTGGGTTGGAGCAAAAATTATGGCAAAATAGCATATATGTCATATTTAGCATGGGGTTGGAGATCCTCTTAGTAAATCTAAATAGAAACTTTCATCGCCGCTAAAGGTTTACAAGGAGAAAGTGGAGATCCGCAAAGACAATCGTTACCGGCGAACACGGCGGCCGGGAACTTTGTCACCGGAAGCTTCCCACAAAGATGGTTTTGACTCAAGTTTAGCGAGTCAAGTCCGGCCACAACCGCCGGCACCTTCCCAAACACCAAGTTCCTTGACAGATCCAAGATTCTCAACGAACTGGAGAAATTTAACTTCCCCAAGTCGAATCTGAGTTTGTTCCCTGACGCCTTGAACTCATACAATACATCCGCCTTGTTCAAGAACCTAGCTGGACTCCCTGAGATCTCGTTCTCCGACAAATCAATGGTACTGAAAGATCCTATCTTCATCGGCTTCCAATCTTCAAACCTCATCTTGATACCGCATTTAGCAAGATTCAGATTGTAGATGATAGACGACGAAGTCACCCATTCCGGAATCGTGTTAAGATGAAACTGGTTGTAGGAGAGATCCAGATAACCGATGCCGCCGACGAAGTTCAAGGCAGGGAATGGTCCGGTTAGGTGGTTTCGTGAGAAGTTGACATGGAAAAGACTTTTGAGATTGGTGAAACTCATCGGCACAACGCCTGAGTAATGGTTACTCGAGAGATCAAACTTGGAGAGCGCCTTGAATCTCGAGAAATAGTCAGGGATCGTCCCTGAGAGATTGTTCTGGCTCAGGTCGAGGTGGACGAGACTCCGTGCAAGGGAAGCAAACGACGGTGGAAGTTCTCCGGAGAATCCGTTCCGGGAGAGGATGAGAGCTCCGAGCTTAGTCATGGATTTGAAAACGTCCGGGATGGTGCCGGGGAGGCGGTTTCCTCGTAGGTCGAGCCAAGTTAACCGTGTCAAATTGGATATCGAACTCGGGATCGGACCGGTGAACCGGTTATCATCAAGAGAGATATCTCCAACATTGGTTAGCGCGCCGATGTTAACCGGAATTGGACCGGAGATTAAAGTACCGGAGATGCGGATTAGTTTCAGCTTCGGTAACCGGAAAAGGAACTGCGGGAAAGATCCGGTGAGCTTGAGATCAGTGAAGGAAACCGCCTCCAGGTGCTGAAGTTTGGCCAGCGACGGTGAGATAGTTCCATAGAGAGTTCCTTTGCCAAGAACGGTCTCTCCTCCGGATAATCTCAGTTCGGTGACACGGTCGTTGGTGATGCAAATGACACCCATCCAGGAGCAGCAGATACTTCCTTTTTGCCAATCGCTGAGCAAGCCCAATGGATCTCGGGTTATACCCGCTTTGAAGGCTAGAAGACCCGCCTCGTCATCGGGATGGCATGTGGCAGATCCGGTTGAAGCTAAACAACCGAGAGAGATAACGGTGGCAAAGATGAAGGTAGTAAAGAAGAAAGAGTTCATGGCTGTAACTCGTGTTGTGGGGTGCTACTCAGAGAAGTAACGCGTGCGTAGGTTATTAATAGGGGAAAGTTGAAGACCGATCATTTTTTATTCTTCTTTTTAGCATATTTTTCTTCTTGGAGAGCATCTTTTTTTTTCTCTTTTCTTGTGAAAAAAGGTATCATCTCGAGAGCAACTTGTACGTGTAGCTACTATTTTATTATACAAAATCACGTTTCAAAAGAAAAGGTTGACGGATTTCAACCGAACCATTTGCACGTGGCAATAATATATAGTGTCATCCGTAATTAGTGGTTAATTGCAGGACCCTAATTATAATCACTGTCAAAAGTATCAGTCTTCCACGATAGGCTTGAAGACATGCACTCACTCTAGCTAGAGCGTATTATTTCTTTATATTGTATCCAAAGTATCACGTGTTTTTATTGTTTTCTTTTTACGTCTGAATCTAAATACATGCATGTGTTTATATACCCAAAATATATATTATATTGTGAATCTAGATCTTAAAAAAGTTATGAGATATAGATTTAAAATGTAGATTGCCGACAGAGTAAAGAGGTAAAAACTGAAAATTTCGATGAGGTTGCCGAAAGAGTAGAGAAATATTACATTCCTTTTGGGAGAGAAATGCCTATCCAATCGTCTATATGGATAACTTTAGAAAAATTTCTAATTCTAAAACTTGAATTTGGAACTGACGTACTGAGATCGTAGATGCATAAGTCTCTTTAAAAAAACTAAAGCAATTTGTAAATTTGAATATGGCTATAATAACTGAAAGTTAAGCTAGTGGCTCGATAATCTGCGAGCAAGAAATTGGCAAAAACTATACAAAGCAATAAACAACAATTTGTATACATGAGAGTTATGGCCAATGGGGAAATATGTACTATATGTACTAAAAAAGTTTGTATCACAAAAATAGACTCATAAGTCTTATTCCTTCAAAAGTAGTTCTCATTATTTTGTGATATAGTGTGTACACTAAATAAACAATGGATCAACGCAATCTGTTAAACGCACATGTTAGTATGTTACTACTCTTTAGATTGTGTGACCCTCAGTTTAAATATAAACAATCCGGATTCTCAGGCAATTATACCTCATTCATATACCATTCTAGGCACGATTTGTTCTCAGAAAAAAATGTTGTTCAAGCGCAATGTATATTAAAATTTCACGTACGTTCCAGAATAGAACAGTCAAATTTGGTTTACTTAAATATCAAACTGTAATACACAGTTTATGACATGTTGTTAGACCATATGATTTAAGTCTTATGTTGTGGTTTGGTTTTGGCGGGAACTTAGACGGTTCATATGTGGAAATCCCAAAATATTGCTTATAGGTAGATTTTACTCTTTTCTTTTTACAATATATTTTCATTTCATGATCCTGAATCTCAACCCTCCCCGGTTCTTCATGAGAAAAATAAAATAAAAAGTGATGCTGATGAATGATAACTTGAGACGTACGTAAAGTGTGGAGACCACAGATAATACCAAACATATAGAGAAAAAAAAGAGGGGAACAACGCTGCAGACTTTCTTGCCGCTAAACTAAACAAGGAGAAAGTGGAGAGCCGCATAGACAGTCATTGCCGGCGAACGCGCTGGCTGTGAAATTTGTCACCGGAAGCTTTCCGCAAAGATGGTTTCGACTCAAGTTCAGTCTCTGCAGACCGGTCACCATCTCCGTCACCATCCCGAATGCCAAGTTCTTTGAAAGATCCAATGTTTTCAGCGTCTTCGCAAACGTCAAGTTCCCCATATCGAACCGGAGTTTGTTCCCCGCCGCCCGAAACTCCAGCAGATACTTCGTCTGGTTCAATAACCATTCTGGACTCCCTGAGATCTCGTTATTGGACAGATCAATGTAATAGTAGTACAACGTTTCCGCTGGCTTCCAGTCGTCTAAGCTCATCTTGATCCCGCATTTTGCTAGCTTCAACAAGGACATGCTTGGCAACGAAGTCACCCAATCTGGAATCGTTTCTAGGTTAAACTGGTTGTACGAGAGATCAAGAATCTGGATGGTTTGAGCGATCAAGTCAGGAAATGAACCGGTTAAAAGATTATGAGAGAGATCAAGAGTGTAAATATTGGTCAGATTAGCGAAACCTTCCGGCACAGCCCCTGAGAACCGGTTCTTGGAGAGATCCAAGTTTTCGAGTTTGATGAAGCTTGATATGTAGTCTGGTATGGTCCCTGAGAGATTGTTCTGGCTCAGACTGAGGACTAAGAGTGTTGGTTGGAGCGATGAGATTGACGGAGGAAGTCTCCCTGAGAATCCGTTGCGTGAGAGCTCGAGAAACTTGAGCTGCGTCAAGGATTCGAAAATGTTTGGGATGGTGCCACGGAGGAGGTTGCCGCCGAGGTTTAGATTCTGAAGGAGCTTGAGATTAGCAATCCCTGATGGTATAGTTCCGGTTAAAAGATTATCGCCAAGAAAAAGACCGGTTAACCGAGAAAGATTTGATATGGAAACCGGTATCGGACCGGTGAACTTATTTCCCCGAAGAGTTAAATCTTCCAACTGGCTTAGCGTGCCGATGTTGGCCGGAAGTGGACCGTAGAGATTGTTGTTCTCGATGTTAACGTACTTAATCTTTGGTAGTCGGAGAAGGAATTGGGGAAACGGTCCAGTGATGTTTCTGTGACCTCCCAAGCTAATCACTTCGAGGTACTGGAGTTTGGCCAGCGACGGCGAGAGAGTGCCTGAGAGGGAGCGTACGGGTTTCTTGAGAAATCCGAGTAGTGACAGTACGGTGACGCGGTCGCCGCTGACGCAAGAGACACCGTTCCAGGAGCAGCAAGAAGTATTATTCTTCCAAGAGCTGAGCATGCCTGAAGGATCTTGAGTTATACCGGATTTGAACGCTAAAAGACCCGCCTCATCATCAGGATGACACGTGGTAGCTCCTGTGGGACTAAAACACTGGAGAAAGATTATGACGGCAAATATGAAGTGAGTGAAGGAGAAATAGTTCATGGTGATGTGCCGTGGGATTGAGAGAAGCTGTTGGTAGCTACTAATAATAGATTGAGGGAGGGAGAGAGAGAGAGAGAGAGAGAGAGAGAGAGAGAGAGAGAGAGAGAGAGAGAGAGAGAGAGACGACTTGAGAGCTGCGAAGTCAAAGTCGACGATTTTGACTAATCCATTTGCATGTGACAATAAGTGGTGTATGCAAACCATATCTCATGACGCGTTATCTTGTTGTTAGACAAAAAGGTTCATTTTCATTATCCTACAGGTTACAGCAACTCATTTGTTTCTTTGCACAAAAAAAAAACTCATTTGTTTAGATACACCAAAGATATCAAATCTATGTGAATTTAGATCTTAAAAGAGTAAACAGATGTTTACATATATGTTAAGATATGATCTTAACGAAGATAAGAGTTCTATGTGAATGTATAAATATTCACAAACTAAAGAGACTTGACCACATGTTACACACATTGGTACGTGCTCCTGTATACTTCCATCTGTAATCCGCTCATTGCTCCACCTAATTCTTAAAGATATTAACCAGCGATTTTAATTCATATAAAATTATATAACAACTAGATTAGGCCCGCGTATACGCGGGTTTATTTATTTTTATTTTTTTAAATCACGGAAGAATATTAAACAAAATTTGATCAATTTTAAAAATAAGAAAATAATATTAAAAACCCGATAACAAATCTCTAAATAAAGATATGTAGTCTTTTACATTTTTATTTTGAATTCATGATATGAAATAGAAAGATTTACATGTGTCTAAATCTAATCGACTCATTATTTTATGAAACTTTGATTATTCCATGATGAAATCTTTATTTTTAATATTTTTTTACCTAACAAAACATGGAAAATTAAACTATTTAATATTAGAAGATCAGTCCATTATAAAATTTTCTTTTTTAATATTATTTAGTTCCTTAATAATTATTTTGTTAGTTTTCTATTTATATTGTTTCTTTTTCAATTTCGTTTTTGCCTCTGACCATTATAAATTTTCATTTTCATTATTAGTTAGTTGTTTTAATATTATTTTGTTAGTTTATTTATTTATGTTACTACATTTTTCCAATTTTCTTGTGTTGACACATGTCATCACTTCATCAAATATTAGACACATGTATCGATCTAAAGTTAAGTATTCTTCATTGATATCTTTAACTTTTAAAGACATGAATTTTATTTCTTAATGAGAAAGAAACTTAAAAAATATAGCTTGTTATATATATTTTTTTTTTCATTTTCGTAATGGGAATATGTTTTTTTATTCCTTTTCTTATTGGATGTAACATTTTTTAATTATTTCTTCATGTTTTTCTGATTTTCGTTTTTTTTCCTTTTCGTAATAGAATTATGTTTTTTCTTTACTTCTCATAATGGATGTAATATTTTTTCTTTTTAATTGTTTGTTTCCTGTTTTCTGATTTTTCCTAATGTACTAATAGGATTTTATTCAAATAATTTTAATTTCGATCCAATTGACCTAGAGTCAAATAATCTCCATGTTCTCTTGAACTTTCAAAGACATGATTTTGAAATTAGAGAAAGAGAATCAAAGAGATTTTCTGAATTTGCTTTGATGAGTTTGTGAATGAGAAAAAGAGACTACAATAGCTCTCTTTTTATAGGGGTTCATGTAACCAATTTCATATAGTTTTAGGATATTTAGTTTACATACCTATTACATGTACTAATAGGATTTTTTTAAATAGGAGTTTATATAACTATTCCATATAATTTTAGGATATTTAGTTTACATACCTATTCCATATACTAATAGGAATTTTTTATTACATTATTTTCATTTTATTATATAAAATTTCGTTTTTATTATAAGATATTAAAATTTCTTTAAAATAAAAATTTCTTTTTCCGAAGACATGTGTCACGATCTTAACGGATATAACATTAAAAGTGACACATGTCGCAATCCTATATTTTATAAAAATCCTACGTGTCGCAACCACGTCGTGCGCATCTTATAGATGTTGGGTATCACGCAAGTAACAAGATTTGAAATGTGGTTGTTACCAGAGTCTTCGTGTTGTTTTTGTTGACCTTAAGTGATGTAAGACATTGGTTTGTTTAAGCGACCAGAGTCTCTACAATGCTCTGATCGATTTGTTTCTTTATGATTCGTTTCCTCAAACAATTTTATGTAAAGAGCTTAACAAAAAAAAAATAAAATAATATATATATATATATATATTATATATATATATATATATATATATCATAGTAATCTAAAGAGAGCATCATTCTAAACCCCGGATTTATATGGATTGCATGGGTCATTGAGGTCGATGTTGAACACATATGAAGAAATATATGCCAAAACCAACACCAAAATTCAGTTACCAGTGTTACGATTATTTCTTCGGTTCCTAATTTCCAGAGAAATAGTATGAAAAAAATAGTGGAGATAGTTTGATTTAGGTATCTTAAAATTTACTTATTTCCTTTTTATTAATTCAAATCTTATTTCAGGCTACGTGCCACAGTAAATTCAAATACAAAACTATAGTTTTCTTGCCGCTAAAATTTACAAGGAGAAAGTGGAGAGCCGCAAAGACAATCATTACCAGCGAACGCACTGGCAGGGAATTTAGTCGTCGGAAGCTTTCCGCAAAGATGGTTATGACTCAAGTTCAGTTCCTCAAGTGTATCAACCCCAGTCGGCACCTTCCCAAATACCAAGTTCCTTGACAAATCCAAGATTCCCAACGACTTGTCGAAACGTAGCTCCCCCATGTTGAATCGAAGTTTGTTCCCGGACGCCTTGAATGCAAACAGTTGATTCGCCTGGTTAAGCAACCTTGCCGGACTCCCCGTGATCTCGTTTTCCGAAAGATCGATGTAAGAGTAACCAAAGATGCTCACTGCCTTCCAATCGTCTAACCTCATCTTGATCCCGCATTTAGCCAGCTTCAACGAGTACATGAGCTCCGACGAGGTCACCCATTTGGGAATCTCTTTCAGTTGAAATTTGTTGTATGAAAGATCCAAAGATCTCATGTCTTTCACTTTCAAGAAAGGGAATGGACCGGTTAAAAGATTGTGGGAGAGATCGAGATCGGTCAGTTTAGTTAACCTAGCCAAACTCTTAGGCACAACCCCTGAGAATCGATTTCTAAAGAGATACAATGTGCTAAGCACCTTGCATCTTGATAAATAGTCAGGGATCGTCCCTGATAGATTGTTCTGCCCTACCTGGAGCCATAGGAGTGTCCGTGCGAGAGACGCAATCGACGGAGGAAGCTCCCCGGAGAATTTGTTGTTGGTGAGAAGAATGTATTGGAGTTTGGTCATGGATTTAAACATATTTGGGATGGTGCCAGAGAAGCGGTTGTTGGCGAGACTGAGCTGATATAAGTTAGTTAAACTGGATAACGAACTTGGGATCGGACCAGTGAACTGGTTTCCATCGAGAATGAGATACTCTAACCGGCTTAGCCCGCCGATGTTGACCGGAAGGGGACCGGAGAGACTGGTATTCCGAATGTAAACTGCTTTAAGATTTGGTAACTGGAAAAGAAACTGAGGAAAAGATCCAATGATTTGTAGGTTGCCGAAGCGAACATCGGTAAGGTGTTGGAGTTTGGCCAGCGACGGCGAGATAGTACCGGTGAAAATGCTTCCAGCAATAACGGAACTTCCTTCTACCAACAGTCTGGTGACGCGGCCACCGGGGAGGCAAGTGATACCGTTCCAGGGACAGCAGTCAGTACCTTTCTTCCAAGAGCTGAGAATGCCTGAAGGGTCTCGGGTTATACCCGCTTTGAAAGCTAGAAGACCCGCCTCGTCATCAGGATGGCACGTGGCAGCTTCTGTGGAGGTTAAGCACCGGAGAAAGGTAACGGCGGTGAAGATGAAGAGAAGGAAGAAACAAGAGTTCATGGTGTTGTTTTGAGTTGGTTAAGAGAAGCAATCGGTAGCTATTAATAGAAGGAAAGGGCCGACTCGAGAGCTGGCGATTTTGAATAAATCATATGCATGTGGGGTTTGACAATGTGGTGGTCATATAATCATACGTGGTCAAACTTTTCATTACTCTCTCGATCGCTTAAAAGTCAATAAAATGTTTCTACGATCAGATATTTATGGATGTGTGTAATATTTCTAGAATTTTTGCTGTTAGAGAGTATTAAAAGTTTATTCTTAGTATATTTTCGTATATTTTTCACAGCATTTTCGTATTATTAGTTTATTATAATCCTTATCAAAAAAAAAAATATTTTAAATTTTAATTCCCAAATTTAGTTAGGAAAAGTCTTACATTTATTTTCTTTCTAACAACATGTACGTAAAGCTTTGTTCAAAAAAAAAAAAAACCAACATGTACGTTCTCCATTCTTGGCCGATAAGTCGAAAAATCATTGCAACAAATATTTCCAAAGAGGAACACAATGCAACAAATTACATACCTTTCCGAAGTTACCTAAATTGGTAAGTTGGTATGTTCATGTCATGCTGGAATACTGACTGTTCTTTATCAAAAAAAAAAAATGTTGGAGTACTGTTTTTGTCGTAACTTCTGGTGAAAAAAAGAGAGGCAGAATTAAGAGAGAAACAAAACTGAGGCAAAATATCATTTTTCAAACGAAATCGATACAACTTGTATGGAAGCTTCTTCATATTTCAAAGTTCAAACTACTCTTTATTTCTTTATTGAGAAAACGGTCAATAAAATGAATTTACACACTTTTTCCAAAACAAATACCAACTTTTCATTAAACCAAAGAAATCACTAACTTGTGTTGACCTAGCCATTTAGTATACAAATTTAGTCAACCAAATCTAGCGTTAATCTCCGTTTACTGTAACTGTTAATTAACTCGTTGTCGTTTCTTTTATACAACCAAAACAGAAAATCCTCAATTTTTCTGTACAAAACTCTCTCTTCTTCTTATTTTGGATATCCTCCACTAACGAAATTCTGTTACTTTCTAATGGATGCTTTGAGAGAGAAAGGAGCTAAGAACCAATGCTATGTGCCTGCGAAACTTGTGATTGGAGTTTTGGGATGCAGCAACTCTTTCATGATTAAATTAACTGAGAAGATTTGACATATGAATTGAATGTTATATTTTTTGTTATTGATTCAATGTCTTCTTTTCTCTTTAATGGTTCTCAGTTTTTTATATCGCACTGTTAAATAAAATAAAGTTTCCAACAACTCTTATGTCAAAGAAACTCTTATCGCACCTAAGAAGCGCTTGCTTGAACTCATAAGCACAACCAAAAGTCTTGCCTAATGCTAGAATTTCATCAGGTGGTATTGTATCCACATGAGATTCCCTTTCTGCTTCCTCTTCCTCATCGTCTGATGATAGAGGATCCGGTATTGTATCGTCGTTCCATACATCGTCTCCACTGTCATAATTCTCCTCATTGTCATTGCTAGCAATATCTCCAAGTAATTTGATAAAGATTGGCCTTCAACAATTACTTCTCGAACAGCTACACCATGCTCTTCATCTCATCTGCTACCTCATCACCAACATCATCAACAATCGCCTCACAGTCATCTCCTGGTATTGGCTCACGCTCATCTTGATCGATATCATCTTCCTCAATAGCATCACGTTTCCTGCGCCGTGGTGTTAACTTCGTCCTTTTCGTCAGAGGTGAAATTTAAGATCTAGAGAAGCAAAGTGATAGAGATAAAAGAAGAACGAGAATTAGAGAAAGAAAACGAGAATCGGCGAAGAGAATAAACCAGAAATTTTGAATTGCTAAAAGGAAATTAGGGATTTAAGAAGGATAACTGGTTTTTTGTGTGTTTCATCTGTTTCAGAACGACATTGTTTTGTTTTAACGTGAACAGTAAACGGCGCTTAACACTCATTAATCTCCAGATTTGGTTGACTAAATTTGTATACTAATTGGCTAGGTCAACACAAGTTAGTGATTTGTTTAGTTTAATGAAAAGTTGGTATTTGTTTTGGCAAAAGTGTGTAAGTTCATCATTTTATTGACCGTTTTCTCTTTCTTTATTATTAATACACGAATCGGAGCTACACTGTAGTTTACTTGCCAACTAAACTTTACAAGGAGAAAGCGGAGACCCGCAAAGACAATCGTTGCCGGCGAACGCACTAGCCGGGAACTTTGTCGCCGGAAGCTTTCCGCAGAGGTGGTTCTGACTCACGTTCAATGTCTGCAGTCCAGCCACCGTCGCCGGCACCTTCCCAAACCCCAAATTCCTTGACAAATCAAGAGTTGTCAGCGTCTTCGAAAACGTCAGCTTCTCCATATCAAATCGGAGTTTGTTCCCCGCCGCCTTGAACTCCACCAGAAACTCCGTCTGGTTCAAAAACCTTGCCGGACTCCCTGAGATCTCGTTCTCCGACAGATCGATGAAATCGTAGTAGTAAGTTTGCGCCGGCTTCCAATTGTCTAAGCTCATCTTGATCCCGCATTTCGCCAGCTTCAGCGAGAAGATGATCGGCGACGACGTCACCCAAGTCGGAATCGTTTTTCAGGTTAAATTGATTGTACGACAGATCAGAACAGGGAACGGATCCGTTAGGAGATTGTGTGAGAGATCGAGATTGAAAATTTTGGTGAGATTCGCGAAACTCTTGGGCACGACGCCGGAGAATCGATTCCGGGAGAGATCCAATCTATCGAGCGCTTTGAATAACGACAGAAAGCTTGGGATCGTCCCGGAGAGATTGTTGTTGCCCAATTCCAGGAACCTGAGAATCGGTGCGAGCGATGTAATCGACGGAGGAATATTTCCGGACAATTGGTTATTGGAGAGAGTGAGAAATCGGAGCTCCGTCATGGATTTGAAAATATCCGGGATGGTTCCGGAGAGACGGTTACCGCTGAGATCCAGAGACGACAAGAGCTTGAGATTAGCCATCCCTAGTGGGATAGTTCCGGTTAAGAGATTATCGCGGAGATTGAGCTGAAATAACTGAGTGCAATTCGATATTGAATTTGGGATTGGACCGGTAAACCGGTTTCCATCGAGACCCAACGTTTCTAACTGGCTTATCGAACCGATATTAACCGGCAAAGGACCGGAGAGACGGTTATTAGTGATGTAAACGTATTTTAGCAGTGGTAATTGGAAAATAAACTGTGGGAAAGGTCCGGTGATGTTTTTGAGATTGTTGAAGTAAATCGCGCCGAGGTGTTGGAGTTTGGATAGCGACGGCGAGAGAGTGCCGGTTAGGAAGCTTCCGGCGTTATCGGACTGTCCGGCGACATTGAGTGCGGTGACGCGGTCACCGGTGAGGCAAGTGATACCGCTCCAAGAGCAGCAAGCAGTGCCTTTCTTCCATGTGCTGAGAATACCGGACGGGTCTCGGGTTATACCCGCTTTGAAAGCTAGAAGACCCGCCTCGTCGTCTGGATGACACGTGGCTGCTCCGGTGGGGTTTATGCATATGAGGAAAATAACGACGGTGAATATGAAAAGAGAGTTCATGGTGGTGTTTGTGTGTGTGTGAGAGTGAGAGAGAGCAATTCGAAGGTATTAATAGAAACTCGAACGGCTGTCAAAGTCAAAGTTGACGATTTTGACCAAATCCCAATTTTGCATGTGGCAACTGGCAACTGAGTAGTGGTATCCGTAATCGTGATCGAGTTTATCATTCACCCGACAAGCTTGAATAGACAGTTTAATCAGATTTTTTTTTTTTTCTTTCCAAAATCAGATTTTTTTTATTTATAATCATTTCAGTGTCTTGTTAATCATATTGAAAGTTTAGCAAGTATTTTTTAATTTTTATTTGATGAAAGACAAAACGTATCTTGAATTTTATAATTTTTCTTTTGGTTATATTTTAAAGCGCACAAGTCAAAATATTTTTCAACTAGAGAGATTACGAAGCTAGTTTACTAATAGATTTTATAATACTGTTTTTAACTCTATTGTATTTGGAAAGACTATTCCCAGGGATATAATTTTGCTTAAGCTGTCAATGTCAGTTTCATTTTTGTTATTGCTTCACGTCAATTCACGGCGGCGATTCAAACAAGATTCCAAAACAAGTAAATGATCTTTTATAATAAAGAAGAACCTTAAATATAAAAGTAGAAAGATGCATTATAAAAATTATGACTATATATAAATCTATATGTAAATTAATGTTGGCTACGATGACTAGTCACTACATCTGATTTTTGATGAATTGCGGTTGAAGGCATAGGATATTCACTACATCTGCATTTTGAGCAGCTTGTTGGTCTTAGAGCAGAGTTGAAGCAGAGTGGCTAAGAAGTAACTTGTCTTTATCAACCTTATTTCACAATTGTGGTAGCAGTTCATAAATACTTTAGCCTTTCTTAGATTCCTTAAGCTGTTAAAAAAAAGGGTAGACCATTCTTTTAGTTGCCTTTATATAATGCTTTTACGAAACTTATTGAAATGCATCTTTAGTCAGCTATGTTTTGGGTGAGCTGCACTAATATGGTCTCTCACTATGTTCTTCTGCAAGTGATCACAACTAAACACACGAGAACCAACCCTTGTGCTTCTACAATATTAGCAAATATGCAATCTTGGTTTTGGGATGTCTAGATGCTTCTACCACAAACAAAGAATCGAGAAACACCATTATTTCTTAGACACTCTTCCACACGGACATAGCTTCCATCACTCTCATAGTCTTCCATTATCAAAATAGCTTCTCTCATAGAACAACTTCTCCTTGAAACACCATGATTTTCCTGTATACATTTGGACTGTAAAATGCATGACAGTTTAGGTCCTCTATTTTCTTTTTTTCCTTTCAATCGTAAATGCCATTTGATTTGAATCTTTAAATTTTGTAGTAATCAGTGTTTGTTTTTGGCAGTTGGAACTTGGAACTAGTGGTAGTATTACTTTGACGAAAGAGGCCAACACAAATTTGGCCCAGAAATATGAATTAATAACTCAGTCCCACATCGGTTATTATCAAAGATGTAAGCTAATATATAAAGATGTGAGTCACATAATTAGATTGTCAATTGGTCGGAGACAGGAGCTCATGATTCAATTCGTGGAGTTGCGTCTTGATAAAAATTTAACATTGATCTAGGCACTATTCCATTTAATAGACATCGGCCAACCTACTCTCACCAATTGACTTTTTGTATATAAATTTATTTTCCTTGCCGTTTTAGATTGGAAACATGTCTAAATTTCAACATTTTATACAACATATCAGCCAGCTTCTCACCAAAGATATAGCAAGCAGAAACGCTAATACGAACATAACATAACAGGAACACAAGACGTGAGCTCAATATACTGTGAATGAGTGTACTTTTAAAAAAGGTTTAGATGGACTAAGTACATATTTCCAAAAGTAAAGTCATCAACTATGTATATAGGAGAAATTTCAAAACTACACCTTTTGGGGTGCCAATTTTCAAAAATACATCTTTATAGTGTCTATTTTTAAAACTACACTTTTTTCATTGATTAAAAAAACTCTAAACTCTAAAATATAAATCCAAAACCCTAAAATCTAATATTTGAACCCTTAAATCTAAACTCTAAACCCCAAAATCTAAACTAAAGTGTATAGATCTAGGTTTACGTTCGATTCGCACCTCACAGACACTCGTTTGTTCGCTCACTCGTTTGTAAGAAACACAAAACAAAGAAAAACAGAACAAAGAGACGAGACACGATTGTTTACCCAATTCGGTCTATCGGTGTGATAGTAAAACCTACTCTGGGGCCGGACTCGGTCCTAGCGCTTTATAGATCAGAGATGAATCACTCTCAAAGGAGCTTACAAGAGAAACACTCAAAGACAAAGCTTTCTCTCTGTTTTTACAACGGCTTGTAATGAATGAAGCTGAGACAGAGTATATATAGGCATACTCAGGTAGATACTCTGTCGCGATCAGAGTCTCTCATCCTTCCCTTCAATCGCCAAAACGCTGCACTTCAATTAGCCTCAAACCGGAATGCACACAGACGATAACCGGCTCTTTTTCTTTACGTGTGTGTGACACAACAAAACTTGTGTGTAACGCAGAAATAAGAATCAGAACCCAACTTCTGTAACAAATCTCCACCTTGATTCTAATTTCATCTCATCTCATCTCTATAAAACGCACTGCTTAGGACCTTACCTCCGGCTAAGTGATAACACACTTCATCCACGTTGAATCAGCCTCAGAGCATCTAAGGCAGACTCAAACGTTGACACACGAACACTCTTGGTCAGAATATCCGCAGGGTTGACTGAGGTGTGAACCTTTGAAACTTCAACCTCACCCTCCTCAATAACTTCTCTGATAAAATGGTATTTGTATGAAATATGCTTTGTCCTTTCATGGAATACATTGTTCTTGGATAAGCATATTGCAGACTGAGAATCACACCAAACCATAGCTCTTTCTTCACCAAAACCCATATTTTTGAGCAGACCCTTGATCCAAATCGCTTCCTTTACAGCCTCTGTCAATGCAATGTATTCTGCTTCAATAGTAGAGAGAGTCACAACTGGTTGTAAATTTGATCTCCAGCTAATAGTGTTCCCTCCAACAGTGAATACATAGCCACTTGTAGACTTCCTTTTGTCCCTATCACCAGCGAAATCTGAATCACAGTAACCTTGAATATTGAAGTTCTTGTTCTTGGTAAAGACTACCTCCAAATCTGACGATCCTTTGATGTACCTCAACAACCATTTCACAGCTTCCCAATGCATCATCCCTGGCTTACTCATAAACATGCTGACTAACCCAATAGCATAAGCTATATCCGGCCTTGTCCCAATCATAGCATACATAATGCTTCCAACAACACTTGAGTAAGGATACTTCTCTGTATCAATGCATTCTGAATCTTCTGTAACTAACACTTTGAGGTACGAGGTTTTCACTGGTATATCGAATGCATTTCACGCATACTGAATACTTCTGTAACTGCAGGCTCAGCCTTGGGAAATATTGGATGTGGAACATGTATTGTGCAGCCTAATTGCTGATTATATTTCCGCGATCCCTTTTATTTTCTTCTGGTGCCTTATCTCGTAATGAGCAGTGTCCGTAATACGTTAGAACAAATTTTGCCTCTTTCATTCTGAACTTTTGAACCATAACTCGACTGAGACAAATACAACACACCCGCTTCTCTGTCTCTCCTGATATCAATACCCAAAATTCTGCTTGCTGGACCCATATCCTTCATCTCAAACTCAGAACTCAATGCACTCTTGAGCTTAACAATCTCTGCTATATCCTTTGCAGCCATCAATATATCATCAACGTAAAGTAGAAGATACATGTAACCACTTTCAACCTTCTTCACATAAACACAAGAGTCTTGATGGCTTCTGACAAACTTCTCACCTATAATGAACTGATTGAACTTCTTGTTCCACAATCTAGGTGATTGTTTCAGACCATACAAAGATTTCTTGAGCAAACAAACCTGATCTTTATCTTTATCAACCTCAAAACCTTCAGGCTGCTCCATGTATAGCTCTTGATCTAAATCTCCATGAAGGAATGCAGTTTTTACATCCATTTGTTCAAGCTCCAAATCTTGATTTACCACTGCAGACATCAGAATCCTTATAGAGACATGTTTTACAACAGGAGCAAAGACTTCATCGTAGTCAATCCCTTCTCTCTGTGTAAAACCTCTTGCCACCAAACGAGATTTCAATCTCTTTAACTCCACTCCCGGAATCCCAGTTTTCTTTCTGTACAGCCACCTGCAACCAATGACTTTCTTGTCTTTAGGTCGATCAACAATATCCAAATCCTGTTCTTTGCCAGTGAAGTCATCTCATCACCCATTGAATCATTCCACTCTTCCCATTCTGGTGAATTCATGGCTTCGTGATAACACTGTGGTTCCTCAATATCGAGATCTTCAGCAACAAGTAACGCAAATGCTACCATGTTGTAATCATTGAACCTGGCTGGAGGTGCAGTAGTTCTCATCTTTCTGTCTTTTGCTAGTTGATAACCAGCTAGATCAACCACGTCTTCATCATACTGCTCCTCCTCTTCTTCTTCAGTCTCGTTTGAACCGTTTTCAGTAGCTCCACCTGGAACAAGATTCTCTGTAACTTGTTGTCGACCTTGTTGTTCTTCTGAACTTGTCTCTGCCACAATCTCAATTTCCCTTGTCTCACTTGACTGACCAGTTTCCAGATTTCCCTCTGTAACCTTCTCTGTTTCATTACCCAGATCTTTAAACACTTGTTCTTCATGAAATATCACATTTCTGCTTATCACACACTTCTCTTCTTCCAACAACCAGACCTTGTACCCTTTTGTACCCTGTGGTTAACCCAAGAAAATGCCTTTCAATGCTCTTGGCTTCAGTTTCCCTTGATCGTGATGTACATAAGCAACTGAGCCAAATCTCCTCAAGTGTTTGTAACCAGGCTTTCTGTTAAGCCATAACTCTTCTGGAACATTGTGATCAATGGCTGAGCAAGGTGATCGATTGATCAAATATGCTGCTGTTGATGCTGCCTCAGCCCAGAACTCTTCACCAAATCCTGATTCACTCAACATACACCTGACTTTCTCCATAATGGTTCGATTCATCCTCTATGCAACACCATTTTGTTGAGGTGTGTAAGTGCATGTTCGATGTCTCTCAATGCCATGAGCTTTGCAATGATTATCGAACCTTGTGTTGCAGAACTCCAACCCATTATCTGTTCTTAAAACCTTCACCTTCTTGTTCACTTGATTCTGAACCAAAGTCATCCACTCACAAAACTTCATGAATGTTTCATCTTTTGTGTTTGAGAACATCTGCCACACCTTCCTTGTTTTGTCATCCACAATAGATAGAAAATATTGCTTCCCTGACAAAGATGGTGTGACATTTGGAGAACCCCACAAATCAGCATGTATGTAACCAAGAGCATCCACAGTAGTGTGCTTTCCCACATTGAAACTCAGCTTCTTTGCTTTACCCATGACACAATGCTCACAAAACTGAAGATCTTTCACTTCTTTTCTGTCAATCAAACCTTTTCCAGACAAGATTCTCAGACTGTTGATACCCATGTGTCCAAGTCTGCTATGCCACAAGGCTGTTTTATCAAACTTCTTCTCAACATTACAGCTTTCAGATAAAACAGTCTCTCCATCAAGAAAATACAGCCCATTAATCAAATTTCCTCTCAGAGCTGTTTTGTTATTCTTGAAATATCTCACTTTACCATCTCCACCTTCATGCTTAAAACCAAACTTATCCAACGTTCCTGTGGAGATGAGATTTCTTCTCAGTTGTGGCACATATCGAACATTGTGTAACACATTGATTGAGCCTCCATGTGTGTTGAGTCTTATCGACCCCTGTCCGTGAGACATAATCGAGTGATTGTCTCCCAACAAGATGGTCGTGCCTCCATTGTCTTTAAAGTCAATGAACCAATCTTTCCTTGCAGTCATATGAAACGTGCAACCAGAATCCAACACCCACACATCTTCAGGTCTCTGCTCATCAACATTCAATGCCTCGGAGTAAACAAGCTTCTCTGTGACAACACCAGCCTCTCCTGGTCCATCATCACCATACTTCTTCTTTCTTGCATAGCAATCCTTCTTTACATGACCTTCTTTCTTGCAAAACCAGCAAGTAACTCTTGATTTTGAGTTTGATCTACTCCTTCCCCTTCCATTTGAATCCTTGGAACCCTTAGAGTAAGATCTTCCTCTTTCTTTTGTGTAAAGACTCGTTGCAGGTCCTTTATTCTCCTTAGAGGTTTCTGCCAACTCTCTTTCCCTGGACCTCACAGCAGATACAACTTCCTTGAGAGTCAGAGTCTCTCTTCCATACTTGAGTGTATGAGCTAGTTGATCATAGCTTGGTGACAGAGATGTGAGAAACAAGATAGCCTGAACTTCATCCGTGACTTTAACATCAAGGCTATTCATCTCTGCAACAATCTTGAGGAAATCATCGACATTCTGATCAACACTTCTAGCATCATTCATCTTAAAAGTGTAAAACTTTAGCTGCAGATGTATACGGTTCGGCAAGGTGCTTTCCGTGTACAGCTCATCAAGCAAAGACCACATCTCAGTAGCAGTAACGCAATGCTCGATTTTCCTCAACACATGATCACCAACGCTGTTGATAATCATACCAAGTGCTTTCTCTAACTTCTCAAACTTTGCAGGATCAGGAACAAACTCTGTTAGTGGCTCAGTAGTTGGTTGAGCCTGTCCTGCAACCGGTACTCTAACGATTGGTACCTCCTTCTCCAACTTGAAGTCGGTTATGATATCCTTAAGACCAAGGATACGAAAATGAGCCATCATCCTTGTCTTCCACAGACCAAAGTCTCCTGTACCATCGAATCTATCAACATCAACCTTTGTGCTTGACATCAGATCCTTCGCCATCTCACACAAAGGCTGAAAGGTGACACCTTTAACCGAGAAACACCAAGAACTCCACCAAAGCTTGCACCTTTACGAGAAAGGAAGCTCCTTTATAGTGAAACTCTTCAAAGCTCGAAGCTTTCTTCATATCTACACCAAAGCTCGAACCTTTACCACCAACAGCGGCTAAAGGTTGAAGCTTTCACCGTTCCTTCGACAAAGCTTGGACCTTTATCACTAACGCCGACTAAAGGTCGAAACTTTCTTCAAGGAACCTGGCTCTGATACCACTTGAAGTGTATAGATCTAGGTTTACGTTCGATTCGCACCTCACAGACACTCGTTTGTTCGCTCACTCGTTTGTAAGAAACACAAAACAAAGAAAAACAGAACAAAGAGATGAGACACGATTGTTTACCCAGTTCGGCCTATCGGTGTGATAGTAAAACCTACTCTGGGGCCGGACTCGGTCCTAGCGCTTTATAGATCAGAGATGAATCACTCTCAAAGGAGCTTACAAGAGAAACACTCAAAGACAAAGCTTTCTCTCTGTTTTTACAACGGCTTGTAATGAATGAAGCTGAGACAGAGTATATATAGGCATACTCAGGTAGACACTCTGTCGCGATCAGAGTCTCTCATCCTTCCCTTCAATCGCCAAAACGCTGCACTTCAATTAGCCTCAAACCGGAATGCACACAGATGATGTACTCAACATTCGCATGCATTTAGCCTCTCATACTGCATAGTTCTGTGTATAATTGAGTCTCATTTCATAACATTTAGTGTAGCTTTAGTCTACTTAGGATCATTTAGCCTTTAGGATAGCATTTTGCATTTCCATTGCATTTGGGGTGCATTTATCAGGTATTCGGAGCTTATGGCGAAGGAGGACCGGAGGTGATGATCGGAGATGGACCAGAAGGAGATCGGAGTAATCGGATGGCAAAACAAGCAAGACGGAACAGAGCCTTGAGCAAAAGGAAACAGAGTGCTTGAGGAAGTTGCTCAAGCTGCGCGCATCTGTGAAGTCAAAGCAAAAATGTTGACCAAAGGATACACTTTTCCCTTCTCTATATAAACCTTTAAGACCTAATTTTTAGGCAATCTTTATCTTGTAACCAGTTTCTCTCCAAGAAAAACAGTTTGTTCTTGGAGATCTTTTGTAAGCTTTTACTTTGAATCTTTTAAGTTTAAGAAGTACTTAGTTTGCTAATCTTGTCTTAATGATGATTTCTAGCTTTCTTTACCTCTTTGCTTTCGGTTCGAGTATGAGTAGCGAGTAGTTCTTTAGAGGTTTCGAGGGTGAGATTAGGAAAGGTCAGAGCTTTAGCTTCCTGTTAACCTCTTCCTTAATCTCCCTTGACCAGCTTTTCTTTAGCTAGAGCTTTATATCTCGGCTTCTTCTTGATCACTTGAAGTCGCGAATCTAGGCTAGTACACCTAGAAGGTGTTTGCGTTAATGCCTAAGAGAGCTAGCGATAGAGAGAAACATTCCCAACCTAAGAGATTGGTTGTTGGGATGTATCTTGTGCACTTTTAGACTAGATCTTGTGAAAGCTTGTAACTTTGAGTCCACTAGCGAGAGCTAGCTTTGGATTCTCAGCTTGCAAAGCGATCTGACCACGAGAGTGGCGGATTTACCCAAAGTCTAAGCACAAAGCTTGAGTCTTGGTGTGTTGAGAAAGGAAGGTTGAGCTCGTTTGATCCCAACTAAATCTCACCCAAGACGCCTCCTTTATCTTATATTGTTAAAGTTTAAATCTTTCTTTCATCTTGTTAGCTTAAAGCATAGATCTTTACAAAACAAAACCCAATCTTTTATCAAAACTTGATCTTTGCCTTTTCTTTATTTCGATAGTTTGAATCTCCATTTGGATTGACATCTCAAGTACTACAATGACATGAGTGGTATGGATTGAGAGTAGTTGATACAAAAATCCTACTTATGAACAGACGATAGCCGGCTCTTCTTCTTTACGTGTGTGTGACACAACAAAACTTGTGTGTAACGCATAAATAAGAATCAGAACCCAACTTCTGTAACATAAACCCTAATCTATGATTAGTGAACCCAAACATATATATTAAAATTGAGAAAATGTGTATTTTTGAAAATTTCCACACTATAGGTGTAGTTTTGAAAATTTGCACCTCAAGAGGTGTATTTCATAAAATTTCTCATGTATATTCTTAAGAGCCATTTCCTTATACGATCCCTAATAATGATGAAGATCTCCACACAAAATAATATTAAAATCAAATGAGAACACTTTCCATTAAACGGTTTAATTCATGATTTTGATTTCTAAAGTGAGAGAACTGAGAATATTGTTCTCCCATCAAAGCCACATCTATCTATCGTATTTTGTAGTGTTCTTTTCGAGTTGATGCTTAATCATACTTTAAATCTCTGCGTCTTTCTTCTCTTTAAAACCCTAGCCAAAAACATTTTAAGAAAATTCTGCCCAACATGGCGGCTTTGTCAATGGAGAAACCGGTGGACTTGAAGAGAAAGAAGTGGCAGTTGAATCTACTGAATACCAAGAGACAGGTATTACACCGATGCTTAACAGTTTTTAACAGAGTTATGGGTTTCCATATGACACAAGAACGGAGCGTAAAAAGCCCTAGATGTAGCGAAACCACGCTTGCTGCTGAGATACCGTATGATATACTAGAAGAGATTCTTCACCGCCTTCCCGTGAAATGTTTGCTAAGAGTGAAATCAGTATCGAAAGAATGGAGATCGTTGATAGAATCTAGCCATATAGCAGAGAAACATAACCGTCTCAGTCACAAAAAGTATGGAGCCGAAAATACGAAAATCACCGTTGAGTAGTCCAAACCGACAGCAACCTTCCATTTCAAGACCACGTGTTTCCCCAAAAGCAGTGGAGTAGGAGTAAATAGAGGAACAGGAGAACCTCTTCGAGTTCCTGGATCTTGTAATGGTTTGGTCTGCGTCTACGACTTTGTCTACGTTTATGTATATAACCCTAAAACAAACGTGATCCGGACACTTGCTCCTCCTCGAGGTACCAAACGTGCAATCATTCCTTCTGGTGGTATACGTGCTCAACTCTCAGCTGGATTCGGGAGAGATGTTGTGACAGGAAGATACAAAGTGGTGGTTTTGTACGGCTCCGGTAACAATGATAATAGAGTGAAGACAAAAGTTTTCGATCTTAGCACAAGCAAGTGGGGGCGGAGATGCAAAACCGCTGGCCCTGTGCCTCTTTCTTTCACTCTAGTTAACCATGAGAGAGTCCCAGTCTTTGTAAACGGCTCACTCTTCTGGTATTTGGCACGTCACAACTCGGAGATATTAGTCATGGATCTTCACACTGAAGATTTTCGTACTGTGTCGCTACCAAAGGACATTGATGTGTCCGCGGAGTACATATACATGTGGAGTCACAAGGACCGTCTATATGTCTCTCATTTGACGCAGCTTTTGGATTCGGACGTGTGGGTTCTTGTGGAGGACAAGGTTAGTGAGAGGTGGGACAAAACTAGTTTTGCTACTGTCGATGGTTCCTTTCCTCCGTTAAAGTTGAATTCCGCTTGGTTTTCGCCGTCCTTGGTTTCTCCTTACCAGTAGTCTTTGTCCGCTTCTGCACAATGCATGTGAGTCACTTCCCGTGAGTTCTCTCTATTGTTTTATAGACTGTTTCTCAATATTTTAATGTGTTTCAAGATTTGTGTTCAGCTATGTATTTTTGTCTTTTTCTCATTTGTTTACAATTAAAGATATCAAGGACCGGAACGAAATGTTTTCTTGTTCTATTTGTTTTGCTTGCTTGTCAAACTAACCAATTTTTGTTTAATTTGGGTTATAAAATTAAGGTTTTTTGGGGTTTGTTGTAGTTTGAGATTAACTAGGGGATTACCCACACCTAATGCGTGGGGTTGAGTTAACTTTAAAAATTTCATATTTATAAAAATTATTATTGAATGGATATGTCATTTTCTATATTATTTTTTAGATTACTGTCTATTTTGTTTCTTTATTAATTCATATAAATATTTTAATATAATAATAAACAATCGTCTCGATTATTAACATTGTAAGTTTTTTTTGAATAATGGATAAATATTTGGTTATTTATTTATGTGAATTTTAAATGTAAATTTTTTTCTATTTTCAAAATACGTAATGTGATTGATTATAATTTAACTAATCTAAAAGACCTTTATAAATATTGCTGATAAAATTTAGTCAACCATTTTTTTCTACTATCTCATAGATTTCTTCAATGTCGCTTATGATTTTAGAAACTCCATCACCTGTCATATAAATTGCAAAAAAATGAAGTCATGATCAAAAATCATAAATTTAACTAAATATTCAAGTTTCAGTATCAATGGCTATAACCAAGATTCAGAACAAAAGTAGAGAAGGAAAGGTTTTAAACAATAAAAAAAGATTCAAGTAGAAATGTTAAAAAAGCTTAACTCAATACCTTTGCCCTACCTTAGTGGAAACTGGATTGGATTACATTTTCTTTTGGTTTTAATTACATTTTTCTTTTGGTTTTAATTTAGACTTATCGGTCACAATTTGTATCCAAAAAAATACAATTCCAAATCAGAAACATGAATTATTGGATTTTCAATCAGTTAATGGACGGTTACAAATTTTCAAAAAAAAAACTAATTTGGAAACAAAGCTAATCTTCGCCCCGAACCAGAACCGGAAAGTCAAAGTTTGTCCCTGAAAAACTCGGATCTCAAGATGCTTCTTTTTAAAATGCTATTCCCCAAAATTCCCGTGTAAAATCTGACTGCATAAGTGTGAGTGTTATCCACTCTACTCTGGTAACAACTTACAACAATATACTAAGCTCAAACATATGCTCTCCCTTCTCTCTTCGGCGTCTTCGCAGCACCTTCTTTCACCTCTTTAATGAATGAAGGATCTTTTTTTTCTCTATTAGTATAGTTGAAAAGAGTGTTTTTACTTGTGGCAGTTTTTACTCTTTTTTTCTATTAATATCTGTTTTAGTTTCTTAGTATTCTTATTAATTTTGTTTTAACATATAATAAGAAGCGATTGAAAACAGAAACAAAATAAATTATTAAGTTTTTCAAATATACTTTCTCAAGTCTTCATGGATCCAATTCCTCCTTTATTATCCCCTCAACAGTCTTACAATAAACGCCTTGATAACATTTTCTTTATAACACACTTATCAGGCTAATATTCTGCTTTAGAATAATCTCATAATTTTGGTCTCATATGTAGTACGGATGTAACAGTTGATCCAGAATAATACATGTCATCTTAACCGTATCTTAATACTTTTATAGAAAAGCAATGAATGAAAGAAAGCAACAACTAAATATGCTATACTTTGCACCATCATTTCTACGTACACAGAATGATACACTAATGCAAAATCCGGTATAAAAGATCGCTGAACTTTGAAAGTCAGAACCTTCGAGACCATGAAGAAGGGTTTGGAACTTTGAAGCTAGATAGACACACAAAAGGATTACTTGTGCCAGACGGCATAACGATGACCATCGACACTCTAGAAGAGCGGTACCAAGAAGCGTCTCCGAGCTTTGTCCACAGTTTCTCGTCAACAATGGCTACGTTTAGGTTAGAATATGACGTTAACCGGACACTGTGTTGACCGGAGAGATTGACGTGAAGAAAATACCAGTTTCACAATCTGGTCATGAGTCGAGCTCTCCCAATCGTAGAAGTGATTGTAAAACACCCACGGAATAGATTATATCTGGTTAATTTCAAGAGCTTCTTTATCTCCATAACCTGGTGTGAAGGGAACGGCCAAATATAATATAAAAGCTCTGCAATTAACTTGAACTAATACACAATTATAAATTAGATTTAAAACCATAGCAGCTTAAATAATCATATACAGCAAATAAAAGTTAAAAAAAATAATAATTAACGCAGAAAATTGAAGAACATTATGGATGAAAAATACAACAAATGGTCGACTTTAACAAACTTTTAAAGTTTGTTATTCAGAGAAGGGTCAAGAAATACCATCAAAGACTCCAAAGAGACCAGCGATTTCTCCATCGATACGGTTGATCCTTGTTTAAAGGAAGAGTCTTCCATAGATGATCTCTCCCCAGCTGAGCTTGCATATCCCTAGCTGAATTTTCCATTCTGGCTGCAAGTTAAATCATGGACATTGTGACCGATAACTTAGTTCATGTTAATCAAGAGATGAATCAAGACTACGAAAAAGAAATGATGGATATAGTTCTACATGGAACTTCTCAAGATAATAATAAATCCAAGCAAGATATAGAGGATATTAATAAATCAAACATAAAAGATAACAGTCAAAATCAGGAAAAATAAATCCAAGCAAGATGAAAACAAATAGACTTGAAATTGATCAATCCGAAGCCGTAATTCTAGAAGCAGCAACCAAACAATACCGTAAGACCGGAAATATTCAATTTAAGTGACCTGAGACCGCCTCCGCTTGCTGGAGCTTCAACAATCTGCATCTGATTCGAATACGACAACGTCAAGAAACACAGAGACCGCTATTTCATTCAAATAGCGTAAGAAACCAAATAAAATTAACAGAAAACCGCAATTTTGGCATTTCCGCCAGTGAAGAACGACGAAAAGATAGCGTATGTAGTCATTTATATAGAGGTTTATGAATGGTGGCATATCATGTAGGTCAAATCTTTGTGAATATTGGGTGAGTAACCAATCACACAATTGGAAATTCCTTTGATATTCAGAATAATCATACACCCACTAAAGGTTACATGTTAATCAAATGAGGTATATACATTTAACACAGATCTTTTCCTGTGTCAAAAGTTACGTTAATATCGGAAAATCTTAATTGCAAATGTAAGTTTGGAAAGTATCAAATCTTGGGGACGAAGCTATTGTCCAAGTTCAGAATATTTAATTTCACCGCTGACATTTTTAGAAAATTGATAATTTAATTTTACATATATAGATCCGCGTGTTATGAAACGGGTTGGTTTTAAAAAAACGGGTTGGAAAGGATCCGCGTCCTTTTTAGTGTTTGGTGACAGGTTTGACATAATAAAATAAATGAAAAACAAAAATACCAAAAAAAAAAAGAGCTGGCCGCATCAGCAAGCAAAAATGCATGGTTTTAATATATTGTAGAATTGTTATATCATGTCATAATTAACAAGTATAAAGTTTGTAAATGCCTAAATGGATCTTCTTCGTATTTAAAAGTTCAAACTACTCTTCATTTGTTATTAGTATCCGAATCTTATTTGGAGCCAAATTGTAGTTTACTTGCCAACTAAGCTTTACAAGGAGAAAGCGGAGACCCGCAGAGACAATCGTTGCCGGCGAACGCACTAGCCGGGAACTTTGTCGCCGGAAGCTTTCCGCAAAGATGGTTCTGACTCACATTCAATGTCTGCAGTCCAGCGACCGTCGCTGGCACCTTCCCAAACACCAAATTCCTTGACAGATCAAGAGTTTTCAGCGTCTTCGCGAACTTCAGCTTCCCCATATCAAATCGGAGTTTGTTCCCGGCCGCCTTGAACTCCACCAGAAACTCCGTCTGGTTCAAAAACCTTGCCGGACTCCCTGAGATCTCGTTCTCCGACAGATCGATGAAATCGTAGTAGTAAGTTTGCGCCGGCTTCCAATTGTCTAAGCTCATCTTGATCCCGCATTTCGCCAGCTTCAACGAGAAGATGATCGGCGACGACGTCACCCAAGTCGGAATCGTTTTCAGGTGAAACTGATTGTACGATAGATCCAGAGATTCGATTCCTTTCACGAAAAGTACGGGAAACGGATCCGTTAGGAGATTGTGTGAGAGATCGAGATTGAAAATTTTGGTGAGATTCGCGAAACTTTTCGGCACGACGCCGGAGAATCGATTCCGGGAGAGATCCAATGTGTCGAGCGCTTTGAATCTCGATAAATAGCTTGGGATCGTGCCGGAGAGATTGTTGTTGCCCAATTCCAGGAACCTGAGAATCGGTGCGAGGGATGCAATCGACGGAGGAATATTCCCGGAGAATCGGTTACGGGAGAGAGTGAGAGATCGGAGCTCCGTCATGGATTTGAAAATATCCGGGATGGTTCCGGAGAGACGGTTACCGCCGAGATTCAGATACGACATGAGCTTGAGATTTGCAATTCCTAAATGGATAGTTCCGGTTAAGAAATTACCGCCGAGTTTGAGCTGAGATAACCGAGTCAAATTGGAAATTGAACTCGGGATTGGACCGGTGAACCGGTTTCCTTCGAGACTAAACGCTTCTAATTGGCTTAGCGAACCAATGTTAACCGGAAGAGGACCGGAGAGACGGTTGTTCTCGATGTAAACGTATTTTAGCTGTGGTAACTGGAAAAGGAACTGAGGGAAAGATCCGGTGATGTTTTTGAGATTGGTGAAGTAAATCCCATCGAGGTGTTGGAGCTTGGATAGCGACGGCGAGAGAGTGCCGGTGAGGAAGCTTCCGGCGTTATCGGACTGTCCGGCGACAGTGAGTGCTGTGACGCGGTCGCCGGTGAGGCAAGTGATACCGTTCCAGGAGCAGCAAGCAGTACCTTTCTTCCATGTGCTGAGAATACCGGACGGATCTCGGGTTATACCCGCTTTGAAAGCTAGAAGACCCGCCTCGTCGTCTGGATGACAAGTGGCTGCTCCGGTGGGGTTTATACACAGGAGGAAAATAACGACGGTGAATATGAAAAGAGAGTTCATGGTGGTGTTTGTGTGTGGTTGAGACTCAGAGAGTCAGAGAGCAAGTCGAAGGTATTAATAGAAAGAAACTCGAGAAGGTGCAAAGTCAAAGTTGACGATACTCGAGAAGGTACAAAGTCAAAGTTGACGATTTTGACCAAATCCCATGAATTTGCAATTTTGCATCATTGCATGTGGCTACAAGTTGTGGTATCCGTAATCGTGATCGAATTTATCATTCACCCCCGACAAGCTTGACAAGACAGTTTCATCGGATTTTTTTTGTTTTTTTTTTCATTTTTAGGCTTTACACGTCTTATATTTTGGATGAAAGACAAAAACATATAGCTTTTCTAATATATATTTTTGTTATGTTTTAAAGCTCACAAGTCAAAATATTTTTTCACAACTACATTATAGGTTACGAAGCTAGTTTACTAGTAGGTTTGCTTAAGCTGTCAATTTCAGTTAAAACAAAAATACTTTGACTATTACAGTATTATATTTTTTTTTTGAGAAAGTTTTATACAGTATTATATTAAAAATTTCTTACTTACCAAGTAATTTATTTTGCTTAAGCTGTCAATTGGTGGGAGATAGGAGTTCATGATTCAATTCGTGGAGTTGGGTCGTGCATTGTAAAAACTTTAGCATTAATCAAGGCACTATCCTAATGGATAGACATGAGCCAACCTACTCTTACCAATTGACTTTTTGAATTAAATTTTTATATGTTTTGTTCGGACCGTTTTAGATTAGAAACATGTCTAAAATTTTAAAACTATCTCAAATATCACATTTTTAATGTCAAGTTTATATCATCATTGTCACTGGACGAAGTATCTACCAAAGTGGCAAAGTGAACTCGCTCCACACAAAGAGTGTCATTACTACAATTAACCATTAAACACAAAGAATAACAACAAACAATACCTAAGTGGAGTTTGGAGAGAAGCAAGTAAAAGGCCTACAAACTTGACTCGATCGTCTCAGAATTACAGAAGTGGTTGCTTTTGGTAACACAAAAAGTGGCCCAGCAACCATACTTGGTTTAAAGATTTAACGTTTTGACAATTCTTGCCTCAGAACAGAGCTGAGAACTCAATTCTGATCCACCTGACCACCTCTTATACCAGCCTCAACACTTGAAGTTAGTTTCTTATGCTGAAAAACAGCGGCTTGTGCAGCCTGTACGGCTCGTTGAGAAAGACTCTCTGAAGACTAGAGAGCCACAAGTTCCAAAAACCAAAATATATAAAGGTGTAACTCTCTTATTTTGATTGTCAATTGGTCGGAGATAGGAGTTCATGATTCAATTCGTGGAGTGGAGTTGTGTCGATTAAAACTTAACATTGATCTAGGCACTATTGCATTGGATAGACTTTACTCTTGCCAATTGACTTTTTTGTATTGTTTTTTTTTTCAATACAAATTTCTTTCCCTTACGGTCTTACCGTTTTAGATTGGAAACATGTCCAAATTTCTACGTTTTATAAAATATATCGGCCAGCTTGATCTATAATTAGACTTTCAAATTTATGAAATGAGCGTAATATAGTAAAATAAATTGTATCTACCATAAAAGGTTTAGATGGACAAAGTACATGTTTCCAAAAGTAAAGTCATAAACTACGTATATTACTAATTAAGAGCCGTTTCCTTAGGACGATGCCCTAATAATGATGAAGATCTCCACACAAAATAATATAAAAAGCAAATGAGAAAACTTTCCATTAAACGGGTTAACTTCATGATTTTGATTTCAACAAGTGAGAACTGAGAATATCGATTGTTCTCCCATCAAAGCCACATCTCTCTATCGTATCTTTCTAGTGTTCTTCTCGAGTTAATGCTTGTGAACTCAAACCATACTTTAAATTTGTGCTTCTTCTTCTCTCTAAAACCACCCTTACCAAAAACTTTTTAAGAAAATTCTGCCCAACATGGCGGCTTTGTCAATGGTGAAACCGGTGGATTTGAAGAGAAAGAAGTGGCAGTTGAATCTACTGAATACCAAGGGAGAGTTAGTACACCTATGCTTAGCAGTTTTTAACAGAGTTTTGAGTTTCCGTGTGAAACAAGAAAGGAACGTAAAAAGCCCTAGATGTAACGAAACCACGTTTGCTGTTGAGATACCATATGATATACTAGAAGAGATTCTTTATTTCTTTATTATTAATACACGAATTGGAGCTCAATTGTAGTTTACTTGCTAACTAAACTTTACAAGGAGAAAGCGGAGACCCGCAGAGACAATCGTTGCCGGCGAACGCACTAGCCGGGAATTTTGTCGCGGGAAGCTTTCCGCAGAGATGGTTCTGACTCACATTCAACGACTGCAGTCCAGCCACCGTCGCCGGCACCTTCCCAAACACCAAATTCCTTGACAGATCAAGAGTTTTCAGCGTCTTCGCGAACTTCAACTTCCCCATATCAAATCGGAGTTTGTTCCCCGCCGCCTTGAACTCCACCAGAAACTCCGTCTGGTTCAAAAACCTTGCCGGACTCCCTGAGATCTCGTTCTCCGACAGATCGATGAAATCGTAGTAGTAAGTTTGCGCCGGCTTCCAATTGTCTAAGCTCATCTTGATCCCGCATTTCGCCAGCTTCAACGAGAAGATGATCGGCGACGACGTCACCCAAGTCGGAATCGTTTTCAGGTGAAATTGATTGTACGACAGATCCAGAGATTCGATTCCTTTCACGAACAATACAGGGAACGGATCCGTTAGGAGATTGTGTGAGAGATCGAGATTGAAAATTTTGGTGAGATTCGCCAAACTCTTGGGCACGACTCCGGAGAATCGATTCCGGGAGAGATCCAATGTGTCGAGCGCTTTGAATCTCGATAAAAAGCTTGGGATCGTGCCGGAGAGATTGTTGTTGCCTAATTCGAGGAACCTGAGAATCGGTGCGAGCGATGCAATCGACGGAGGAATATTCCCGGAGAATCGGTTATTGGAGAGAGTGAGAAATCGGAGCTCCGTAATGGGTTTGAATATATCCGGGATGGTTCCGGAGAGACGGTTACCGCCGAGACTCAGAACCGACATGAGCTTGAGATTAGCAATTCCTAAAGGGATAGTTCCGGTTAAGAGATTACCGCCGAGTCTGAGCTGAGTTAACTGAGTCAAATTGGAAACTGAACTCGGGATTGGACCGGTGAACCGGTTTCCTTCGAAGCTTAACGCGTAAAATTGGCTTAGCGAACCGATGTTAACCGGAAGGGGACCGGAGAGACGGCTATTCTCGATGTAAACGATTGTTAGCTGCGGTAATTGGAAAAGGAATTGAGGAAAAGGTCCGGTGATGTTTTTGAGATCAGTGAAGTGAATCGAGCTGAGGTTTTGGAGTTTAGATAGCGACGGCGAGAGAGTGCCGGTGAGGAAGCTTCCGGCAACATCGGACTGTCCGTAAACAGTGAGTGTGATGACGCGGTCGCCGTTGAAGCAATTGATACCGTTCCAAGAGCAGCAAGCAGTACCTTTCTTCCATGTGCTGAGAATACCCGACGGGTCTCGGGTTATACCCGCTTTGAAAGCTAGAAGACCTGCCTCGTCGTCTGGATGACACGTGGCTGCTCCGGTTGTGTTTATACACAGGAGGGAAATAACGACGGTGCATATGAAAAGAGAGTTCATGGTGGTGTTTGTGTGTGTGTGTGTGTGAGACTGAGAGAGAGCAATTCGATCGAAGGTATTAATAGAAACTCGAGAGGGTGCAAAGTCAAAGTTGACGATTTTGACCAAATCCCATTTGCATTGCATGTGGCAACTAGTGCTATCACTAATCGTGATCGAATTTATCACTGGGACCCGACAAGATTGAAAACACAGTAACATCATCATCGGATATTTTTTTCTCTTTTTATTAGGGTAAAGTTTTTGATGAAAGACAAAAACACATTACATTTTTTATATTTGTTATATTTTCAGAGTGTATAATAAGTCCAAAATAAAATTAAAAAGTGTATATTTTTAGGGATTATGAAGCTAGTTATGTTTGTTTTGTTTGTTTTTTCCACTCTATTTAGTTAAGAAACGGTGAAGGCCTCTCTTCACATAGGAATAGATTTACTAACGACTAGTTACTTCTTAGCCACTTTGCTGATCACAATGTGTAGTAGCACTTTATAAACTAGGTTTGAAGCCCCGCGCAAGCGCGGGGTTGTTTACGATAGTTTTTCTGTTTAATTTTATTTATACTCGTTGATTTGAATTATGATGGTTTTGTGTTAACTTTCATGTTTTTGTTATGTTTTGAGTTAACTCAACCACTAACACTAAAAAATATGAATAATTTGTTTTTATTTTAATTTATTAGGATATTAACACTCTGCTTTATCTTCGAGTTTTCTATTTCTAAAATTTTATCATGTTATAAATATTATGTTTACTTCTATTAGACGGTAAACATGTATATGTATTTGATTGAAGGTTAAAATTTATAAATATGTATATGCATTTGACTGAAGGTTAAAATTTGTAAACATATTCTTGTTTTTCACTACAATTAAATTTACATATAAAACTCTATTTCTATTTGTTTAGAAAAACAAACTCTAACTCTAATGTTTCATTAGCTTTCTATTGTCTTAATTAATTTATATTCAACTTTTTAACTTGTAAACACATTCTAACAGTAATATAAATATACTATTTGAAGTTGAATATTTCTTTACTCCATCTCTATTTTATATTCCAACTTTTTGATAACTTTTAACATCAAATTATCACATACTTTCTATTAATTAATCAATTTATTTGTATATTTTTATTAAATATGAATAAATGTAAAGAAATATGAATAGTCATATATTTATTAAATATTTTAAATAATTTAATGTTTTTGTGCTGATGTGGACACTCTAATGGAGAGAGCAACTCCCTAATTATATATAAGACTAGGGGTGACCCGCGCTTCGCGCGGGAATTGAAATTGTTGTGTTGATTTTATTATTTTTCATAAATTTAATTTAATTCTATGATTTATTATTATTTTAAAAATGTCATACACATATTAATCAAATATAATTAGGGTTACTCAAAAATTTCCGAAAATTAAATATAATTAAGTTTACGCAAAAATTTTGAACCATCATTTCTCATTCCTCCCATTTTGTTCCTTTTATCATGTCCGTTCTTTCCCGTCCCATTCGCCATGTCCGTATCGTCACGTGCAATCCCATCATGTCTGAGACTGTTCCATCCCGTTTTGTCCAGTCTCATCCCGTTCTTTCCGTTTTTTCCGTCATGTCCCTAAATATAATTAGGGATATGCTAAATTCACTTTTTTCCGTTCCATTATGTTTCTTTTCATCCCGTCCTTTCCGTCATATCCATCCCGTCTAGTCCCATCCTGTCTCATTATGTTTTTTCCTGTCTTGTCTTGTCCCATCTTGGTCTTTTTGTTTCTTCTTGTCCCGTCTCTAAATATAATAAGAGGTAGGCAAAATTTACCTCCTATCCCGTTCTATTTCCCATCTCGTTCCTCCCTGTCCTATTTCCCTCCCCGTTCCTCCTCGTTCTGTTTTTTCCCGTCTCGTATTGCCCCATCCCTTTCTTCCCGTCTCGTTCTGCCTTGTCGGGTATAATTTTGGCCTCGTTATGTCCCGTCCTGTTTATTCCTTCTCGTTTCCGCCTTGTCCCATTTTGCACCGTCTCATTCATTCTCATCTCATTTTTCCTCATCATGTACATTTCCTTTCCGTCTCGTTCCTCCCCGTCCTATTCATTCACATACCGTTTTGCCTTGTCTCGTTCATTTCTTTCCATTCTGCCTTATCTTGTTTCTTCATGTCTTGTTCCACCATGTCCCTTTCTTTTCTATCCCATTTTGCCTCGTCAAATTCATTTTCGACTCGTCTTGTTTCTTCCCGTCTCGTTATCATACAGTTTTGCGTCATTCCGTTCATTTTATTATTATTATTATTATTGTTAAATTATTAAAATCTATTTGATAAAACTAAAATTATTAAATTAGAATTTATTTAGATCAATATATAAAAATATTTTCTTATACAAAATGACTTTTCAAATTCTATTATGATTAAGTGATAGATGTAATAAATTATTAGTCTTAAAAGAGAATTGGAAGAGCATTGTTTAAAAGAGAGTTTGCTGACGTGACGCTCCCAGAAGAGACCCCAACTGTATTTTATATATATATATAGATACTTTAGTCTTTATTAAATACTAGCTGTTAAAAAAAAGTTTGACCATTCTTTTAGCTGGCTTTATACAATCTTCTTACGAAACTTATTGAAGTTCATCTTCAGTTAGCCATGTTTTGGACTTTTGGGTGAGATGCGCACTCATATGATCTCACTATGTTCCTCTGCAACTGCTCACAATTAAACACAAGATAACCCCGGCCACTCTATGTGCTTCTACAATATCAGCAACTATGAAATCTTGGTTTAGGGTTGGTTGTCTAGATAAACAAACCGGTTTAGTTATACAATCGTACATGATCTGTAAACACATGAATTAGCAAAGATGAACGATACAAGATCAGTTAGAATCTAATCCAAAAAAAAAATGTTTATGTTATGCCAAAACGTAAAATAACTACAGTAATTGATCGATCTCAAACCATAACGCGATTCAGAATTGATAACGTTGCCAGACTTTGAAAAAGCTTTCTTAACTACTTTGACATCAGAGGCCAAAACAAACGTGGGCCGAAAATATGATCAAAATAACTATATCCCACATCGGTTATTATCGAAAATGTAATTTAACATATCAAAGTGTAAATCACTTAATATTATTGTCAATTTGTGGGAGATAGGAGTTCATGATTCCCATTCGTGGAGTGTTAGCTAGATTCAAAACTTAACATTGATCTAGGCATTATTCCATTAAATAGACATGGTCCAACCTACTCTTACTAAATGACTTTTTGATTTATTTTTTTAATAAATGTGAAGACGAGTTTAGTATTAGAACCAAGAAAATTCACCATAACTGTTGTTTTACCTTATACTCTTAAGCTCCAACCCACTGCTTTGCCAATATTAACACCTTTTCTTTTCTTTACTATTGTATGGAAAACTATACATATAATTTTTCCCCCAATAAAATTCATTTCTGGCTCTGCCACTGGTTTATACACTAGATAACATGACACCATATTTGGCATTCCCTTCAGTGTTATAAGCATTTGAGGATAGAAGACCCTGAATCTGTAAGCTAACCGCATCGAATCTTTCCAGGATGTGAACCAAGGTTACTACAAAGGCTACTTTATGTGACCCATTTGAGGATAGAAGCCCGTGAATCTTCCACGCTTATTTGTATTTTTACTTTCTTATGGTTTTCTTGTGTGAAAATAGCATATGGGTCAAATTCTTTTGGTTATGTGGTAGAAATTCAAGAAGATTTTTTATTTAAAATAAACTCTTACAGAATTAAGAAAACAATGCGAATATATATAGTTTAATAGTTATATACACGGTACGTAGAATAAAACACATTCTTCTTCAAAACACACACAACATAAAAAATAAAAATAATCATGTAGTGAATTGATGGATGATCTCTCCTTAATTATGTTGTTTTATGGAGAAAGCAAGGTCTGTGTAAACCACGTGGAATTCAACGATAATGGAGGAATTTGGAAGGGAACAATTCTCTCCCACCTCTCGATGGGCTCGTCTTCCAGAAGAACCAATGCTTCCGAATCTGGACCTTCGCTTAGTTGAGAGACGCAGAGACGGTCATTGAGATTACTAATGTGAACATGACCTTTTAAACAACCGTCAGGGTAATGTATCTTACGGATTTTTTCGGTGTGTAGATCCATGACAAGTATCCCCTTGTCCACGCGTGTCATCGACCAAACAAGTGAGCCGTTTACAAAGAGTGCTTTCCGGTGGGGGTTAAATACAGTGAAAGAAAGCGAACATTCAGGGATGGGACCAGCGGTTTCGTACCTCCTCCTCCACTCGCTCTCCCCGAGATCGAAAACCAAGGCCTCGATACTGTTACCACAATCGAAGCTATACACAACCACCACTTTGTATGTTCCTGTCTCAACGTCTCTCCCAAATCCCATTGAAAGCCTCTTACCTTTTAAAGAAATAGGAGGATCAAGTCTCCGGGTCCTTCTTGTTGCAGGGTTAATTATGTAAACGTGGACCAAATCATACACGCAGACCAGACCATTACAAGATCCAGCAACTCTAATAGTGGTATCTTCTTCTCTCACTCGGTAACAGTAACAACTAAGAGGAGAACAAAATTTTATGTGTTTCGAGCAAGTAGTTACCTGGAAGCCTCCCGACTTTTCCTTCTCAAAGACGATGTTCTTCTCTTTATCTCCATAGTTTTTGTGACGGATGCGGAGGTGTTTCACCTGGAGGTGGCTGGAGTCGATCACTGATCTCCACCTCTTAGATACAGATTTGAATCTTACAAGAGATTTCACCGGAAGGTGCTGGAGAATCTCTTCTACAAGCTCCTCCGGTATGCCCATAGACATTGGCTGAGTAACAATAGCAAGCGTGGTTTCATTAAAACTAGGGTTTATTCCACTCTTTTCTTGTTTCTTACGGAAACTCAAAACTCGGCTAAAAGCTGCTAAACATCGGTGTAAAACCTGCATCTTGGTATGTTGGAGCTTCGACTGCCACTTCTTTCTCTTCAACTCCATCATTGACAATGGCAGCCAAAGTTACATCATAGATTGTCGTTACAGAAATATTTATGTGAAATTTCTCTTGCAAGAAACCCTAAAACACATGGGCTAATGGGCTGCTTCTATGACAATATCTTGGGCTTTCATCTATGCTCTAATACCTAAGACATCGATGCCTTGCTTGTTCACAGATTCATAGCTGATTGAAGATTTCAGACTATCTTTGCCACTACTTCTAGTCGTTTAGCTTTAATAAGCTACTACAATTTTGTCCTCTGATTAAGTTACATCACACTTCCTAGTGAGTCCTACATGCATGACATTCTGATCAAGGTCCCAATACCGAATAAGCCCATAATTAATAGTTTGGACCCGGCCCGTCCATAAGGCTGGTAAAGCTTGTGATTTAGGTCACCACAATAAATATCAATTTTAAGGCCACAGTATTGAAAGTTCCTTTAGTCTATTGGTTGAGTTACGCTTCAACTTCCCCCCTAATATGAGTTTGAGCCTTGTAGTCAACAATGACTTTTATTATTTTTATCCATATTTTTGTTTTTAATATTAAACACATTTACAAAATTACTTATATTTAAAATTTGCTTTAGGCCACAAAAACCTTAGGGCCGGCACTTTGGAGGCCCTACAAGAAAGGAATCGACGGTTGATATGCCTGGGTATGCATGTAATCTACAATATTTTGGTACATAATATTTTGATGCATATTATGCCATATGAGATTTGTTGATCTATTATTGTAGAGGCTAAACGTTTCTCTCTTTGTGTTGTATCTTCTTCACTTCATCGATCGTGATTTTTTTGTACCAAATCATTTTTAATTTCTTTAGAAATATACGGAGGTCCTATATTGTGGGTTCTTTTGATTTTAAGGTTTAATTTGCACAGTTTTTAGTTGAGGGTTTGATTTGCAAAGCAAACTTTAATTTGAGGTTTTGTTTGCACAAAATAATGTTATGGATATGTGCCGAAGAGGCAAATAATGTTAAAAATTAAGGTAGACAAAATGATCTTATTATATAAAGCTGGATGTGCACGACGTGGTTGCGACATGTAAGATTTTTAATAAAATTCAGGATCGCAACATGAATTCTATTTTTAATAAAATTTTTAATAAAATTTTTAAATTCACGAGTTCTAAAATGCTATAAATAGACAAACTTAGATCGCCAAAAGAAGCCTAGAGCCGTGGCGCATTTTTGTGAATCCATGTTCAAAAATAAAAACTTCGACGATTCTTTCTTTCCTTAGGTTAGTTGGTAGCGTAAGGTGAAAAATGCGCAAGTTTCCTGGTTCGATTTTGAAATGTGGGAATTTAGAGTAAGATTTTTTATTTTATCAGAAAAAGAAGTGTAGAACTATATATTTTGACACCAAAAGTAAATTTTAGCATTGATTGTATAATGGGAAAATTTCAAAACGATACCTAATTAGGAGTCAATTTTCAAAAATACACATTTATGGTATTTATTTTCAAAATTACACTTTTTCATTGAGTAAAAGAACTCTAAACCCTAAAATATAAATCTCAAACCCTAAAATTTAACCTTGACCCCTTAAATCTAAATCCTAAATCCCAAAATCTAAACTCTAATCAAGGATTACTGAACCCAATATTAAAATTATGAAAAATTGTAGTTTTGAAAATTGACACACTAGAGGTATAGTTTTGAAAATTTGACATCGTAAAAGGTGTTTTTCTTAAAATTTCTCTTGTATAATTGTATTTTGTTAACAATTATGCAGTTTTGACGAGAAAACATAATTCAATTATTTTAGAGGAAATTTTGATTTCATGATTTTTGCAGGAAATGTAGTTCACCATTTTTTTTCTTATTTTTTTCAGATTGAACTTATTGACTTTTTATTCTTTAAGGCTTTAACAATGGATTTTCCTCTGGGTCCAATCCATTGTCCACTAAATATTTAATCGGCCCACTAAACATTTCCTTTTTCCTTTGTATGCAGCTGAGTATCGAGAGTTTAATAATCTTATGATTCCCATCGTCTTCGTGAAATCGTGACATTACTGTTTTTGTTCGTGAGAGAGAGAGACGAGAACGATCAATCATGAAGCTCTCTTTCTCTCTCCCTTCCAAATCAAAGCCCAAAGTCACAGCGACCTCCGACGATACCAACGCCGTTAATGACGGTAACAGTAAACAGTTCGTAACGGAATTCGATCCGTCGAAAACCCTAGCCGATTCCGTTCCCAAACACGTTATTCCTCCGATCGAGAACACATGGAGGCCTCACAAGAAGATGAAGAACCTCGACCTCCCGTTCCAATCCGGTAACGCCGGTTCCGGCCTCGAATTCGAGCCGGAGGTTCCTGTAACCGATTCGAACTCCGATAACATCACCTACGGTTTGCAATTGCGTCAGAAACCCAAGGAAGACGGTGCTAACGACGAGACCGGAGATCGGAAATTAGCTCCGGTGGAGCAGCTTATGCTACAGAGTTTGAGGAGAGATCTGGAGTCACTCGCCGATGATCCGACGTTAGAGGATTTCGAGAGCGTTCCTGTTGAAGGATTTGGAGAGGCGTTGATGGCTGGATATGGATGGAAGCCTGGAAAAGGAATTGGTAAGAATGCTAAAGAGGATGTTCAGATTAAGGAATTAAAAAAATGGACTGCTAAAGAAGGATTAGGTTTCGATCTGGATAAGTCTAAGGCTAAAGTGAAAGAAAGTGTGAAGCTTGATAATAATAAGCCAAGAGATGTTAATGGTGGAGATTTGTTTTTCGTTGGGAAAGAAGTGAGAATCGTTGCAGGGAGAGATGTAGGGTTAAAGGGTAAGATTGTAGAGAAACTTGGGAAGGATATGTTTGTTTTGAAGCTCTCTGGAAGTGAAGATGAAGTGGAAGTCGGTGTGAATGAGGTTGCGGATTTGGGTTCTAAGGAAGAAGAAAAGTGTTTGAAGAAGCTAAAAGATTTACAATTGAAAGATAAGAAAGTGAGTAAAGGCAGTAGAGGAGCAGAGAGAGGAAGTAGAAAGGAAGTTAGAGTCAGTGAGAAGGAGGATAATAGAGGGCAAACAAGAGAGAGGAAGAAGCAGCCGTCATGGCTAAGGAGTCATATAAAGGTGAGGATAGTGAGCAAGGACTTGAAAGGTGGGAGATTGTATCTTAAGAAAGGGAGAGTTGTTGATGTTGTTGGACCAACGACTTGTGATATAACTATGGACGAGACGCAAGAGTTGGTTCAAGGGGTTGATCAGGAGTTGCTGGAGACGGCATTGCCTAGGCGAGGAGGTCCGGTTCTGGTTTTATCCGGGAAGCATAAGGGCGTCTATGGGAATCTGGTTGAGAAAGATTTGGATAAAGAAACTGGTGTGGTTCGTGATTTGGATAACCACAAGATGCTTGATGTTAGACTTGAACAAGTTGCTGAGTACATGGGTGATATGGATGATATGGAATACTAAAAACTCTCTTGTTGAACTGAAAGCTGCTGAGTTTCAGGTATTGCAACAACCTTATTTCCTATTTTAGTTTCCTTGCAAGTTTGAATTGACAGATAATTTTACATTTGTAATCTTCTGCTGTGTGCTTTATCCGAGAGTGAAAGAAGAGTTTGTTAACTTTGTTATATTTACTTTTAAACAAATTTTATTCTGCTGTGTGCTTCTCAATAAATTTCTTAAACGTGAGAGTGCTATGCATTTGAACTTGTATGCGTAGTGGTGATAGTTATATGAGTAAGAACTGCTGAAGATAAGAAATGTTCTAGATTCTTATTGATCTTAAGGTTCTGTCTTTAATGTAATGGTAGATGAGGAGCAGCTTGCAGATTTATGAGGAGTCAGTGAAAGCATATGCTTTGTTGAGTCTGCAGAGGATCAGTGTCTTCGATTCTGTGTGCACTCATTGTACCATTTGTAAAAGCGCATACATGGCTATTTCATGCCTTTCGGTTCCTTATGTAACATTTGTGGTCCAAATTCAAAAGAATAGATGAATTTTTACGCAGAAAATGAGCCCAATTTTAGATCGAATGTATTGCTAGCTGAAGAATCAGATTACATCTGATTTGAATCACAACGCACTCTCAATTCAATCTCGACTTTATGTCTACGTTTCTCATCGTATGAAACTATGATACACCAAAGTGGTCGGTCGTTGCATTTACATTGGCATGGACCTTAAATGACTTGTACTGTCTACTCAGGAAACAAAATAAATCAAATAAAGTGAATATTAATTCTTTTAAACAAATATTCGATTAGCTAGTCTCGTAGAAACCAAGAAAAATGAATAAAAGTAAAGAGCAAAGCCTATTTTTGTTCGTGACTGTATTTTTAACCAAGGGAAAAAACTGTATTTCAAAGGGAAAAGAATACTTCCAGACAAGAAAATTATATTTTCTAGACAAGAAATTATAAGACACAAAAGATATATTTTCTAGACAAGAAATTATAAGACACAAAAGATATATTTTCGTTCCAGAAAATGGAAAATAGATACTATACTGGTGAAACAATAAGATGATCTTTTGATTAAATTAATAAAACAAAAAGAAGATAAACGTAATCAGAAAAGTATCGTACTCTAGATTTTTTATCCTTTTTCCAAGATAAGAGGTTAATTTAGATAAAAAGAATAACCAAAACCATATCTTAAAGGGACTAATCTTGGGTCAATAACTCAATATGATTGACCATCACTCAATCTAGTAAAAAAGGAAAAAAAAAACAAGCTAGTAAATCCTAAACAGAGAAGAATTAGGATTGTAATCCATTATATAAACAGATACCATGCACTCTTGTTCCTCCTCACAAACACATCATCGAAACACACACCTACTTTGTTCCTCTAAATAATCTCTCTGGTTCAGGCGACTTCGAGATCTCCATACTTTTATCGTTCTCGTCTCAATTTGTTCATCTTTCTTCTTGTTCATCATGGCCGCAACAGCAACGAACAAGATCAACACCATGATCTTACGCTTCTTTCTCATGACAACAACCTTCACGATTCTCTTGAGTTGTTGCTCCGCGACGGTCTACAAAGTCGGAGACGCCGACGGATGGACGGCGAAGGACGACGTCTACTACAGCTGGGCTGAAGGTAAAGAATTCCACGTCGGAGATTCTTTGGTCTTCGAATACGATCGCAGCTCAAACGACGTCACACAAGTCTCTGGCGCTTTGGAGTACCAGTTCTGCGACTCTTCTTCTCCTAAAGCCGTCTACATCACAGGACATGACACCGTAACCCTCACGGAACCAGGGTTTTATTACTTCATCAGCTCGAACCATGTTCAGTGCGAATCGGGACAGAGACTCGACATTCTTGTCGTCCACGATCCGTCGCGTCCCATTCCTCCACCACCACCGAGCAAGACTCTTCCGTTTGGAAAAACATACAAGGTCGGCGGTGACGACCTTAAAGGATGGAGTGTTCCCGAAGAAAGTGACTTCTATTACAAGTGGAGCGAGGAGAAACAGTTTCTTGTCGGAGACAAACTTCTTTTCGAATACAGCGAGGAAGCCAACGACGACGTCTTAGAGATCAGCGGTGATCTTGAATTCAAATACTGCGACCCGACTTCTCCTGTATCCGTGCACAAGACTGGCCACGATCTCGTCACGCTCACCAAACCAGGAGTCCACTATTTCATTAGCTCCAAGACCGGTCACTGTGAGGCTGGGCTTAAGCTTCGCGTTGTGGTCGGATCAAGACCCAATGTTCCGAAGCTGTCACCTTTGGACCGCCTCGCAAGGTGGCTACGCGCTTTCAGACCCCATCATCATCACTGAGCATTCGGATCGTAGTATCGTACAACTCAGGCATATATGATATGTATGCTCTTTGAGAGTTTAGTAGCTAAAATTAGTCTGTTTTCTTTCTTTGTAACCATTAGATTTTGTCCTTCTTGCAGTTCTTTATTTCCACTGATGTACAATTTTATAATTAAATCAATAAAGAAAATACTAAAATAGTGTTACCTAAACGTTCCTATCGACTTTGTTTAACTACGTACAGGAAACTGAAACCCAAATCACATTACGTTTTGAGCTTAGTATTTAATTTGAAAGCCGGTTCAACAGAATGATTGTTCTTTTGACTTATATTTTTCCAAGTTTCTGTTGGTTCTGTACCTCAAACTGTGCAATCCTTAACATAATCTGTAACTGTAAGCATTATATACTGTAACAAGACAGCATCATAGTTGTATTTGTACAAACCAAGATTCAAAGAAGTAGCACACAACGCTTCTTTTTGGTTCTCAGATACAAGTTTTTGACATATACCTGAAAGGTGATGATAGTGCACGAATGACTTTTGGGCCTAAGCTAGACCAACACTGTATTCCTCTCCACAGCCGCATTTAGCAATGTAAGAAATTCCCTGCAGAAAGTGGGAGGAAGTGGTCATGATCATGACCACATTATGTAATAATCAAAACTCAAGAAAGCCTATAAAAATCAAATGTCACCTTCAGTTTCTCAGCTTGACCCTGCAGCGAAAGTAAATACTCTGCCTCTTCAGATTCATCTGACTTTAGAGCTGTGTATTCCTCTTCTAGAATCTTGATATCCAATGACATTAACTCTGGCTGTAGTGTTCACGTGTTGAAATATATTATAGTGTCAGGTGCAGATTGAAACTAGAAATAGGCCTAGTAGATTTATCTTGATATGAGCATAAGATCTGATTGATGCAGTCATGCAAAATCAGCTAGAAAAGATTCCAGAGAGTAATTACCTTAAACTCATTAATCTTGTGCTTCACATGCTCAATTGATAGCTTCATCTGAAATAATACCAGGTAAATATCAGAAAAGTGCTCAAAGAGACAAATTGTGTACTCAGAATTGTTTGTCTGCTTATCTAAGGAATTACTGGAAGTGTATAAGTAACTATATCACAAATACAAAGTGTCAGAACCAAAATCACTGAATAGTTAAAAGTCGATCTAAAGTAGACAACCTTGGAATTTTCCTGGATTAGGTTGGATCTCATCTGTTTCGCTTGATCAAGCTTTGCTCTAACAGAATCTGATAGTTCCATCTGGTTTTTCATTGTTTCTTGTTTCTATTAAATCAAGAACCAGCAAGAAAAGGATAAGACATTTTGACCTCAGTTTCTATGCGAATATTGTACGTCTACTGTAATGGAATAAGCGTATACTGATTCATATGAGAACGAACCTGTCCTTGTTGACCATTTTTATTGCTCATATGGGAAACAAACCACCCCTGGACAATATAGGACGAGAAAGATCAATTTGTTTGTAAACAGAAGATGAGATCACATTAAGAAGCTGCACAAATAGCAAATTACAAACCTTTTGCTCCTCTAGCTTGGTTCTTGCTTCTTCTCCCGTCTTGACATAGTTAGAACTGGAATTAAAAACAAAGAAACTAACATTCATCATGTGATTCGAGAGCCACAATCCAGTTCTAGCTAAGTGTGTTCTTTGAATTACCGTTTTGATACAAGTTTTGCAGATATGCTGTCTCGTTCTTGTAGAATAAGCTCAAGACTCTACAATACATGAAAACATTTCAACCAGTGTAAGCACTAAGCAGCACACAAAATGAACAAACTACACAGTGGTGAGTGGTGACTTCTGAAGCATAAAAACTAGACCAATATATGATTTTAGCTTCATCCTTCTAGTACACATGTTCATGGCTTACATAAGAGGATAAATCAAATACCTGTGCAAGATTTGCTGAATCAGATTCCATTGACGAAATTCTTCTCTGGTTCTGAAGTATCTGTGAGCATATTTCACCTTTTACTCTCGTCTTCTGATCCGTCTCTTCTTTTAGTCTCTTCGTCTCAGAGAATGCTTCAAACAGTCATAACAAGCATTGTGAAAATCATTTAAGAGATCTCATCAAAAAGTGTGTGTATGAAGAAGCTTAGTACAAAATGCAGATCCAGAGGAAAACTATCTTGAACATGAACAACAAATGACTGCTAATCTGATACTCAATAGTTGATCACAAAACAGCCAAAAAATTCGACATACAAAAAGAGTATTCCAATTTTGAAACGACGAAATTGATTGTGCATCAATGATAAGCGACACATGAAACGAAATTGGCAATGTCAAACAGAATAAATTTAGTGCAGCACACGCTCGAAATCTATGGGATTCCAAACGAAATTACTTTCAATTGGCATAGATTTGCACGAAGATCAATGGATTTCTCTTAAAACCAAGAGAAGACACCTAAACCTGGTGTGCGATTATATTTTTCCGTAAATGTCAACTGAAATTTCTGAATTCGAAAACGACGAGAGACACAGAGAGAGAGACAAACCATGATCGAGATCTTTCTCCAGTGTATTGATTGTTGTAATCTGCATCTGTTCCTCGACGGAGACCTTTGCGGCGTGATCCTCCACATCTAACCGCAATCGAATCCATGAAACAAAATAAGGCAAATCGTAAAATTTCAGCTGAAAAACGGGAAAATCACGAGCGAAGAGGAAGATAATAACCAGTCATCTGAGAGCGGAGAGTCTTCATATACTGCAGGTACTCCTCCATCTCTTCTTTCACTCTCAGATTTCAATTCAAACCTGTAATCGAATTCGATTCAGAAGAGACGAGCAGATTAATTTTCAGAAGATTATATGAATCAGATCTTCGTAGGAAATTGAAGCGCAAAGAAGAAGAAGAAGCTTTACGCGAGCGCTCTCACTTTCGGGGAAAATTCAAAATTCAAAATGAAGCAGCTCGAGATTTGAAAACTAACGAGGGAGTAACTTACGACCGGGTTGACCCGTTTTAGTGATATGCACTAGATTAAGCCCAATATGAAAATCTCGATAAAGGCCCATTACAACGATCGCATTGACCCGCTTTCTGCTGCTTCTCGACTGTTTATTTTTGGTCAAACATATCTTGCAAATTATGTGAATTAACATGATTTTTTTTTTCTTTTAATTGAACGTAAAATTTATTCAAACAAAAAAATTGTTGTTACATCAACTGTGTGATGAATCTGAGTGTTTAAACAATGATTATGAAGAAACTTTAAAGATATTAGATTCGCATAGCAAACCAAAGCTCCAAAGTCCAAACCGTCATTATATCGATGATCTCCAAGGCTCTGATGACATTATCTTATTTCAGAAACTAAGTACTTAATTGATACCTATTTTTGAGTAACGAACTCAGCTTTAATTTTTTTTTTCTTGTCTATTTAAAAATTAGAAAGGCCTTACGATTATATACACAAATACACTTATCTGAAATTTTGAATTCTTTTAAGCCATTGCAAACTTTAAACACTTGCTTGTTTTCTCCTCCGTTTGTTATCTATTTATAAAAAGAGAAGACCACAAATCTGTTTTTACCAAAACAACAACGTCAAACTACAACCAAACAATGAATACATAAACAACATATGACATAAATAGAGTAAATAAAATGTAGGAAACTGAAACGAATGCATAGGAGGCAAATCTGGAAACAATTTTTGATTACTTGATTGAGAAGCAATCTAAATGAGAGAGAGACATTGTGCAGAAGAACTCTGTCTCGACGACGACGAAGACTGGTAAGGAGACACCATTGTGCAGAAGAACTCTGTCTCGACGACGACGAAGACTGGTAAGGAGACACCAAAGTCCGTATAAACCAAGCGGAATTCAACTTCAATGGAGGATTGACACACAAGAAAAGACCAAACTTAGTTCTCTCCCACTTGTCACTAACCTCGTCATGCACAAGAATCCACACGTCCGAATCCCAACTCTGTCTAAACTCAGAGATGCATACACAGTCCTTGAGACTCCACATGTAAATGGACCCCGACGAAGGCTGCACCATGTCTTTCGGTAGAGACACTGTACGGAACTTTTCAGTGTGAAGATCCATGACTAGCATCTCCGGATGGTGACGTGCCAACAACCAGAAGAGTGAGCCTTTGACAAAGACTGGGTTTGCTTTAGGTCTCCTTAGAGTGAAAGAACGAGGCATCGGACCAGCGGTTTCGTATCTCCGCCTCCACTCGTTGGTGCTCAGATCGAAAACCATAGTACCCTCAACTCTGTCAACGAAGAATCTATACAAAACCACCACTTTGTATGCTCCTGTCACAACATCTCTCCCGAATCCCACTGAAATTTTTTTACCTTGATGAGGAGTAGCAACTGTCCGGGTCACACCTGTTGTAGGATTCACAAGATGAATATAGACGTCCAAACCCAAATCGTAGACGCAGACCAAACCATTACAAGACCCAGCAACTCTAGGAAGAACCTTTTTTGATTCTGATGATACTTCTTCCATGGAAGCGTATTTTGGGAAAAACGTTATATCGTAGCCTTCCATGTTAGACCATTCAAAAGTGATTTTTAACTCTTCGGCTCCATAGAGTTTCTGACAGTGAAGGAGGTGTTTCTCTGCTAGATGGTTTGATTCGATCAATGATTTCCACCTTTTCGATACTAGTTTCCATCTTAACAGATTCTTCGCCGGAATGTGGTGAAGAATCTCTTCTACTAATTCCTCTGGTATTTCAATAGGAAGAGTGGTTTCTAGATCCTCTGGTGTCTCAACAGCAAGAGCGGTGTTTTTTCCTCCGGTTTCTTGCTTCTTACGAAATCTCAACGATGAGAAGAATCTGCTAAAACCTTGAAAACATTGGTTTGAAACTTGGACCTTGGTATTTTGTAGTTTGGAAGATGTTTTTGATTGGCACTTCTCTCTCTTCAAGTCCATCTGTTTCACCATTGACAAACGTAAGGGAAAACAACTTTCTTTCTTTTTTCGGCTAGGGTTTAAATTTTAAAGAGGAATAAAGACGAAAACTTTGATTAAGTTCCAACTAACAGCTTGAAAAGAAGACTAGGAAGAGAGGCAGATTGGTATTTTTATGGAAGAAAAATAAATCAGTACTTTTTATTTAGAAACAAAATCAGGAACGTTTTTAGACACACACTCAACAAAAAACGGAAACTTTCCCATAGATAATATAGGGAGAATATTTGGAAAGAAGTAAAGTTATCATAGTTTTACCGGTCTAGTAAACGAACCGACCCGACACACACCGAGCGTTTTCATGACAGAATTGGATAACTCTTAATTTGAGGTTTTGTAAAGCTTGCAATCAGAGCAACAGAGCTTTGTAGTAATCTTCCATTGGGACTCCGTTTTGTGAGGTTCATCTTTACGTGGAAAAAATGAGGATGAATGGGAAGTTATTACTCTTAGGCCAGAAACTAGTCTTGATGGAGATCTCGAGAAAGTATAAAGAGTCGGGTATGAGAGTTTACTTGAGAAAAATCAAGCTATGTTTCTTCACATATATTGCAATCTTCTTCAACTACAAAGATGAAGATTATGGAAAAGCCATGCTCGGTGACTGTAAGTTAGATGTCGAACATGGGTTGAGAAACCTAGTCAATGGATCTCTCTCATAGACATATCTACTAATGGAGATGTAGTGACGCACACGCTACTACAACAAATGGGCAGACAAGCCATTCTTAGATAAGAACCTTGGAAACGCCACATTTTAGACATATCTACTAATGGATTTCATAATGAAAAATTAGTCATCATGAAATCCCTAATCTCTCTTATGAGACTTGTATATATTGTAACCATTACCATCTAATACTTTTTTTTTTATTATAGTTAGTTCCAGACAACTATTTTTTCATAAATCTTCGTTATCATACTAAAACTTTCTTCTATTTTGTATTCTTTAAAGGGTAATAGATCCGAAACAAGCAAAGTGTTTGTAAGCGAGGGAGCTTTCAAGAGAATGCGTAATAGTCTCTAAAATGTATTTTGTTTTATTAACTCCCATCGATAGAGTAGAAACTGAAACGAATGCAAATAAAGCAATTACTTGAGTGAGAAGCAATCTAAATGAGAGAGAGTTATTGTGGAGAAGCACTCTGTCTCGACGAAGATCGGAAGATGACGACTGGTAAGGAGATACCAAGGTCCGTGAAAACCAAGCGGAATTTAACTTTAATGGAGGACTGATTACTGATACATAAGCGATCAATAGTAGTTCTCTCCCACTTGTCACTAACCTCGTCCTGCACAAGAACCCACACGTACGAATCCCACACGTCCTTTTTATTGTTTTATCCGGTCAGATAATTGGAAAGTTGGAAATTAGTCTATTTAAAAAAGTAATGTTGAAAACTAGAAAACCATTATGGACAATTAAACCATTACGCGAAAAATCGAACATATTAATATTCCGCCGATTCCCTTAGTTCATATTTCAAACTGTAGTTCTATAGAAATATAAGGAAATATAAAACCTGATAAGCAAGCATAGTTTCCAAGTTTATGAATCTTTTTCTAAAAACCATGTAAAGATATATCCATATATGTAAAATCTCCGTTGGTCAAATCCTATTAGCATATTTCCATATAAGCAAAGCAGCTTCCCACCATGTTTCTTCTCCTGGAAAGAAATACCAAGAAAACAATATGATTAGCTTTTTTATCATTTTCTAGTTAAAAAAAAACACATTTTAACATACAAAAGTAAATACCTTATCTTCTTCTCGGGAACTCAATGAAACCAGTAGCCAAAACAGTCTCCGCCGGTCTCGTCCGCCTCATTCTCGACCGGTAGAAGAGTCTGGGACAACGTTTTTGGTAGAGCCAGACGACAATTCCTTGGAATCTTCTCAGGATTAGTAGTAATCTGCGGCGATGGAGCGATATCACTTTCCGGCGGAGCCATGACTGAGTCTTCTTCCGCGAACAGCATCCTAAGAGTATTCCCCTGCATTTCAATTTATTGAACAGACAAACACCATAATAAGTCACCGGAATCTCAGATAAAATAAAATATTCATCAAAATTATTACCTCATCAAGAAACGAATTAGCCTTGAAATCGCTATCATCAGTCTTTGTTCCCTCACCATCTGCTGTCTCCTTCGAATCTTACATACAATTTATATCAAGAGAAATTTCGAACATGAGTAAGAGAAGATCTAACATAAGCTGAGACAGCATGATCCAAGTTGAGACAGAGAGAAATAAAAAAAAAAAAAAGTATCAAGATCAACAAACAAATTGACACAAGCAGAAGTTTGTTCGATCATCTTCAAATTCAAATCCCAGTGAGAAATAAGATGATCTAATTCAAATTGAGACACCACGATCCAAACAGAGCTGATATAGATTCCGATGAAATCATAATAACAACATCAACAAACAAATTGAAAGAAGCAGAAGTTTGTTCGATTGTTCTAGAATTCAAATCCAATTCACAAGTAAGAAGATCTAATCTGAGGAATTCCAATCGATTAGCCTAAATCTGCCTGCCGAGCGATCATAATAGTCCTTCCTTTCATGTCATCCGAAACTTTTGAATTCGAATTTTAGAAACAGGGAGACGAACTAACCATGAGCGAGATCTTTCTCCAAGGCATCGGTTGTTGTAATTTTCAGCTGTCCCTCAGCGGAGACCTTTCCCGCGTGAAGCTTCACATCTAACCTCAAATCGAAATCCAGATCCACAATCGCCACATGTAATTTCAGCTCAAAACTGGACAGAAGAACATAAGCGAAGATGAAGAAGATATTGAAATTAAACTTGATTTTGATCAAGGTTTAATTTTGGGTCCATAAACAAATTATTATTAAACCCAAAATTAGGCCCAAGTTCTAGAACTCTCTAGAAACATCATAAGAGGTCATCACTTCCTCAAATTTTCTAGAGAATTCTACTAGATAACTCTCTAGATATTTATGTAGAACTTTCTAGTTCTTGTAAGACAAGAAATCTAGATATTATGTTAGAGAGTTCTAGAGATTAGGATAAACTTGTAAGATAATTTGTAGAAAGTTGTAGAAGAAGAAGAAGAAATATCTAGGACCTAAGGAGGTTATAGAAGAGTGTAGAAACTTTGTAAGTAGATTTGGGAGGCTATAAATACCTCCTCACCCCCTCATTTGTAAATGCACAAGAAATTGAACAAGTTAATAAAGAGTGTTCTAAAGCTAAGTTCTCTCTTGTTCTTCTTAAAAGTCTTTCAAGTATTCTCTTGTGTTCTTCCATATTTCTCTTCATACTTAGAGGGTTTATTGTTTCTTTCGGGTTTCTCGGGTATTACGGTCTTGGGCTAGTGCTAAGCACTATCGGTGCTGGTTTCTCTACATGGTATCAGAGCCATTCTAATCTTGTGCTCATCAAGATCGGGATTTAGGAGAACTCGGGTTTACTCTAAGTATGGAATCAATGGGTCGTGTTGTTGGATTGGGAATGGAGATCTTAAACCAATCTAACTACCGGTTATGGAAGTCATGTATGGAGTCATACTTGGTGAGTGAGGACTTATGGGATGTCGTCGGCGGCAGTAGCACCACACCACCAATGGGAGCTGCTGCGACAGCGGAAGCGACAAAGGAATGGACACGGAAGAATGCCAAGGCGGAGTTTGCATTGAAGAGGTCAATATCCTCGGGAGTATTTGAGCATGTCTCAAGGTGCACATCCGCTAGTTCCATTTGGCAAGCGTTGGACCAACTGTTCAACAAGAAGAATGAGGCTCGTCTACAACTGTTAGAGAACGAGTTGGCGAATGCGAAGCAGGGGGAGTCTTCAATCTCAGAGTTCTTCATCAAGGTAAAGAACCTTTGCTCTGAGATTAACACTCTTAATCCGGAGGAGTCTATTTCGGAAGCTCGGTTAAAGCGGTCTATTATTCGTGGTTTACGACCCGAATATACACCGTTTGTGACTTCCGTTCAAGGATGGGCTACACAACCTTCCTTGGAGGAGTTTGAAAATCTGCTAGCTTCGCAAGAATCCTTAGCCACGCAAATGGCGGGAGTCAAAATCCATGATGACTCGGGGAGCGCTTTTGTAGCTCGGAGGCAACAGAGCTACAAAGGAAAAACCAAGAATGATGGTGTAAAGAATAATGATGGACGGGAAAGATCTTCTACGGGAGACAAGAAGCAGTTCAAGTGTTACCGGTGTGGAAAGCTTGGGCATTTCAAAAAGGACTGTCGGGTCAAGCTGAAGGAAACCAATATGGCGGAATCAAAAAGTCATACTGAAGACGAAGATTGGGGGAAATGTTTCACGGTGGAGGCTGCATCTTCAGGTACATCCACAACTAAAAATCTTGGAAATGATTGGATTGTGGATTCGGGTTGTAGCCATCATATTACCGGAAACGAGAAGTTATTTTCTAGTCTTCAACGTCATGACGGGAAAGAAGCTATTATCACTGCGGATAATTCAATCCACCGGGTTGAGAAGGAAGGGACTATTGTTATTGAAGGAGAAGAAGGAGGCCCAATCACTCTCAAGAACGTATACCATGTCCCTGGAGTTAAGAAGAATCTTCTTTCCGTGGTGAATGCGGTGGACTCAGGTAACTACGTTTTATTTGGACCAAAAGACGTTAAATTCTTGAAGAATATTCAAGAGTTAAAGGCGGACGTAGTTCACACCGGAGCACGGGTTAAAGATCTTTATGTCTTATCGGCCTCAAATTCGTACATTGAGAAGATGAGTACGAATGATAATGCTTTTATTTGGCATGCTAGGCTTGGCCATATAAATATGACTAAGCTGAAGGCTATGGTGAATAAAGATCTGGTTAATGGGCTCCCAAAGTTGAAGATTCAAGATGAAGGAAAGCTTTGTGAAGGTTGTCAATATGGAAAATCACATAGACTTCCATTTGACAATTCTACTTCACGATGCAATGCTCCGTTGGAGAGGATCCATAGTGATTTGATGGGTCCGACGAGAACATCCTCCTATTCCGGGTTCCGCTACATGCTGTTGTTCGTTGATGATTACTCACGGTACACCTGGGTATACTTTGTGAAGGAAAAGTCAGAAGTATTCTCCAAGTTTCAAGAATTCAAGGTTACCGTGGAAGGAGAGTTGGGTCGGAAAATCAAGACCTTAAGGACGGATAATGGAGGGGAGTTTATGTCAAACGAGTTTCTCTCTTTCTGCCGAAAGCATGGTATCAAGAGAGAATTTTCATGTCCATACACACCTCAACAAAATGGAGTAGCAGAAAGGAAGATAAGGCATCTAAGTGAGACGTGTAGAAGCTGGCTACATGCGAAGAATTTGCCTAAGGCTCTATGGGCAGAAGGGATGAGATGTGCAGCCTATGTCATCAATCGGATGCCGCTTAGTCCAAATAATATGAAGTCTCCTTATGAGATGGTTCATGGGAAGAAGCCAACAGTGAAACATCTCAGGATATTTGGATCTATCTGCTATGTCCATGTGTTCGACTCTCAAAGAACCAAGCTGGAGGCAAAGGCGAAAAAGTGCATCTTTGTCGGCTATGATGAACAAAGGAAGGGGTGGAGGTGTATGGATCCAGAGACACACAGATACACTGTATCTCGTGATGTTGTCTTTGATGAAGTGTCTTCATATTACGGATCTCCTCAAGTCTTGGTTGAGCAAGATGGTGCGGGCTCACTTAAAGACGATGAACCAGCTGCTCAGATACCAAGTGATGGTGGAATTTCTGAACCAGAGATGCAAGGTGAAAGGGGGAGCACTAACCAAGAGGAAGAGGAGGAGGAAGATCATGGTTCCTTGGCTAATCAACGACCAAAACGGGACATCGTTAAACCTGCTCGGTACAGAGATGAAAGGTTTGTTACTACTTACTCATGCTACTTTGCATCTCCTTTTGATGAAGAAGAACCATCATCTTATGATGAAGCAAAAGGAGTTAAAGAGTGGGAGACCGCAATGAAGGAGGAGATGGATGCTCTAAAGAAAAATGAAACTTGGGATTTGGTTCCAAAACCCAAGGATGTCCAACCCGTCTCATGCAAATGGGTGTACCGGATCAAGCGTAAGAGGGATGGAAACATTGATAGACACAAAGCAAGATTGGTTGCTCGGGGATTTTCTCAGAAGTATGGAGAAGACTATGATGAGACTTTCAGTCCAGTGGCGAAGATGACTACGGTACGTACACTCTTATCTTTAGCTGCAAGCTTTGGCTGGAAGTTATGGCAGTTAGATGTGAAGAACGCTTTTCTATACGGAGAACTTGATAAAGAAATCTATATGGAGCAACCACTTGGTTACATATCACAAGAGCATCCCGATTATGTTTGCAAGCTAAAGAAGGCTTTGTATGGGTTAAAACAAGCTCCAAGGGCCTGGTATGGAAAGCTTGCTCAGTTTCTTCAGTTTTGCGGTTACTCTCCGTCGAACTCTGATCCGAGTCTGTTCTTCAAGAAGAATGGAGGAGTCCACGTGGTAGTCCTTCTTTATGTGGATGACTTGATAATTACCGGGAATGATGAAGCGGAAATTGCTCGTCTGCAAGAGGATATGTCGATAAGGTTTGAGATGAAGATGTTGGGTGAGCTGAACAACTTTCTTGGTTTGGAGGTTGAAAGGATGAAGGATGGAATATTCATCGGCCAACATAGCTACGCAAGAAGGATTGTAGAGAAGTTCGGGGTACACGAAGGAAAGACACGTACTACTCCGATGGATGCGAACATCAAGCTGAAGCGCGATGAAGGATCCTTGCTACCCGATCCTCGGCCTTATCGTTCTCTTGTGGGAAGTCTTCTATACTTAACCATTACAAGACCTGACATTTCCTTCGCGGTTGGTCTTGTAAGTCGGTTTATGCAGTCACCAAGGAAGCCACATCTAGAAGCGGCAAAGAAGATCTTGAAGTATGTGAAGACAACTCTTGGCATGGGTCTAATGTACAAGTACAATGCCAAGGTCTCTCTCTATGGCTTCACGGATGCTGACTTTGGTGGAGATCTAGATGGTCGAAAATCAACTTCGGGCTTTGTGTTCTTGTGTGGAGACACAAGCGTTTCATGGTGCAGCAAGAAACAAGCAACGGTGTCGCTGTCTACCACTGAAGCGGAGTATAAAGCTTCGACGCTCGCAGCCCAAGAGTGTATTTGGCTTCGAAGGCTTCTTGAAGATTTGTTTGAGCCAATCAACAAGCCGGTTGCCATATATGGAGATAACCAAAGTGCTATCAAGCTGGCTAACAATCCGGTGTTACCATGAAACGCTTGTGTCTCCACACAAGAACACAAAGCCCGAAGTTGATTTTCGACCATCTAGATCTCCACCAAAGTCAGCATCCGTGAAGCCATAGAGAGAGACCTTGGCATTGTACTTGTACATTAGACCCATGCCAAGAGTTGTCTTCACATACTTCAAGATCTTCTTTGCCGCTTCTAGATGTGGCTTCCTTGGTGACTGCATAAACCGACTTACAAGACCAACCGCGAAGGAAATGTCAGGTCTTGTAATGGTTAAGTATAGAAGACTTCCCACAAGAGAACGATAAGGCCGAGGATCGGGTAGCAAGGATCCTTCATCGCGCTTCAGCTTGATGTTCGCATCCATCGGAGTAGTACGTGTCTTTCCTTCGTGTACCCCGAACTTCTCTACAATCCTTCTTGCGTAGCTATGTTGGCCGATGAATATTCCATCCTTCATCCTTTCAACCTCCAAACCAAGAAAGTTGTTCAGCTCACCCAACATCTTCATCTCAAACCTTATCGACATATCCTCTTGCAGACGAGCAATTTCCGCTTCATCATTCCCGGTAATTATCAAGTCATCCACATAAAGAAGGACTACCACGTGGACTCCTCCATTCTTCTTGAAGAACAGACTCGGATCAGAGTTCGACGGAGAGTAACCGCAAAACTGAAGAAACTGAGCAAGCTTTCCATACCAGGCCCTTGGAGCTTGTTTTAACCCATACAAAGCCTTCTTTAGCTTGCAAACATAATCGGGATGCTCTTGTGATATGTAACCAAGTGGTTGCTCCATATAGATTTCTTTATCAAGTTCTCCGTATAGAAAAGCGTTCTTCACATCTAACTGCCATAACTTCCAGCCAAAGCTTGCAGCTAAAGATAAGAGTGTACGTACCGTAGTCATCTTCGCCACTGGACTGAAAGTCTCATCATAGTCTTCTCCATACTTCTGAGAAAATCCCCGAGCAACCAATCTTGCTTTGTGTCTATCAATGTTTCCATCCCTCTTACGCTTGATCCGGTACACCCATTTGCATGAGACGGGTTGGACATCCTTGGGTTTTGGAACCAAATCCCAAGTTTCATTTTTCTTTAGAGCATCCATCTCCTCCTTCATTGCGGTCTCCCACTCTTTAACTCCTTTTGCTTCATCATAAGATGATGGTTCTTCTTCATCAAAAGGAGATGCAAAGTAGCATGAGTAAGTAGTAACAAACCTTTCATCTCTGTACCGAGCAGGTTTAACGATGTCCCGTTTTGGTCGTTGATTAGCCAAGGAACCATGATCTTCCTCCTCCTCTTCCTCTTGGTTAGTGCTCCCCCTTTCACCTTGCATCTCTGGTTCAGAAATTCCACCATCACTTGGTATCTGAGCAGCTGGTTCATCGTCTTTAAGTGAGCCCGCACCATCTTGCTCAACCAAGACTTGAGGAGATCCGTAATATGAAGACACTTCATCAAAGACGACATCACGAGATACAGTGTATCTGTGTGTCTCTGGATCCATACACCTCCACCCCTTCCTTTGTTCATCATAGCCGACAAAGATGCACTTTTTCGCCTTTGCCTCCAGCTTGGTTCTTTGAGAGTCGAACACATGGACATAGCAGATAGATCCAAATATCCTGAGATGTTTCACTGTTGGCTTCTTCCCATGAACCATCTCATAAGGAGACTTCATATTATTTGGACTAAGCGGCATCCGATTGATGACATAGGCTGCACATCTCATCCCTTCTGCCCATAGAGCCTTAGGCAAATTCTTCGCATGTAGCCAGCTTCTACACGTCTCACTTAGATGCCTTATCTTCCTTTCTGCTACTCCATTTTGTTGAGGTGTGTATGGACATGAAAATTCTCTCTTGATACCATGCTTTCGGCAGAAAGAGAGAAACTCGTTTGACATAAACTCCCCTCCATTATCCGTCCTTAAGGTCTTGATTTTCCGACCCAACTCTCCTTCCACGGTAACCTTGAATTCTTGAAACTTGGAGAATACTTCTGACTTTTCCTTCACAAAGTATACCCAGGTGTACCGTGAGTAATCATCAACGAACAACAGCATGTAGCGGAACCCGGAATAGGAGGATGTTCTCGTCGGACCCATCAAATCACTATGGATCCTCTCCAACGGAGCATTGCATCGTGAAGTAGAATTGTCAAATGGAAGTCTATGTGATTTTCCATATTGACAACCTTCACAAAGCTTTCCTTCATCTTGAATCTTCAACTTTGGGAGCCCATTAACCAGATCTTTATTCACCATAGCCTTCAGCTTAGTCATATTTATATGGCCAAGCCTAGCATGCCAAATAAAAGCATTATCATTCGTACTCATCTTCTCAATGTACGAATTTGAGGCCGATAAGACATAAAGATCTTTAACCCGTGCTCCGGTGTGAACTACGTCCGCCTTTAACTCTTGAATATTCTTCAAGAATTTAACGTCTTTTGGTCCAAATAAAACGTAGTTACCTGAGTCCACCGCATTCACCACGGAAAGAAGATTCTTCTTAACTCCAGGGACATGGTATACGTTCTTGAGAGTGATTGGGCCTCCTTCTTCTCCTTCAATAACAATAGTCCCTTCCTTCTCAACCCGGTGGATTGAATTATCCGCAGTGATAATAGCTTCTTTCCCGTCATGACGTTGAAGACTAGAAAATAACTTCTCGTTTCCGGTAATATGATGGCTACAACCCGAATCCACAATCCAATCATTTCCAAGATTTTTAGTTGTGGATGTACCTGAAGATGCAGCCTCCACCGTGAAACATTTCCCCCAATCTTCGTCTTCAGTATGACTTTTA